AAAACCAATTTTAATACCCTAAGTAAGTAGGTATTCTACGCTGACGAAGTCGCTGGCATAGCTAGTTATGTAATATATTTTGCGTTAAAAAATTTTGATAGTTTATTTTTAACGGTTTAAAACGCGAACTATTTGAATAAAAATAATTTTACTTTAGTAATACACAGAAATTAAATATCTTTCAGTGAGTCCCAATCTAACATTGAATAAACATAAAGATGTAGACTGACATTATGATGCACAGGACATTTGTAAGATTTGTCATAACAAAAAATAAATAACCTTTTAACGTTCATCATTTTGACACATTACACAAACCGTAAACCGAGAATCGCCTTCAAAGGTGTGTCTCGAGTTTAAGCGTTTTTTAAACAGTAAATTATACATTTTACACTGGATCTATAAATAGTGATAAAATATAATAATATATAATTAATCTATATAAAGCGTATGTTTGTTTGAACGTTTTCTATATGTCTATTTTGTTTAGATTAACTTGCAAGAACCAGTGGACGCAGATGAATCGTAAGTAGTAAAATAATAAAGATGAGAGGTTTGCAAAAACAATTTTTTACGCCCAAATAACTCTTCTACGCGGACAAAGTAGCGGCCACAGCTAGTGAAGATTAATTCTAAATGACAGATTATAGGAAGGATTGAATTGCTCATAGAGAATCAAAATCAAAACAAAGGAATCATTCTTTGGTACATATTTTTTAAGTTTCACCAACCGTTTTCGCAGCCTATGCAACCACATTTAGTTTTTCGCACATTTCCTGCTCTCTTCGCTCTGTTCGCAGCGCGACGTTTTATATCCTACAGCCTTCCTCGAAAAAATGTCTAACCAACACAAAAACAATTTTTTAGTTCCATCCAGCAGTTCCTAAAATTAAAGCGTATTTCAATTACACGCTATAAGTCGAACCCCACATTTCCACTCATAAACAGTTTACGACGACTACCCGCGCAGCGGCGATTACAATCGTGCATTTATTTTACAGTGTCATTATTTCGACATAGCCTGGAGCTTTGTTCAGACAGGGCCTTTTATCTACATGAACATAACAGACCAAATAAGATATGAAATAATATTTTTTTTATATATTATTTATTGTTTAATGAAGCATCTAGCCAGATTTTATGCTGGGGATGTTTAGAGGCCATTCGTGCCAATAATTATTATATTTCTTATATATATATTATAATTTATTTTGTAATTGCGATATTTCATTTCTTTTAACATTAACAATATTCATTAGAAATCTGACCCACCATTTCGTATCATAAGGAATAAAAAAGCAATGTTCTTCCCCAAAATTACCTCTCCTTACTAAAAGTTCATCGAGAAAAACAGGAAATGACGAATAATTCAGTGTGGACCGGAAGTGGGCCGGAGACGCCGCGTGCGCCCAAAACTACAGATTCAATTATTTCTCGTTTCTAGGCACAGATTATAAGTATTTACAGATACCGCATATTTTTGGTATCTGGGTTATGTTAAATCTCTGAAGATCACAAAATTATTTATAATAAAATGAATAAGACGCTCGTTTTGACATTTATAGCAATTAATGATGAAACTCATCTGTTATCATTAAATGTGTGTGAAATCGTGGGGCATGGGGCGAACATCACTGATCCGTTCTCTAACAGGCAAGTAGTTGATCAGACTTCTGTGCCCTGCCGGACCGAAACAATTTTTTGTTTCCCTGGGATTCGAACCCAGGATCTCTCGCGCTTGACGCAATGCTAGGCAATACGTTTCACCATTTAGCTACAGAGGCGGTCGGTTATCATCAAATATTCTATTTTAAATGTGTGTATGAAATACTGTCTATAGTTTACGCGAGTAGTACACCTTTAAATAAAACACTTTAACGGTTTAAAACGCGATATATTAGTTAAACTTATTAAAAAATGATTTATAACTTCGGCCCCACGTTTCGGATGCTTTGCAGCATCCGTGGTCGGACCCCCGGGGAGGCTCCCCGTGACCACGTAAAGTGTTTTATTTAAATTTGTATGAACAAAATAAAATTTGCAGCTATTACCAGCGCTTTGGAGTGTGACAAGAATCCAGCAGCACAGCTGAGACTGGTACCGATTGCCATTCTTATCTATTTTATTATCTATCTATTATTGATTTTAATATTTAATTTAGCAGTTATAAGTTTACTAATAGTTAAGTATGTGTTTAAAGGGCAATAAGAAGTATTGAATTTGAATTATGTTTTTTTGTTTTGATTCACCACACAACTGTTTTTTAAAAGATCATCAACGTGTCATTGATTTTGAATGTCAAATACGATTTTGAACCTTAATACCGAAGTTTCAAGGCTCGAATCACATTGCGCGAGATGTGCAAAAAATTCGACAGCAACAGATTGGAATTTTTTTCTCAATTGTGGTGTTGTAGATAATAAAGTTATATAAATAATAAATAAATTGGCAGATGCCGGTTCAGGTCTTGCCCGAGTCGAATTTTTTTTTTCAATTTGTTACCGATTTTTAAAGTGTCAAATATATGTTTCAGTTTTACCGTACCTGCACAATAGTACCGTAACAGTCTTTGCTTTCTTAATCTGTATCCCGAACAAATGGCCGTAAAAGTCGAGCGATAAATTGCTTTTGAAGGGAAGTCGCGGCTGAGTAATGAGTAGGGAGGTTTTGTTTAAGAAAAACTTCAAATAGCGCGAAGCCTTCGTATCGAAGAACGACGATCCTTTATTCTCGTCTTTAAATTTTCTAAAGAACAATGCATAATTTTTAAATTGCTATCCACGGTCATCATTAAAGCTTCACTATGACATTTCAATGGGCCTCCCTCCATCAATGATCCATCTGCTTCTTTGGTTTTAATTACGGAGTAGTTGACCTGGAACCGTTCTTTTGCCATGTGAAATATTTCGACCAAATTTGATTAACATATGGTTTTTGTGAGTTAATCTTAAAGATATACTGTCGCGGACATTTTTTTCTTATTTAAAGAGGAATCAGTGTTTCCTACATATTTTTAGTTATCTTTAACCATTCACAGCGCACGCAACAGAATCCAACAAAGATGAGTCAGTTTCGCCGTCTTTCCACAATAATAGACTTATTTATTTATTGACTTTAATAATTACAAACACCACTAGAAGGCGGCCTTATCGCTAAACAGCGATCTCTTCCAGGCAATCTGAAGCGAAGGGAAAAACAAAAAATAAAATAAAAGGACTATAGGTAGGTGGTGCGATAAAGGAACGTGAAAAAGAAAGGTAATTAACAGCTGGAAAGTAGAATTTGGTAACTCTGACTTTGAAAGTACGGAGAGATTGAGCTTTTATTATGTCTAAGGGAAGAGAGTTCCAGAGATTAATGGCTTTAATAGTAATTGTTAAAGAATGAAGTCTTATGCGCAGGAATAAATAATAAAAGATTATGAATCGAGCGAAGATTCAAATTATGTGAGCTTAAAGGAAGAAAGGTTTCTTTTAAATAGGCCGGGGATTTAGGGTCGAAAAGGGTACGATAAAGGAGAACAAGGACATGAAGGTTTCAACGAGAGCGGATCGGAAGCCAGTTCAGTTTTCGGCGATATTCGGATACGTGATCATATTTACGTAACCCAAAGATAAAACGGATACACGCATTCTGTAGTCGCTCAAATTTACTCAGTTGCTCTTCCGTTAAATCAACGTAAGAGACATCCGCGTAGTCAAGGATAGAGAGGAGTAGAGAATGAGAGAGTATGATTTTAGTGGGTATAGGGAGAAAATTTTGAAGACGTTTTAAGGAATACGAGGCCGCATAAATTTTCTTACTGAGCTCTTTGAGCTGGTGGCGCCAGGATAGATTTTGATCAATATAGATCCCCAGACTCTTGACGGACGTACTGAAAGGGAAAACCTTACATTATTATTTATTAATTAATATAATATAGGGTATAAAACTCAAATATAAAGCCATCCTCGAATTGCTCTAGCTAACACAAAAATAATTATTCAATTCGAACTCGTTCAAACAAACAAACTCTTCAGCTTTATAATAGTAGTAGGTATAGATTTGTATTAGTATACCTACATTTTTGCTCCATTTCCTACTTAACAAGTGCACAATGTACGATGCATATAATATGGAGATGTTGCATAATACGGTCCTATGATGCGATGCACATGCAAGAATAATGACAGTCACATTATCCACTTGTCTGGAATCCTGTGCCTCTGGTATTCCATTAGACTAAGATTGGAACAAATGCAAAGCGACGCTTTAAGAATTGTTTATTTCTAGAAAAATGCAAGTCTATGGCCGCATTATTCATAATTATTTAAAATGGTAATTGCACTATTACAATTGATTTTGACACGATAATTCTTAAACAGGCTTTACTTCATTCAATCATTTTTATTTTTACGGTACAAGTAGGTATAGGTAAGTAATAATATATTATTCATGACAAAGGTGTTTGAAGATTTACTATAAGTACCTATACCGTATTAAAAACGGCGAGTTAATCAACTCATATGATGAATTTTAAACATATTGCATGTTAAATAGATAATAAATAGTACAGATTATACTACCATTTGTATATATTTTTTAATATCTTATAATAATTTTCACTACGTATGTAAATTAAAGGTAATTTTGCGTATGCACAGTTTGAAATTGATATATTAAATGACGACAAGAACTTTAAAAATTATAATTATTAAGGTTTACATTGAAACTAAATTATTTCTTTTTATCTATAGATTTCGATTACTATATTAAAATTCTCACATCCCTATAGTCAATTTATCATTCCAAATTAGACATAGAATGACAATTGGGTTTAAGTAATGTCAAACGTCAAATGTCAATGTCAATGAATGAAGCTTGCAAAATAAGCAAAAACATCTTTGTGTAATTAATTTTAACTTTAGAAGGTATCTAGGAAAGTGAAAATACTAAATTTATTGTGTTTTCTAGACATATTATCGGTGTTTTGTCCCTAAGCAAAGGTTAAACTAGCAACAATGAGCTGCTTCGAAAATATTACAATGCCTGATTGCGTTTGGTTTGAAGCTGGCGACAAACGCAATATTCTTGCATCCATATTCTCTGGGCTTTTGGTAATGTTTCGATGAATCATCTAAATCTTTACTTTGAATTTTATAAATATTACATATAGATAATAAAAACCATTGTCAAGACATCAACAACTTTTATTTTCAGTTTTTTGCTGGATGGTGGTTTATAATAGATGCAGCTACTGTGTACCCTGGGGATCTTCCTAATGCATCTCATGTGTGTGGAGTTATGGCCACATTGTCTCTTTTAATGGTCAATTCTGTATCAAATGCTCAGGTACCACTTTTGTCTTTAACATCGTTAATAACTTGTATGTAGACAACATTTCAATATATATACCTAACAAATTTGTATTATAAGTACCTTAGCTACAACTACTTTTTGAAATTAAAGATGACTGACCTACAAATGGATTGTCTCAATTACAAACCATGTTTTTTTTAAGAGTAAATACTATGTGTAAACGGTTTGACTACTATTATCTTATTATTATTTTCTATCGGGGGCAAGGACGGGTGATCAGTCCACGTTGTCTGCTGACCATTTCACCCATTTCCCCATTTCCTACTTGCAGAGATTTGGGTCATCCAACTCTTCTCGTGTCCCCTTCAAACCTTCCGGTTTGCTTGCAGAATCTTATTATTTTTTCCATCTGTAGTTCTTTAATGTCATCTACTGTAACTTTGTCCGAGCCCATATGCATTTGTCTTAGCCTCGAGGGAGTACGCAGGGCTTCAGTGAGTAGATGGATACTTGTTTCCTCACTTTCTCTGCACTCCGGGCATAGGGGAAACTATTATCTTAGTGTTTAATATAAAAGAACCAAATACACTGATTGGCTGTTTTATACCAGACAAGCATACCACAGCCATATAACATCTCAACAAGGCGGCTGTCAACCAAATTTTGCTTTACCTGTTTATAAATCCAGACTGATACCAAAACTTGATATCAGGCCTATTTTATCTATGGACAAAGGTTCATCACCCGAATGAATTTTGAATATTCCTACTACTCATTTTGTATATAGATTTCAAGACGAAATCCCACATGTTTCAGTAAAATAATATAAATGTTTATAAAATTGTTAGATTTGGTGTGGATCTTACACACAACCTTTAATTTAATTGCTATATATTGCTACCTTTAGAATTGAGACACAGACTTACTGTCAAACCATGAAAATTTATAAAAACCTTAAAGATTTACTGCAAGAATTGCTACAAAGTGTTTAATTATGGCACAAATTTCTTCAGGTAAGAGGCGAAACATACACAGGAGGTTGCATGGGTCCTCGAGGTGCTCGTCTTTGGCTGTTCCTAGGTTTTGTAATTGGATTTGCTTCCCTTATTGCTGCCTGTTGGATTCTCTTTGCTAATTATGTTAATGCAGGTAATATACATACTATTTAACTTATATAAATATGCATAATATTTACACAAAATTGTCAACAGAAATATCTAGAAGAGTCTAGAATAACTAATACTAAAAAGCAGCAACTTATAGAAAAGGCTTTTTCTATGTACCTTACTATAAAACTACTTGTATAATGTTTATTATTAAGGTTTAAAAGGCTTTGGGTTGACTGATCTGTTTTTTTTTGCTGGAAAATAGTTGATCAGACCTGGGATTCAAGTCCTAGGTCTCTTGTGCTTAACGCAGTACTAGACATGTTTAATCATTTAGCTACAGATGGAGTCATTATTGAGGTTTTATGTTATTTTACCTTTATGTCAGAAAAGCACAGACAAGCATAGAGTTCACTAGGTAACAGACTGAAAATGAGAATTCCCACTTCATATTTACCAGACAGATAGACAGAGTTTAAGATGTCTTACTAAAATTATTTACAAATATGTCTATACATTTCTTACATTGTACCAACAAGTAAAATCAAAAAAATCAAAAATAGAGTCATGTTTTTTGTAAATTCATATTTTTTTATGAATCGTCTTTCACATTCATTTCAGGAAGCAGCAAACACACATGGCCCGGCGTTAGCCTTTTCCTGCAAAATGCTTTCATCTTTGCTGGCTCACTGGTCTTTAAGTTTGGCCGCACGGAAGACGTTTGGGGATAGGTATTCCAAGCTTACATAAGATGAAATTGTACATTAATCAACTTCTTATTTTCAACGCCTGGTCTGGTTTATATCATTTAATATGAAGCTTTTAGTATTAAAGCTAGTAAGAATTGGTTAGAGATGAGAAGGAATATATTGATTCCCAGTATAGAAATAATAATGATTGTAGTTAATACATATAGTAGTTTAATAAAAAAACACTTATTTTAATAAAATTCTATTGCTTAACATAATATATTTGGTCATGATAACAATATTGTTACAAGTCAATAATATGTTTTCCTCATATTTCTCATGTTGGCTTTAATTAGAGTATTTTTAAATATCAATGTATTTATATTTTTTGTATAATTTTAACTCTATTTGGTAAATCTCAATCCATATAAAGATAATTTTGAAATTCTCATAATCAATTATTCTTTGGTCTCCAGAATGGTAAAGTTTAAAATTTTTTTGTACTTGGAAATTATACACAATTAATTGTTCATTTTTTAACCTGTGATAACACTTAATAATAAATTTGTATCCCGAGCATCATTTGAAATTATTTGCTCTATCCACCAAGTGTCTTGAAATAAAACAAATTTAACACATAAAAATATATTTTAATACAAGTCCTGATTTGTAATCAAATAAAATATATTTAAAATCTTAATAGGATTATAAATACAATTAAGGATATCTAGAATTAAGGATATATAGAAGATATCAATAAATTATTATTGCTTTGATACTATTTAAATAATTCTTAAAATAAGATTATTGCAATGGTTCACGCAGTACTTGTAACCAACTCAATTATGTAAGTTAATGAATCTTTATGTAATTAATAGGGAATCAGCTTTTAAAATTGGCCGTAGTATTTCAAAGGCTTAAAATGTGTGTCAATATGTCACTTAAACGCCACATCGTGGGGCGTGAATACGCGTGACGTCATATGTGGTCATATTGTGTTTGACCACGAATGACGTCACGCGATTGCTGTCACAACATTTTATTTCTTCATTTTAATTGAATTTATATGCATTTTATTACATTATTATTCGATAAATAATCATGAAATCGCATATTTCTTTGATCTAAGTAGATTTAAGTTTTTAATTTGATACAAATCCCCTATTTATTAGTCGCTTCAAAAGTACCTAACCACGCATTATATACTTAAGTTCTAACTCTTTAATAGTTCTGATTGACGCCTATACCGTCAACACAAGTTCTACCACCCTGGCCGTTGGGTAAACAGATCTGATTAGATTCACAATTACCATTTCTGTACTGACAGACATTACTCAACGCTGGACATTCTTCTGGCGCTGCGGAAACCCCGTATAACCTTCTCGACGCTGTCGCTATCGGAACTTGCCCTTTGATTTGCGTCAATGTGTCAATTGACTCTATTTTCAATCTGCAATTAATTATTTTCTACATATTACAACATCAATAGGAGCGACAAAACAGTGGGAAGTGTGAAAGAAATGGGAAAAATTATCAAAATACATAACAAAATAACTATTCTACGCGGACAAAGTCGCTGACACAGCTAGTGGCTATAATATACTAAGAACTTACGTTTTCCAGTCAGTCCAGTAGAATTTGTCACCATTGATGGCCAAACCAAATGGATAAGAGCAATTGGGAGCGATAATTTCTCTCTCCATGTTGTCTATACCGACGCATCGGATGCTGTAGAGACCAGCATCAGCGTAACACAAGCGATCTCTGACCCAGTCAATTGCCAACGAGTTCGGTAGTTTCACGTCGGATTCGTCTAGGAATACTCCCCTTTGTGATCCATCCATATTAGCCCATTCGATTTTAGGACCAGATCGGTTCCAGTCGGACCAAAATATTTTTCTGGAATTTAAATACACTTTGTAGTTGACGCGAGTAGTACACATTTAAATAAAACAATTTACCGGTTGTAAACGCGATATTTATTAGTTAAACTTATTTGACAATTCTTTAAACTACGGTCTCACGTTTCGGGTGCTTTGCAGTAGCCATGATCACAGAGAGACTAAAGATGGAGGGCGTCTCTGATGTCAAAATAAAAAGTGCTACTCTAACGCCATCTGTTCCAGACAACAGTAACAGACGGTGCTATCACGTGACCTAAACTAAACTAAGACTAAAATAATTTTCAAATCAGTTTAACTAAAATATATCGCGTTTTAAACCATTAAAATGTTTTATTCAAATATAGATTTAGTTAAAGAAATTTTTTGTACTCATAAATCGCGTAAGTTCTTACTCACCCTTTTCCTGGATGTACAGCGATTCCTCGTGGATTATAAATACCCTCCTTAGAGAATAATACCTTTCTCACTTTGGTATCAACATTGGCGACCTCTATAGTCAATTTCTTAGAATCGGTCCAGAAAATATTTCTCGCTGACCAGTCTACTGCGATACCTTCAGGCGACTGAACATCTGTCAATATAAAAATAGTTTTAATGGAGACTTCTAAATGAATTCAAAATAATTATATTGAATACTATGTTACCATTTGATAAAAATTGCTCATAGCCTGATCCATCATACGAAGCCCGCTTAATCGTGTTACCGACGACATCTCCCCAATAAATTTTTGCAGTTAAGCAATCCACGTCTATGCCTACTGCTATTTGATAAATAGCACTGTTAAAGGGTGTTGCGAAATCCCTCGCCGTCACTTTAAATGGCACCCTGTATACAGAAGCTCCATCACTGGCCACTAAAAAGTTTCCAGCTTGCCTTGGATTAAGCTCGCAAATACTTCCATTGCCGTTATACCCAGAGTTGCATTCGCACTCGAACCCGTCACTCGTTTGTAGACACGAGGCGTGGATATCGCAAAGGTAGGGGTTTGTTCGGCAACTGATCTCTGGGTTGCAGTTGTAACCGTCTCCGGTATATCCCTCCCTGCATACACATTGGTAGGTATCTTCGACTGGTGTGCAAATCGCGTTTGGATTACAGTCGTTTAAAACATCGCAAGTTCTTCCTTGGGGTACACACTGCGAGATGCCTTCACCCTCAAAACCTTCATCGCAATGGCAATAACTCACGCCTATTCCTTCGTCAAAAAGACAAGATGCGTGATCAGCGCAGACAGCTCCGTTGCACAACTGTTTGTCAGGAATGCAGGCGTCGCTTTGGTCTTTTATGAAGCCTTCTATACACTGGCAGACATAGGCATTCGTATTGGGGTCTGGTCGACATTCAGCGTTGTACTCGCAGTCGGAATTGTTGTTACAGCTGAAGTTTGGTCGACACACGTAGCCATCACCGTGGTAGCCGGAGTCGCAGACACATATTAAGTCACCTGTGGCAGTTTCAATGCAGTGAGCACCGAGACCACAGGAGCAACTGGGTCCAGTTCTCTCTATGCACTCATAGGCGTCGCCTTCGTAGCCTTCTGGACACACACATTGGCCCTCGTCAGGATCGTCTGACGTGTAGGGTTCAGCCGGAAATGAACATATAGCGTTTGGGGGACAGTCGCCGTCCGAGTGGCACCGAACTGAAAATTTAAAAAATATATATAAAAAGATATATTTGTATATAACATCAAACATTACATTTTAAAATGTTGTTCATGCTTATATATATTATATAAGCGATAAAAAAATTTATAAAATGACGAAAGGGTTTCTAGTGGAAAATAATAGTAGACTAAAAATACATTCAGATACCTACTTGTAGGGTCGTTGTCCAAAGGCGAACTCGGCTCTCTGTAGGAATCAATACGACACAATTCATTGTCTCGATCATCTTTATAATTGGAGTATCCAGGAGGGCAAATACAACCAAAGGCATTACAGTTAGGTAATACGTAAGTTTCGTTATAATCTGCTTCAGTGGGCAATGGAGTAGTAGATTCTACTGGATCGGGAACAGAGTACTCAGTCGTTTCACGGACCGATTGCACCGGCGGTGGAGTAACTTCTGTACAATAAAAGCCATCTCCTACAAAACCTGAGTTACAAAGGCACGAGTATCCTTTAGTCTCTTCCGAATAACCACAATATCCATACGGAGAACAGTTATTGCAATTATTGTCGTACGCTTTCAAACATTTTTGGCCGTCACCGGTGTAACCAGTATTGCATAGGCAAATTGGGTCTTCAGCTGGGTTATCTATGCACTGGGCGTTGGGATCACAAATCTTATCCCTGCATCGTGATATCCAATTGCAGGTCACACCGTTTCCTTCGAAACGCTCTCGACATCTACATTGGAAGCCGCCTTCGTGGTTATAGCAGTCTGCATTAATATCACAATTATGGGTACCGGTTGTACACTCGTCGATATCAATACACTCAGTACTTCCCGCTATGTTAATACTCGTGAACCCTGACTGGCAGATACATGAGAACGAGTCTCCTTGAGCAATACACGTGCTATGGGGACCGCAAGAACTGCGACCTCGAATGCAAGGATCTTCCTGCCCCATGGGTACAACTTTATTACTTGTTCCATACCGTACAATGTTTTCCCTGGTTTCATAACCTAAGTAATTTTTAATCACCTTCAAGGTAACTGGTGCATTTTCTTCCTCTGAAAACGGTGTAAACTTACAAGTGTTAAATGTGAAAGTTTGCGAGACTATTTGTACATACTTTTGCCCTGTTATTTTGTTGGTAAATGTACGCGTGGATGCACTATGAATCATACCGGCTTCCACGGTGGTAAATTGTTCTTCATATTCAGTGATTTCAAGTCTACTACCAGTAGGTACTGTTGGGATCGTTCCTCGGATGTCTCCGTCTAGTGTTATTTGATCGAATACATCGTGCCCCAAGTACTCTTGGTTTATGATAACTCTATCTGTGGTGTCAGGGAAATATATATCAGCGGTGTGATTAAATTGACCACCAGTGAGCTGATAGCCATTCTTCACTACACCTGATGGTTTAGCGAATAACCAACCGACAACGCTACCGAAGACGCTCAAAAGTTGTAAGCTGCTGCCAAGGGAGGTTGGTGTTTGGGAAAGAGCCGTGTATGACCTTCCATCTGCCACAACAACGTATGCCTGTAAGTCGACGTCGTTTAAGTTTATATTATTCAAAATTCCATTTAATTTTCCATGGACTCTGAGGGGTACGTCGTCTTTTATACAAGATTTGCCATTTCCATAGAAGCCTTCGTTACATTGACAGCAGATTCCAGCTTGATAATCGACGCAACGGGCTTGAATATGACACACGCTGGGACCGCTTTGAGCGCATGTTTTTGACTCCTCCTCTATTTCAATTTCAGCTTCGTCATATTGATCGGGAACCGCGATCGTTTCGTTGGGAGCTATACCACCCACGCGGAATACGTATTTTCCTGGTTCTTGTGTGTTGGACCATCTGGAACGAAAAGATAAATAATTGTAGTGCAGTTTACAAGTGAAATGTTAAGCATGTTTTGAAGAATTCGTTGGTCAATGGTAGCAATGTATGGCTGATAATCAACGGGTCGTGGGTTCGATTTTTGTAAAACATGCCTTTTTCTGGAAATCTGGATTTTAAATAGGTGGTAGGAATATCGAAATTACGTCCGGACCCCGAACCACCATCCGCAGAAGAAAAAGCCGTGAATTTTAATCGTGTTTCGATTTCAGTCTGTGGATTTCAGAATATGCAAAGCCTCCTCTCATCAAATAAACCCCATGCTTATCTGTACTCCTCTATTGTTAAAAAAAAGTTGAAAACTTACGATACTATGTTTCGGATCTGGTGACTACCCGAGCCTCTGAGAGTAAAGACTCTGCCGTCTTCAGCAACAAAACCAGCCTGTGCCTTCGCATCTGGCAAACTGCCAGGCGGCGTTTCCTTCTGTATCCACTGTATCTCGCGTTCCGGATACAATAACTCGACAAAGCTCTCATTACCATTACTAATTATGGCTACTTGGAAACTGTTCTTTCGGTCCTGGTACTGTTCGCTCGCATATTTCACTTCTATCCAAGTTGCTAAGAAGACACTTGTGGGTCTAAATTCGTCGTATTCGTGGAAATTGCTTTGCACGCTATCAGCGGCCTTTAGAAGTACGTGTGTTTCATTTGTTTCTCTGAAGTAAACTGCTCCAGATTCAGTTGTATCGATGTTGGTGTAGAACGCGGCTATGGAAGGGTATGGTAGTGGAAACTCGGCGTTCAGAAAGCTTGGTATATCCGCTCTGAAGGATAGCACGCCGTAGTTGTTGATCTGTAAATAATTTTTTTTTCTAAATATTCTGAAATAGAACTGTTAAAATGTTGGTGGGTTTTATACATTTTAATATAGTTATCAGAAAGATTAAGTAGGCCCGCGTCGCGAGTTTTGACCTGTATTCAGATAATTATATCTTGCATTGAAGGTCGGGACTTTAGCTAAACGTTGATAACGCATCTAAAATTTCTAATGTTCCAAAGCAAGTGCAAATATTTATATTTATCGACTTTCGACAATCATCATCCAGACAATAATAGTTAGTCTAGTAGTTCCAAAAACAATTATTCCAAAATTCCAAAAACAAGAAAAAGTAACAACCATAAGCCACACAAAAGCATATAAGACAATGTCTTACCAAATATAAAAATAAAACATAATTTATTCTTATGTTGTGTGTTGCTAGTTGGTAGAATAGGATCTTACTCAGCATATATCAGATCCTTTGTTGATCTGAAACTGATTTTCAGTAAGTCCTAAGAGTGAAGGTGAGGAAGAAGGGGGAGCTTCCTACTTGTTGCACGTTGGGGTGTTTGCCCCCTAACTTTGATAAGTGAATCTTTAAGCGAAATAAACTAAACCCATAATGTCTCAATAATAATATGAATTTTAAGTCAGTGACCGTTGTTATCTATGCATACAACGAGCATTTCCGTTGCAATCCGCAACAGTACTTATCGCCAAAACCTGCTATCAGCGGTTTGCAAATTTTAATACCTAAAAGCACTTTAACGGTTTAAAACGCGAAAGATATATATATTTCTTAATATAGAGGAAGACAGACAAGGATGGAGTTCACGCGATGGGAAGTGAAATATCCAAGTCATATAACATCTAAGCAAGATGCGCTATCTACTTATTTTGGTTAATAATAAAGAAGTTTAACTAATATCTTTCGCATTTTAAACTGTTAAAGTGTTTTATTTAAATATGGCCTACTCGCGTACAGCTAAATCCCGTTTTCGCTTTTCGGGGTTGTAAAGGACACCTCTATGTCTGTCTCATTATATCATGCATTTACATTCAAGTAGTTATAGATAATAACAAAACCTGACTTTTTTGAACAAGAAAATTTTGCGCTTGTTATATTGTTCTTTTTTTCTTAGCTGCTTAGAATTGACAAATTTTGTTGTATGTTGTTTTATGCACGATATATATCGTTATTTTCTCTAGCTGCATTCGTGTGAAATCAGTACTATAGTTCATAGGTTAAGATCAAAAAATGTAAGTGGCTTAAGTGTGATAACATGGTATTTTGAATGAAATTTTTAATTTAAAAAAAAATAGGAATTATAATGAATCATTAAGGAATTGGGCAGTGATTACTTTAATGAGCTGTTTATTCACAACTCATTGTTAGGCGCCGGTCATTGATCTATTATAATTTAGATACGAAATGAATTTATGTAAATATTCTATTAACAATTGGGCACGTGGAACGCAGAAGGTTGCGGCGGTTCGTTTTTACCATAAAATTAGAAAAAATCATAAATAACGTGTTAAAGGAATTTTGAAAAATTGCGTATACATTTAAATAAAACACTTTAACGGTTTAAAACGCGATATATTAGTTAAACTTATTTGAAAATGATTTTTAACTTCGGCCCGACGTTTCGGATGCTTTGCAGCAGCCGTGGTCACGGGGAGACCACGTCTGCTGCAAAGACTAATATATCGCGTTTTAAACCGTTAAAGTGGTTTTATTTAAATGTGTACTACTCGCGTAAACTATAGACAGTATTTAAATTGCGTATAGTTTAATATTTAAAGTAGTGTTCATTAGGGTAAAAATAATTTGTTTATACCTACAGTATCGTGTTCTGTTGTTCTATTGAATAAGAAAAGACCGTTATAAATAAAGTAACATCGTAACATAAAAGTCTCTTTCGTTGTGAAAGAGGAGATCTTGAAAAAAAACTATATACGCCGAATATATAGTAAATAAGTGAAAGTCTGAAAAGTCCGGATGTCTAACATTTCTTAACGTAGTTCTTCTTTTCTGTCTTCTTTAAAATTCTAAGATGTTCATGCACGAAGCCATCACAAGATCGCGTGTTCGTGTCCTGCCTGTGCCATCGAATGCTATCATTCTTAAATACTTTTTCAAGTAAGTATTAAGCTTTGTATTCATTCATTTAGACTTTCTTAATTAGTAATTACTAAACCACAAGACAAGTGTAGGATTAATAGTCCTATACTAGGGTACAATAAACCAACCACCGCACATTGTTACTTCAAAGGGACAAACTTCGTATTCGTATTCTTTGAAGTGAAAACAAAAATACAGAAAGGTGAAAATACATGGGCAATAGGCATGTTAAATACAACACGAATTTCCGATCCTGAAAAGTTTAGAAAAAGTTCGGTACTCACGAAAACGCTTTCATAAGTTTCTCCGAAGAAAACAATGGGTACATTTAGTGGCACTTCGGGTGAAGCCACATCAGAACCTCGTGGGAGCCGCTGGTCCAGCCCCTGCCCGTACGGATAGAACTGATCGCGGGTGATTGCGCCCGTGCAGGCGACAAGGCATAGAAGCAACGCGCCCGTCCGCATGGCGACGCGATTTTCAACTAAACAGGCCTTTATCGGGACGTCGAGGAATGATCATGTTTATTTAAAAAAGATTTTACCTAATAACGCGCGTTTTTGGGAGCCTCACTAATTAAATATTAATGATTTGATCTTTGCGTGCCCCGTGGACTTTGCAATACCATGCCACTTTTGATTGGATATTTATAAAAATGAATTACAATATTTTTAATTTAAGATTTTTCAATGTAATGTTGTGCCTAGGTATGTGTATGTAGTGTACAAGAATATGACGAATCGGCGACATTTTGGCATCAAATTATCTCAAAACTCAATTGAGCGATATAAATTTTAAATAATTAATTATCTAATACTGTAAACCGGGTATCTTTCGCTGCCATACTGACAGCCTCTATATATACTAATAAATTAATGAAAGAATTTCTTTGTCTTAACGCGCTAGTCTCAAGAAGTGCTGGTTCGAATTGAAAATTTATTTTTGTGATGGTCAAATCGAGGAAGGCTTTAGGCTATAAAGACATCAGGCTGTGACAAATAGGAGCGAAGAGAAAGAGAAATGTGGAGAAAACGGAGATAATTATTAATCTTTAGGGGTGCGCGTGCGCTGCGAAAACGGTCATGATACCCAATATATATATGAAAGAATGATTTATCCTTAAATCAAATAAAATGCCCGCGACAGTATACGCCTATCTTCTAAGATTAACTTGCAAGAACGGAGGGACGGTAGATAATTCTTTAAGCCATGATAACAGCAAAAAGATTCTATATATTACGTATAAAATAAGAATGTTCCTTCTAAATGATTTTCTAACACAGCGTCCGCTTTTCGTTAATTTTAAACTATGGGGCAACATGAGACGTTTTACGATGGTTCAACTGGAAACTGGGTTAACATCCCATGACAACCGCATCTCCAGGAAATCGTACCATTTGAAAATGGTAATCCTATAAAACTTTAAGCTCTCGAAATAATTCTTTTTAAAAATAACATGGCATAGGTCAAGACAGAAATCACAGAGACATACAAAAATAGTGGGTAGGTATATAAAATCTGGCAATTACGTACTTGTAACGAAAATAATGTCTGTGTGCAGATCTCCCACGCACTAAATATTTGACATTTTAAAAATAAAGCAACGTTTATTTTAAAACCGAATGCAAGTGCGGATAGAAATGTTTTTCGCAGTTTTTAAAGTACAACATATACTCGTAAGTAGTATCACTTTGACGCAATACATCCACATGTATTCAATTTGTGTGACAGAGCAGGACAGACAATATAATGGAATATAAATTTCGGATAAAGGATGGTTTGTTATCTGGAACTAGTCTAACATTTTAATACGACGTTTCCGATGTTACAACTGTAAAGCAAATTGAAATAAGTTTAAATAATATTAATCACTTTTTAAACCGTTAAAGTGTTCAGTTTAAATAAACAAACGAAGTTTAATGCACTGTGTACATTTTTTATCGATTTTTATTATAGATATCTCTAAAAAAATACATATTAAACAATTATATATCCACCGGAATAGTTGAGTAAATAAATGTAAGTCAGAGGTCGAGTCAACGTACAACCCTCACTTATCACTGTAAAAATGGAGTGTCCCTGACATTCACGAGCGTTCTTGGTATATTGAGTGAATATACCTAGTACAGATTACGATAATTTACATATGGACTAGCTGTGCCAGCAACTTTGTCGTATATAGTTATTTTTGGGAAACAAAATTTGTCCTGCCTATAGTTTACGCGAGTAGTACACATTTACATAAAACACTTTAACAGTTTAAAACACGATATGTACGCTGCAAAGCATCCGAAACGTCGGGCCGTAGTCAAAATAAAATGTTCAAACGTTTCACTAATATACATATCGCGTTCTAAACCGTTAAAGTGCTTTATTTAAACAAAATTTGTTTTAAATTAAAAATCGATTATAATTTAAAAACAATTCCTACACGGGCGGGACTCGAACCGGCGTCCACAGCGTTCAGTGCTGTTGCTCTGACCAATTGGGCTACCATGTCCTACACGTCATAGTTGAATTTTTTCAACCTATTGTTGCATGCACCTTTCGCGCAACTTTATAATCTGTATACGCTTTGTGATTGTGATTTTTAACTTACATAGTGCCATCATGCGCAATAGCATGTGAAAAATATTAAAAAGATTTCAAAATTTGTTTTTTCAAACCTTTTCTTTAATAATTCGAGCTGTTGCCCATAATGCCGTCCGCGCTCCATCATTCTTGCTAGTTAATCTTAAAAAATACATGCCGATAAGAGTAATAAATATTTCATACATATTATTTTGGGTATCTTTTTCTATAGCCTAAAGTCGTTCTCGATAAATTATTTAAATTGTAAAGCATTCGAAAAGTCGCCGTAGTTAAAATAAGTTTGACTAATATATATCGCGTGTTAGACCGTTAAAATGTTTTATTTATATGTGCGCTACTCGCGTAACCTACAGTATTTAAAAATATGGCAATTAACTTATCGCGTTACATACCAGTAAATTGGTTTTTATTTAAATGTGTGTGTGACTTTTAAACATACTTAAATCATTACTCGAATAGACTTTTTTTGTCAAAATTACTCTACTTAATACCTTTCAACTATAAAGAACTCGTAAAATCGAACATTACACATAAACAAATAATTATATTTAATATAAAATCTATTTAAAACTTTACCCACTTATAAAGGTATGTGCAAGTATTTCTACTTAAACAAACACATTTAATTCAATATTTATTTATTAAGATCGTTGATCTAAGTGTTTATATCTCAATGATTATGCATAAACAATGAAGTAGTATTTCTCGCGAACTCATTATCGGCGAGTGTCCTAATTACTTCGTTTGATATCGTTTTGTAATAAACAAACAGTTAAAATTAAATCTTAACAATAGAATACAATACTATGTTTAGGCAATCCAAATAGTATTAAGTCATAAGTTTCTTTTCTTTTAAAAAATTTAAATATTTTTTAATGAGAGTAAAATACCCCACTCATATTACATCATGACGTGATGCGTTATCGACCTATTTGAGCTTCATTCGACAATTCACATACTGAGACCGATACGCGATTGAAGCTCACGGCTTTTTCATCTGTGGTTTGGGATACCCATTTAGTATCCAGATTTCCAGACAAAGTCCAGCATATTTCAGAAGAAAATCAAGCTAAGCGAGGAGTGAAGGAGCGAAGACGGGAAAAGTGGGAAAATTATTCACCTTTGGAGGTTTACGTTTCGCTGTGAAAACGGTTCAAGATACAAAAGACAACGTCCTATCTATAAAATAATAAAAAAGACAGACGTAGTCTTCTTTATATAATAAAAAAAATAGAATCTATTTTGTAAGAGTAGCTTACAAGAACCATGTTTATGGTAATCTTTGGTCGAAATACTTTGGCAAAAAAACGTTGGCCAGGTCAGCTATTGTATCATATTTCTGCGGAATTCGAACCTCGGACCTCTCACGTTAAACGGAATGTCATCTCTCATGTTTAGAGTAGGTAGTAGATTTTTAATATATAATGTGTAATTTATAAATCCACTTTATCGCGTATTAATAGATTTAAAACAATTTGAGCATTGACCTAAGCAATATATGTATGTCAGCAACTGCGATTCTGTTTGGCATTTTGCCGCGATGCGTCTGATAATAAAAACACCACTAAAAACATTCTTACCTTTTTTTTAAAGTAATGTCAGCATTCTTCTACACAAAAGTTATTAGTAGTGAGATATTTTTGTATACAATGTTGATTTTGGTCGTCATTTCTTAAACTTCTTTAACTGTTTACGAAATATCGACCAAATTAAAGAATGACACGGAAATAGGCCGCCATGTCCGGTTAAGTAGGTAAGTTTGACAGGCTAGACAGGTCCTGTGTTCGATCCCCACCGGGCCCATGTTTCAAATCAGTATATAATTTTTCTAAAACATATTGGACGTTTAAATAAAACACTTTAACGGTTTAAAACGCGATATATTAGTTAAACTTATTTGAAAATGACTTTTAACTTCGGCCCGACATTTCGGATGCTTTGCAGCAGCCGTGGTCACGGGGAGACTATATTGCACTTTGGAAATTTGTATATTAAATGGGTGGTAGGAATATCTAAATTTCCAAACGGTACACGAACCGTTCAGAACGGTTTATATTACCGAATAACCAATGCCAAAATAGGTCAACGCATCTTTAGATGTTAATATGGCTGAGGTATTTACCTACAGTCCTCCTCTGTCATAAAAGGTATTTGTTACCTACATTCAACAGCGTGATTCTACGATAAATAAATTTTAACACATAATTTTTCTTTTTGGCTTTCTATATATAACAACCCTACATTGATGAGTAATTGGCCTATCTTATAAAAATTACCTAACACTTCAACTTCTTAGATATTAATGTTAGTGTCACTGCATAATATGTAGCTTAATTAATGAATTCAAGTGATAACGTAAAAATAGATTAAACATAGATAATTTCATTAATACAACTAGCCTAATCACATTTTTTATTTGCTTGAGGCACGTCCTTAAGTTTTACTTGTGGATATTTCTAGAGAAGTAGACATCTGTGCCCTGCCCTACCGAAACTATTACGCTTTCGCGGGATTCGATCCTGTGACTAGGATCCTAGTTGTGTTTAACCACTCAGCCACAGTTACAATTCGACCGCGCGTGTGAAAACAATTGAAAGAAAGAAATTTATCGTCCGTTTTGTAACATTTTAAACGTAGTATTATTCAATAATTAATGTAATTAATAAAATGCACGTCGCCATTGTTGTGCAATGATTTTGTTGTGTTTCATATAAATAGGCCAGTAGGTGAACGATCTCTGTCAATATAAAGTGCATAGTTAAACATAATGCGGATCCGAGCATTGTTACTCGTTTGTATACAAGTTTTCGTTGGCGAGGTAAGGAAAGTTTCTATTAAGATTTTTTAGTATCCACTGAAGAAATATATATATAAAGATATATATATAAAAGAAAATCACATGGGTGGGTACATAAGAAGGAGGAGGGGGGGGGGGGGGGTGATTAACCAGTACCGCATATATTTTTGCATCCTGCCTGTAATCCATATAGAACAATCGCGATGTATTACACAATTAAATAAAACAAAAAAACTATTCTGTTTAGAAGGTAAATTAATAATTTAAATAAAACACTTAAACACTTAAACAATCTTATTTATTTGCTTTGGGAAGAAGCCGTGGTCCGGGGGGTCCCCCCGTTAATTGTGTACTACTCGCGTACTACTCTATAGTTATATACAGAGTATTTAGTTTAACTGATATAAAAATGATTTCGACTATTCTTCTTCGTCCCGTACCCCTTCAGTATCCACCACGCCTACTGAAAGTACCCCAAACGACGGGCTGAAGTGAAATAATTAGTAAATAAGTGTAAAAATTTAAGTTTTAGGTAGTTAAACGTGTTTTAATTAAAATCGTATGCAAAATTTTTTACTAATAATTTTCGCGTTTTAAACCGTTAAAAGTGTTTCATTACATTTTTTTTTTTGCCAAAATCACTATCTATACTTTCATTTCAGGAAACATATGCACAATGCTTCGGATATACGCCAGCCAACATGAACAGTTATTACGGATCCAATTTTTACAACTACCGCCCATACAGAGAGAACATTGACGAGGCATTCTTCACGAGACAACTACAGATGCAAATGGAGAGTTTAAATCTACCCTCACCTTCCATCAATATTGCTGCTGATGGTCTCATTATCAATGGAGCAATTTCTGTCTCCGGGACCTTACCTTTCATGAGCGCCGTCGCTGTTCAAGGGGAATTACCTATGTGTGGTACGGGAATGGTGCAGTTCAACTCGGCTGGTACGGATTTTGGAGTGACGGAAATGCCCATTTATAGGACAAGTTATGGTCCCTATAGCTCAATACAGTATTGTTAATATAATAAACATTTTTTATTTATTTGTTTTTTACATAAGTTACTTGTAAATAGTCAATAATAAATAGTCTTTGGGGCATGGTGCAAACTCATTTATGTCTCCGTTTCACTAATGCATTATATTTAATTAATTTAGTAGTAGTTTAGACCTCTGTGCCGTGCTGGAATGAAACTATTTATTGTTTCCCCGGGATTCGAACCTAAACTAAATTAAGTCTAACTTTTTGGTCTTGTTTAAGGGTAAAAAGCGATGTGCATGCTTTAAATAAAAAATCGATTTTAGATCGGCATCCACAGCGTTCTGTGCGGTTACTATAACCAATGAGCTACCGTGTCCTACACGTCATCGTCGATTTTTTTCAATCTGATACATGCACATCTTGCGTAATCCATTTTTATATAGTTGTTTAGACTTCTGTGCCCAGCTATACTGCAAATATTTCTTGCTCTCCCGGGATTCGAACCAGTACCTTAAGTTTTACTTGTCATGCTTCGGGTAAAAAAAAGATATACATACTTTAATATTGTCATGTAATTTTAAAAATTAACATTGTATCTCGAAATATATTGTTTCTTATACTTATATTAGTCAAAAAAGCGATTTATAATTAAAAATACATTGGGAATGTGTTTTTAATTATAATTTTAAAAATATAGTCAGATTAATGCTACATCTAAAAAACCTTTTAACGGTTTAAAATGAATGTTTTACGCGTTTTAAACCGTTTAAAATGTTTTTTTTTAATGTTTTCAGTTTTATTTTTTGCGTATTGAAGGTTATATATAAAGTTTTTTTTATTTAAAACAATTACGATACAGTGTTTAAAAGATCCTAGTTGAGTAAATTGAGAATTAATAAGTAAGTGTTTGAAAAGATAGAGTGTAAAATTTGTGTCTTTTTGTGTCGAAAAAATCTCATTGTAAAAATACACCGATGGTTAAGTGAATAATCTCAAAGGTATCGATCACAGTTACATCACTAATAACAGTATCCTTCGTTCTGGTAACACCACTCCGGTTCCAGCGACTCCGCCTGGATCCCCATGCGGACTAAGCGCTCCCTAAGAAAATATAAACTTTTAGTATATTGTATAAAGATATCAGTACAATTTAATATCGAACAGCTCTGTGTAATATGTATAAGATACCCGTATATCTGCTTAATAAGAAAATTAAAATTCAGCTCATTTCAGGCCACAGGATTTGAGTAACACACTATATTTAAATAAAACACTTTAACTGTTTAAAAACTTATTTTAAATCATTTTCAAATAAGTTAAACTGTGTATTTAAATGTGTACTACTCGCGTAAACTACTGACAGTATTTATGTAAGTAGTTTGATAGATAAATTTAGATCCTCACCTAACATGTAACATGCGACGTTCGGCCTTAGCCCAGTCAGTGTCGGGTTCAGCCCACAAGCGTTCAGCCATAGCTGCTGCACGGGGCCACAACCTGCCATCGAGGGTCGAAGAATCTGATTGCTCAGACCATAGAGCTGCTTCTCCACCTGGGACCAATATTATGTTTTACTTACTACTAGACAAAATAGAAAACTGAGCTTCGTGAATAGTGGATAGCAATTAAAAAAAAATCTTTACTAATATAATAGAGCGGAAGATTTTCTTTGTTTGAATGCACTAACCTCAGGAAGTACTAGTTAGAATTGAAAATTTTTTGGGTTGGATAGACCATTGAAGCTTTAGGCTACATCAGCGTATAGCCGATAGAAGCGAAGAAAATGTGAAAAATGTAAGGAAATTTTGCAATCTTTAAGGGCTTCGGTTCAACAGTTCAAGATGCCCACAATATTTTTGCATTATTTTTTTTTATATATTTATTTATACATTAAAGAATTATTCTTCTTTAAATAGTCTTAATCATGGCCAGGACAGTATATGTCTATCGTTTAAGATTAACTCGCTAGAAACGTTTTTATGTAAACAAATTTAGCCAAAATATTTCATATGACAAAAAAAAACTGCCAGATCAGCTAGTTACAAACAAACATATGAATCCGCAAGTAATTTTATCTTATTAAATTATAATTTAAAAAAATATACCTAAAATTTGGTCAGAATACTGCATGGCCATTTGTTTAGGGCTGTTGTCATAGACTTTTTGCCAACCAATGTATGGAGAGCACCAGTTATTACCTGAAATCCATAAGAATCTTTAACATCGTTCATTTTAATATAGTATCGAATATAGAGTGAGGATAAGGAACAGAAAAGAACGTTTTATTATTTTGTATATGCTACATACAAAATAATAAAACGGAGGGTAGTTATAACTATTTTTACTACTACCCACATTTCAATATTACTTCAGTGGATTGTATTCTAAGTGATTGTCTGCTTCTGTAGCGAATTAATTAAATATGTTGACTACCATTGCGTTAAGCCCGAGAGGTCCTAGATTCGAATCCTGGGAAAAAATAGATAGTTTCGGTCCAGCAGGGCTGTTTGTTCAACTGGCTGTATTTAAACTACTCAGTGGAACGGACAAAGAAATGTGTTCGGCTCCACCCCACAGAGGGAAATGTGATTTTACTTTGATTATATTAATCATAAAATAACACCATTTTACACCACTAAATTTGTCGAGTTTTAAGACTTAGAGATAAGATTGTATATTAATTAAGGATTTTTTTGGATGAGGGTAGTCAACACACCACTGCCGATCCAAGCGCCGTAACCGCAGTCCAAGTATAGAGCATCGTAATTGGACATGATGAGGCGGTATCCCTTTTCAAGCAATCCTTTGATCTGAGGATCGGCTCCAGTGGTCCACACCTGATTGGTAAGTTAAGTATATTAAGCTAAATAATTCGACGGGCTCGTTGGTGTAATGGTAGCAATGTATGGCTAATAATCAATGGGTCGTGGGTTCGAACCGTTGGTCCATAATTTTTTAAAGTTTATAATTTTTCTGAAATATGTTTGACTTTGTCTAGAAATCTTATGGATACGGATGCTAGATGTGTGGTAGGTATATCAAAATTCTGTCCGGGTCCCAAACCACCATCCTTCATGAAAAAACCCTTATTTAATATATCCCCCTCCCAACCCTCCCCAAAAATTGTACCCCATGAAGGATGCACACGCATATTAAATTGTTTAAGAAAATTAATCAATCTTCATTTAATACATAATTTAAAAATGCAGGCACACATTTGTATGTGTGGTATATCTAAGACATAGCAAAACTAAGTAAAAATTGTCAACAAAGCACTTTAAAACCCTTTCTATCTAATCAATCAAGTTAATAAATTAGATTAAAACTATTTAACCGGCTTAAAAGTAATAATATTAATGATATTTTTTTGTTTCTTAGTCAAGGTCGTTCTTGAAAAGGTAGATTTTTTATTTATTTATTTACATTAGAAAACACAAATATGATATTGGAAAAATGGATCACAATTTCGAGGTTTTCCCGTGGGTGGTTTAATTGTTTAAATAAACATATATTTAAATAAAGCTTACCTGTATAATGTAATCGTCCTTGTTCAGGAAGTTGTCGATATGCGCGTAATCAGTCAATGTGCTGGTCCATAAGATTATTGGTAGACGTTTGCCAAATGCCTATAGAAATGTTTTTTCATTAACATAAAGGAATATACCTAAGGAACTCCCAATGCTGTTTATAGTTTACGCATGTTATGTAGTTTACACGAATGCGAGGGTAGTTAACTCATTAATAACGTTGACTAATTAATGTCTCGTTTAGTACCGTGTAAAAGTGTTTTATTGTATTAGATTATAATGCATGTGATATAACTCAAAATATATTACTAGGTATATTAGCTTTTTAATTACTATGATTCTGTTTCAGTAGCTTAATAACAGCTATAGTATCGTGTTTAAAACCGTTAAAAGCTTTGAAGTACTTGATAGTCTAGATATTTAGTGAAACAAAGTAAAAGAAAATTAATATGACTCTAGTGTGATAAGCGTTTCTGATGCTTTGTTCTTATCGTTTCGTGTTTTTAACAGTTGTAAGCAAAGCATTTAAAGCACTCGTTAGTAAGTCTTAAAAAATGTCTTAAATATGACTCGAACTCCCTAACGTATCTTTCAAATATTCTTTCAACGTAAATATGCTCTAGAAGAAAAAGCAATTCGAACCTCATAAACTCGATCTTGGGCCTTAGTCTGGAAGTAGTTCCAGAGTTTCAGGAACGAGCTCTTGTCCAGATCCCATCTGTTCTGGATCATGAACTGCTGGATCTCCTGCGATGTGTTCCAGCACCTCTCGCTCACTTCGTCTCCTCCCATGTGGAAGATGTCCGGATTGAAAGCATCTGAAAACGAAGTATGATAGCGTTTTGTATAAAACTAGACTAACTAAACTCATCTTTATAAAATACTAGCTGTGCCAGCGACTTCGCCCGAGTTAGGGCTTAGGGGCATCCAAATGTATTTTTGCAAACCTCCTCTTCATCTTTATTAATTTAAACTGCTATCTGACATCGACATCGGACGCGTCGCGTCGCATGCGACCCGTCGTTCTGGTCCCGTTTAACCGTTTTCGAATCATACGGATCGGAAACCCACAGAGATGAAAAAATTCCCCAGTTTTGTTCACATTTCCCGCTGTATCTATAAAGATACAGATTATACGCCTTTATAGATACAGCGGGATTTATTTTGTACATATAATTCTAAGTATTCTTATTTAGTAATTCTTATGTATATGTTTGTGCAATAAAGAGTTTTTATTATTATTATTATTATGTTCGCTTGTATACTAATAATTGTGACTACACAGGACGATCTTTTATAGCCTATAGCGTTCCTCGATAAATGTTCTAAGCAACACAAAAATATTGTTTTAATTCGAACCCGTAGTTCCTGAGATTAGCGCGTTCAAACATACAAACAAATAAACTCTTCTACTTTATATATGAGTATAGATTAGACACTAAACAACACACGAGTCGCAAATTATATAAACTCTTTGTGAAATTCTATACAAACCGTTCATATCAGCATAGATATCCTTGATGACGTCATAGAGTTCTTCTTTCACTGGGTTGAGTTGCCCACACGGGGGTTCCACGCAGATGGAGGCCCATGGTTCTCCCTTAACAAGTAACAACTTATAACTTCCTTGTACCATTTGTCAAGAGAATAACTATAAATCTCCCTCTTAGTTGGTTTACTCATTTTTAATAACTACTTATTGTAATCTTGAAAAATCTAGAAATCAACTGGTTGGTAGGAACATCAAAATTCGGTAATAAGTTTTTTAGACCAATTGTATATTGTTAATTGTTCAGATTCATTCGGTGGATTACCGATTACAAAATAAGGCGACAGCACATCGGGATAGCTATGGTATTTCACCTCACCATAAATTAAACCCCGTGTCAATCATTTTCTATCATAAAAATGCAAATTGATTTATTACATTACCTTGAAGCAAACGGTCAATCCAGTGCTCTGCCATCCTTCACCAACATGCGCCGGCGCATCGAACTCTGGCATAACTCGTACACCGCGTTCCAATCCAAATTGTACCACATCTGCTATCATTTCTGGAGTATATACCTACAAAGAACAAGGCATCATTATTGTTCTTTTAAGGATACCGAAGGCCGGTTGATTAGTAGACACAGTCATTTCATCTAAATTCCCATACTCCAATGGATTTTTTATGATTATCCAACAGATATGCAAACCCATTCTCTAATCCAAAATTAATACAATGTTTTTTGGAGCCTAAACAAAAAACCAATAAAGATACTTTGATCCGTCCATTTTTGGCCTGAACTATTATGGTGAATGGTCGTTTAAAAATCCCTTTTACTTTCGGTCCAACATATTTCTATGTCCGTTTCGCTGATCGGTTTTACTTAAAGGCAAGTATTTTTTCAGAGGAGTCTGAAACAATTTAATGTCTCCCAGGAGTTCGAACCCAGGACCTCTTGTGCTTAACACAAATGCTAGCCAACACGTTGGTGTACAACAAAGAGTGTAGACAATTGGTACCTAATAAAATTTAGTTATCTAAGAAAAAAATAAGTTTTACCTTAGCGGGGCTGTAAGCTCCGAATTTGGTGAGATTAGGTCTACGGTTAGAAACGAATGGGAAACTCTGACTGTCTGTGATATGCCAGTGGAAGGTGTTCAGTTTGACAGCGGCCATCGCATCTGCAAGTATAACGTGAAGAAATTAGTTTTTTAATGAAATAGGAGGACAGAAAAGCCGGTTCACTTGATAGAAGGTGAAATACAACAGCCATAAATATCTAAACTAGATGCGATGTCGATCTATTATAACTTTGGATATTCGGAAATCCAAAAACCGAAACGCGTGAAAAGACGTGATTTCACGGCTTTTTCACCTGCGTACGGAATTTTCGTATTCCTCTTAGAATTTTAATATACTCTTATAGATAAGCTGTCTGCCTATATAAATAGTATATTCAAATCCGTGTATTCAAATCATTGACTCATAATTTTTCTACAAGAATCGAACCTGTCGAACGAATCGAAGATCTGCATATTAACACAATGATACATAAATTAGCGACTGCAGTTGTTTTTCTTCTGTAACTGTCAAAACTACAATACGTGTGTGTATACGATACGTGTGTGTGTGCGTGTGTGTGAGTGTATAAACGAACAGTATCACATCAATGCTGGCAACAGGTAAAACCTTGACAAAAACACGACAATCGCGGACTTACCAATAGTCCTCTTTATGGAATCGATACCGAAGTAGTTTCTTGCAGTATCCAGTAGAATTCCTCGATACGGGTAGACCGGCTTATCGGTTATGTCAACATCGCGGACTATCTGCAATATACGTTCAAAATTTATTATATTAGGCGTGACGTAATCGGCAGACATATTTCTGTGTCCGATTTTTGAAGGAATAGGATATCTTATGATCGATTAAATAAAACACTTTACATTAAAACCTATACATTTCGCGGCTTAAACCGTTTAAAGTGTTTTATTTTATTGTGTAGAAGTAGTGAAAACTACCCACAATACTTGAATAACGGGAAATGTTAGTTCCTTTTTCAAACGACGAGGAATCAAAAATAAAGCAAGCTAATTCAACTAACAAAGGTTACTTTTTTGCTCATAGCTCAATAGCTATGAGCAAAAAAATCAATCAATAATTCCCACTTAATTGTTATTACGACATCGTCCTTGTCCCGAAAGGACAAAATGTTTATCAATTTGTCTCGCCGTCTGTATTTGTTTTCTTTGCAAATTCGTATAGTTCTCAGCTAGGACGAAATGTCACAAGGATCAATTCGCATGGACATTATGTAAATGATCTGATGTCAGCGAACCCAACCGGTTGGAGCTTGATTTGAGATTTTTTTTCACCTTCGTAACTTGATTAAGTTCAACGCTTTATTTGATGGGATTCCGTCCAAGTTAAGGACAAATTGACTGGTAATCAAAACACAATCGCTTTTATAAGGCTATAAATAAAACAAATATGCTGGAGTTACACGTATAGAAGGATAGGATTTTGAATAGAACACTGTAGAAGTAATAAGGTATGGAAACTAATGTGGTTTTTCTCATCTATACTTATATTATAAGGATGAAGAGTTTGTTTGTTTGTTTGAAAGTGTTAATCTCAGGAACTACTTGTTCGAATAAAATTCCTTTTGTGCTGGTCGAACCATTTATCGAGAAAGTCTTTTAAAGCTAAGAAACAGTGGAAAATGTGGAAAACGGGAAAAAGTAATCATCTTACTCCGATGAGTGCGATGCGAAAACGATTCGAGAAAACAAAAAAAAATATGTATGATAGAACGATTCTTCATTAAATGATCTAAAAATATCCGCGACACTACATGTCTTTAAAGATTAACGCGCAAGAACGACGTGGAACAGCTATAGTTTACAAAGCCGAGCAAGAGGTTTGCAAAAACAAATTTCGATGCGCAAAAGACAATTTCTACGTGGACGAAGTCGCGGGAACAGCCAGTAACTTATAAAGCTGAGGAGGTTCTATTGAAAGTTAATAATATGATGCCCAAAATAACTTATCTACGTAGACGCCGGCGCAGGTTGTGTTATTATAATATGCACTTGTGGCATTATATAGAGAAACCAAGTTTTAAATTTGTGAGATCAGTAGCACGGAACACTTAATGGCATTATGTTTACTGATTAAATAACAAGTAACGTTTCATATGTTGATTCATGGGTGCTTTAAAGAGGATGCTGTCCTAGTTGATTTATTTAAACGACTATGAATGTGAGTGTTTTAAAATGGCCAGCAATTCTTCATACATTTATCCTTATATACAAACACATCTATAACACATGTAATATGTGCTAGAGGCAGAGTGGACTAATAACAAAAAACAACGCGCAATTAACTTATAAGTGAAATCCCGTTTCCCCCTCGTGGGGCATGGGGCGAACACATTTTCGTGTCCGTTTCACTGATCCGTTCTTTAACAGGCAAGTAGTTGACTTCTGTACCCTGCCCGATCGAAACATTTTTTTGTTACCCTGGGATTCGAACCCAAGACCTCTCGAGCTTGTAATGCTAGGCAATACGTAACACCTTGGCTACAGAGGCGGTCGCAAATAACTTAGGTGAAGATGAAGTTGTACTATTATTTGTGTAAGAATTGTGTTAAGAATTTTTAGTCACTGTCTTGTAGATTAACAGTTTTAGACTAAGAAAATGTAAATAACTCAAGTCATAAACTTGTAGTTAGGCTACTCTGCCTCTAGCGGTCTCATACCATCTTAATAACTTTTTATAAAAAATACAGACAAGCACGGGGTTCGCTTGGTGCAAGGTGAAATATCTCAGTCATATACCATCTCGGTAAAATGTGTTGTCGAACTATTTTTTTCTTTGGATGTTCGAAAATCCACAGACTACACCGAAACGCGATTATACTTGACGGCTTTTTCAGCTGGAACTTGGATATATTTACGACTAAATACCTTGGAACCGTTTAAATCGCGAAATATATACGTATGCTGAAACGTCGGGTCTTATTTTTACATTAATTAACTAATATAGTTGTGCTTATCTAGATTTCAAATACTGTCTCTAATTTACGCGTTAAATAAAACATTTTAACGGTTTAAAACGCGAAATGATTTAGAAATAAGTTTATCTAATATATTTCGCGTTTTAAACCTTTTGAAGTATTTAATTAAAATTATCTAGTTCCATTATTACTTACAACGAGATGATTTCTGATATCATCATAGATCATTAGTTGCGAGAGAGTCTCCAAACCATTTCTGACGCCAAAGAAATTGTTTCCAGTGATTGTTGCGTTTATTTTATCGTTGGAGACTGCGCCAACGCGGACACTGTAGCTTTCGTCCATTGTTAGAGAAAATTCTGAAAAAAAAGAGACATTCAAATTCCTAACAACATAATTACCACCTATTTTAATTAACTAGAATAGTTAATTTTGATTCTTTCTAAGAAATTGACTACCTCCATGGCCCAATGGTTAAACGTGTTCCCTAGTATTGTGATAAGCGAATCCTGGCTTAAAATACCTAGGCAAGGCTAATTCGTACAACTTTACGACAACAGAAGTGTGATCAACTACTAACTGTAAAGAACACGATGTAAAGTAAAACATATACATAATTTTATTTGTCTCATAATTGGGTAAATGGGATTTGAAACCACGATTTAAAACGCGATATATATTAGATAACTTATTTGAAAATTATTTTAACAACGTTCCGACGTTTTGGATTCTTTGTAGCAGTGTCCCCGTGACCACGGCTGCTATATACTATTATTTAAACCGTTAAAGTGTTTTATTTAAACATATTTCTTTTCCATTAACTTTAGTAATTTGTAAGCATGAATTATTTCAATAAAGCCCTCATCTGCCTCTAGAAAAACTTCGAGACTTACAAATTATGTAAATTAAAAGCCCGCTGTAAGAGATACTAAAATATAAGTTAAAATAACTTTCCCTCGACCTCGACCTTCAATGGGCACGTTTAATTGCAATTCAGCTCTCGTAAATGTGCTTTCAATTTTGTTCTTTAGTTAGCAAGCTCAATAAAGATTGTCCAAACTTAAATAGGTCGGCAAGACTTATTTAGACGTTATAAGACCGGGATAATTTATCTTCCATCAAGTTAACCACAGTCATGTCTTTTTTGATAAAGAGTGAATTCTCAGCTATTCGATTTTTTAAAATGAGGATTTAATGCCTCGACTCTAAACAAATATAAGACTGGCCGAGAAGTTATTATTCAAATTAGATAACTGTTACAAACATTTAAAGATATTCGTATTTCGATTTAATAAAATATAAACGATTTAATCAAATTCTTCACATTTTCTAACACACACAACATAGCCATATTATACATGTTTATCATGTACAAGAGAATGCAACGCTTAGCAGCCTAAAAACTTCTTTGTGTCCATACCCTAAATTTCTTCTTGTGCCTTTCATTATTTGAAAGTAGTCTTGAAGAATGCTTCATTCAAACTATTGTTTGTCGAAGTTGTTTTATATGAATACTAACTATAAAGAGGCAAGCATCGATATAAATTTATACATATATTTCTTATTTTATCCAATTATACTCAGACCGGATAATCTTCGTTACCGAAAAGTAACGTTTTCTACTAATAAAACAAGTACTGTAATAATTAGACTTTGAAAAGCATTTTTAAGTCCCACAAAGATTAGGGTGGACAAGTTTGGCACTTATTACAACAAAGTAGAATGCGCTGTCGTCCCTTGAATGCCTATACATTGCTACCACTGTAATAATGAGACTATAAAATGATAGTATGTATTTATGTGTGTGTTTTTAAATAGCACTTTGGACTGCTTTAACTTGGAATATCACAATCAGAAGAGTTAAATGTACAAGAGGTCCAAACATCAACGTTGTAGACTAAACTTAAAAATCGATTTTAGATTGAAAAAAATGACTTAAGTTATATTTAGTTAATTAACTCAGTTGTTTAGAGCAAGAGCACGGAACGCTGTGGATGTTAAAGTCCTGACAGTGTCGTAATTTATTTTTAATCCAAAATTCATTTCAAATTTAAATAATACTATCATGAGAAAAATATCAAAGTTTTCAAAGGTTGTTCACATCACTTAAGCTTTTATCATCGTGTTATCAAAAAATCTAATTCATAGATAGCGATAATCGATATCTTCAAAATTGGCACATATTAACATAGTATGTGTGACCGTTTCGAATTTTTATTGACATTATATCGAAACACGAATTCACTTAATCGATATTTTCAACTTGTTTGTTCTAAATTCAAACTTTTCTTGTTGTAAAGGACATATTAAGGTGACCTGGGAACATTTTGCTTTCATCTTTTTTGGTTTTTTAGTTAAGATATCTTGCGAAAAATCTAGAATCAATATTGGTTTTAAATGTCTCTTAATATATATCTGTATATGTACTTACCCCTGACGTCTGGGTTGGCGTTGACAAGGTAGATAATCAAGGACTTGCCGCTAGCTTTCGGAGTCACTCCCAGTGGAAAGTTTAAATTGACTAATTTTTGGAATCTCTGTGAACAAATGTTTCAAAATATGACAAGAATATTTCTTCTTAGTCAGAATCTTATGAAATAAACAGTATATATAAAAGAAATAAATATATTATTAATAATATCTCTAAACTGATCTCTTAAAACCGGTCCTCTTAAAACCGAGAGAAATGTTCGTTCAGCATTTGGAATTTTTCTTAAATTTACAGTACTAGCCAGAGGTGTAAAGGTGATAACCTTTTTCATTGATAATTTATTGTGAAACCTAGACTTTGGAATAGATAATATACAAAAAAAAAAGTTATTTAATTGTGTTCGCTAGTCGGAAAATTAAACCAAAATCTCATTAGGCCCCCAGCCTTCCTTTTAATCCGGCCCTAATTTTCAGTTATAATCGTATAAAGAAATAAAGACATAAAACCACACTTGAAAATGGGTTAATATATGTACGAATAGATAAACTGGATCACCTTCCCAGCTGCATCCATCAAATCATCAGATCTTCCACGTCTGTCGATCTCCACCCGGATATTGTTTATGTTGATTTTGGACAAGAAATTGCCCAGCTCCATTCGTCCCGTCGGTTTGGGCCAGAGCAAACCTGCAATTACTTTTGAATTAAGGGCTGCTAATATTTTATCTAGAACCTAGTTAAAATGTTTGTACAAAACCTAGCATTACTATTAGGTACTGTATGTAGTTTACGCGGTACATATTAAATAAAACACTTTTAACTGCTCAAAAATGCGAAATATTGTTAAAACTACTATACTAGTTCGTTTCTTGTTTGTAAACTTTAATTTATTGCATAGAGTACAAACAAGCATGAAGTTCTCTTGATTGAAGGTGTCATCTCATCAAGAAACTAACTTTAAACTTTTTTAAATAAAACACTTTAACGGTTTAAAACGCGATACATTAGTTAAACTTATTCAAATAAGATAAATGATTTTTAAATTCGGCCCGACGTGGTCACGGGGAGAATTTCAAATAAGTTTAACTAATATATCGCGTTTTAAACCGTTAAAGTGTTTTATTTCAATGTGTACTACCCGCGTAAACTATGGACAGTATTTAACTTTAAACTTTTGGCTTTTTTATCTGTGAACGGTGGTTCTTGACCCAAGACGGAAATGTAATATTCCCACCAGCCATATAATATCCAGATTCCAAGACGAATTCTAACAGGTTTAAAAAAAACTGATTAAAAACCCGGTGGCGATCGAACCTACGAACTGTTTATTTTTAACATACATTGCAACCATAAGACCAACAAGCACGTCAGAATTTGATATTACTATTAAAACCTTTTCGATGCGCAAAACAATGTAAGTCGCTCCCGATTCGCGATTTAAGAGAACAATGCTGTTATGCTCTACAATTTTATCTTCTTGGAAGCTGGTTATAACTGCTAACCGCTTACCGTAATCATTGCAGAACATTTTGCACGCCTCTAGGCTCAAAGCCGGTTCCTTACTCTGCGGGTCATTCTCGGTCTTCACGCATTTACCCTTATCGCAATTCCAACGCCATGGCGACACTTGGTCTTCTGCGTTTGCGCTAAAACAATCCGTCATAAATAGAAATGAGAATACTTTGACGGTTTAAAACACGAAATATATTATTTTAACTTGTTCACAAATTATTTTTAACTACCTACGTACTGCAGCAGCCGAAACGTCACGTCATAGTTACAAAAGGTAACAAATATATTTCGCATTTTAAACCGTTAAACGTGTTTCATTTAAAAATGTACTACTCGCGTAAACTACAGACAGTATTTAACGAGAATATAACTATTTCACGGGACTTTTCACAGTATACGCGAGTAATATATTTTATATAAACGACTTTTGACGCGTTGAAACGCGATTTATATTTAGGATGATACGACGTTTTGAGTACTATTATTAGCAGCCGTGAAGCTGAACTAAAGTACTAAATTAATTTAATCAAGACATTATTTAGAAATTATATTTAGCACAGACCATGTATAACTATACAATGCTTAAATATATAGATTAACATAAGGACTTTAAATAAAACTCTTTTAACGGTTTAAAATGCAAAATATATTTTGGCCACGGGGAATTTCAATTAAATTTTTTACTACTCTCGTAAACTACAGTCAATACTTATCATAGGGCCTTTTAAAGAGATTTCTGTTTCATCGACACGATCTTTTTTATTTTTTGGATCTAAAATTAGTATGTAATATTATTTCTAAAACCACTAATCGTCCCTAGTCGAACGGATTCTTTGTTAGTTTTGCAAGTAGGTACAGTATACAGTGGATAGCATCGCGTGGATAAAAGAAATTCCAGCTAACCAGTTCTTATCCAATAAAGGTAAATGAAATAATCTCTGTTCGTTTAGGATCCAATTAAGAAGAGTAGAAGCCTTACAGACATTGTCACCTACATTCAGTTCAGAGCATGTTTAGAATAATCGATCGCTTTTAAGACTAGATTAACTGAAACAAAGACTAATTCAATATTGAATTTCTATATAAGAGAAGTTTCCTAGCAGAAGTGTCACTGAAATTAGTTATTTGCATTGTACTATTATTACATTTGTGCGTAAACTTTGTGTCTGTCATTACGCGACTCGCGGAAAAACAAACAGACTGTCTATAGTTTACGCGAGTAGTACACATTTTAATAAAACACTTTAGCGGTTTAAAACGCGATATATTAGTTAAAAATCATTTTCAAATAAGTTTAACTAATATATCGCGTTTTCAACCGTTAAAGTGTTTTATTTAAACAAAATAGTTGACAAGAACTATGCAAGACACTTTTAATCATTAAAAACAATTTTCGTGCGTACGTACGTACTTTTCATTTTTTACTGACACCAACTTACCAACTTACCTGTACAGGTCTGTACACACAGAACCTCAAGAACAATAATAAAATTTTGGCAAATTCAAAAAAAATTTTTTTTATTACGTGTTTATAATGACTAGTAATTCTTCAAAAGAAGTAAAGTAAAAAACTAAATAAAATCCATCCGCTTTACATGAAATGATTTATTTACTATTGATATAAACAGTTTTTTTCATTACTATTTATTTTCTAGGACATTTTGTTATTTTTTCAATAATAAAAGGAATTAAAATGCTCTTAGTTATTATCTTTATACGCTCATAAAGATGCTATGTAATTCGAAAATTTGTTTTATATTTTTTGGGTATCGTGTGTCGATTTCTTATTCAATATTTAAAAAAAAACTTACCATTGCATACCCACTAACAGTAGGCAAATCAGGTAAACAGGAGCATAATTTTGCCCCATTTTCATCTGTAAAAAAATATCGATAAAATTATATGGATTTGTAGTACCTATATAACTTCCAACTTAAAAAATAAACTGTGATAAGAAATTAGGACAATATGATTTGATGACACTTCACACACTAAAATTTTGTATAAAGATTAAAGACATAGGTATCCACATACTACCCGCCTAATCTAATCTAACTAAATACACAAAAATCTTTTAATCTACCATCATTAAAAGATTTAAAAGACTTAATCGGTACTAAAAATCGAAACATATTGCGAAATACGACAACAAACAAATACGTATATTCCTAAATTATTTATTATCTTCCAAAGTCCGTTTAACTGACGCTTTACGAATCTTCTTTTCAACCAAAGTATAATGACTCGTATTATTTTTATTTATGTAAATGATAAAAAAGGGAATTTGTTCGTACAAAAACATTAGTGTACTCACAACTTGATGCGTCCACTCAATCTGGCGAATATTTAAAGTATGAATGTTCAACACGCCAACACAGTTCGCATTCTTGTGCAAAACTACAAACAATAATTTCCCGCCATGTAATATACCATCGTCAGTCATATACGATATTATACCTATATGAGTTGTTTATTAGAAAACAAGTTGCCTACCTACTCGTTCTGGTATAATACTAGTTAATAATAACATTCATTCATTATAAAAGAAGTTCACTACATATCAATAAATATTGTTATTTTAATAAAATCAGAAACCAACAACAAAAATATATAAATAAACAAAAAATTTAATTAAACTTTAAAAACCAAAGTTGTTGTTATTGGTTAACAATAATTTTTAATTTTTACTGTTAATAGGATACCTTGACGTTACGTTGACATTAATTCAAAATGACAAGCTGTCAATGTCAATATCGTACCATAACTAATATTGTAAAATGAAAGCTGCAAATAGTAAATACCTAAACAGTTGAATGAGTAAAATATGTTATAAACAGTTTAGTTTATAACTATTAAGGTCTCTCATTATTTACCTATAACAGTTATTGACGTTGGGTCAAAAATGGATCCTGCCTTATTACGGGAACGTGAAGCATTTAGAAAAAAGGCACTCGCGACACCAAGGTATATATCACACTTGTTGGACGTACTCAACTAACTAGTGTATAGCTATGTATTATTAATGTACAACTTTCGCTTGTCTCACTCCCACTTATCTCTTTAAATCCTTCGGACGACACAATAAGTATGATCCTAACATTATCATGTTAGAAAGAGTTGATAATACAAACAATATAGTATTCTTATTTTTATTGACTGCACCCAAACATTTATTTGTTTTATAAGATCAGAATATGACCAGCCAATATAATTAAAATTTGCCAAAACTTTATTTTAGTCCCTAAGTATTTAACAAAAACACATTTGTTATAAACATTTTCTTACATTTTCAGTGTTGAATTTAAAAAGAAAAAAGATGAATCTCCTTATAAAGATGATACCAAAAAGAAATCAAAATCATCTGTGTCTTCAGTTAGCTCCGCGCCAAAACTCGATGCAACTAAGTGAGTTTAAAGTATAGAAATTAAAATTTATAACTCATTACTCGAAAATTTAATTAAATGTCTATTTGTAAACTGTGTAATCTTTCAGCTACAAAACAATGGCAGGAAGCTCTTCATACAGATTTGGAGTACTCGCTAGAATTGTTAGACATATGAAAGCTCGGCACCAAGAGGGTGATGACCACCCACTCTCTCTAGATGAGATTTTAGATGAAACTAACCAATTAGATGTAGGAAGTAAGATAAAACAGGTATTGTATCATATAACACAATATGAATACCACTTAACATCTCCTGTGTATTATATTTACCTAAGATGTGTTGTTGACATCTAAAATAAAGATTTATATTTTAGTGGCTACAGACTGAAGCGCTACAGAACAATCCAAAAATTGAATGTAGTCAAGATGGAAAATATATATTTAAACCTGTATACAAAATTAAGGATAAGAAATCATTATTAAGGTCAGCTGAGTTTGAAAAGAAATTATATTTAAGTGCCTTTTTAATAATCTTCCATACAACTACAATGTCACTTCAAACATTCAACTTTCCTACAGGTTACTAAAGCAACAGGATCTCAAAGGACTTGGTGGGATATTTTTGGAAGATGTACAAGAATCCTTACCTCATTGTGAAAGAGCTTTAAAGCATTTAGCTCAAGAAATTTTGTACATAACTCGACCAACAGACAAGAAAAAAATATTGTTTTATAATGACAAAACAGCAAATTTTGATGTGAGTAAAAATATTTATGATAGAAGTCATTTGATGCCAATTTAAAGCAGTTGTGTGTGTGCGCAAAGATATTATTTACGCTTATTTACTTTTTTCTCTAACATGCAGGTTGATGAAGAATTTGTTAAACTATGGCGGGCTACTGCTGTAGACGCCATGGATGATGCAAAAATTGAAGAGTATCTAGAAAAACAGGGTATTAAATCAATGCAAGATCATGGACCCAGAAAGCCAATTGTACCCAAGAGGAAAAAAGTTACACAGAAAAGGCGGCAGTTCAAAAAGCCCAGAGATAATGAACATTTGGCAGATGTACTGGAAACTTATGATGACAATACTTTAACTCAAAAAGGGGTTGCAATTAAGTAGGCTTAATGTGATTTAGCTGTAATTTAAACTATAGTCTTATATGTGTATTCTAAAATAGTGTGGCCTGATGTTCTACCCTTTTATCAGTGTTCACCAATAGAAAACAATAAATGTGTATTGAAAATTGAACTTCTTGTTTGTTTATAATATAACAACTTCTATAATATATTTTGAAATGATTTCATAGAGATTGTTTAAGTATCAGGTATATTCAAATTGGATTTCGGGCTTTTAACCTTTATTTTGATGTTAGAAATTGCTATTCTATGGAAAATCTGAATAAATAAAGATATAAAACTACTCCAATTTTTTGGTTTTTAAAATATTGTTGTTAAATTAGCAATGAATGGCTAATAAATTGTAATCAACGAGTCACGATCAATTGTCCACATATGAAAAATTCGTCAAGCTTAATCGCGTTTCTGTTTTAGTCTGTGGATTTCCGGATATCCAAAGACTAAAAAGATCGACAGCTAACTAGCTAAGATATTATATGCCTGGGTTGTTTTATCTTTCATGAAATGAACCCCATGCATCTCCTTTTCTCTACTATCATGGAAAAACTACAATAAAAGCATTACAATACGACCGATGTAACTTGAAAGGCCTGATTTAAGCGCGAAACGCTGCGCACTGCGCAGAAACGTTCTTTAGGATGTTAACGGTGGTAAGAGCGAGGGGCGCGGGACGAAGATCTAGGCTAGTGATTGACTCAATGTCAACACAATCGACCGCTTATTCTATCAAATTTTGTAATCGATTTAAATTGTGGATTTTAATCGTATGAGATATTGTACTAAATGGATTGATAAACACAATGAATGGTGTTGTTAATAAACAATACCATGATTACCTTTAAAGGAAAATAAAAGTTACCTGGCCTGTCAAGTTACATCGGCCGTATTATACTTATGTAAACGTCTTATATGTTATACGTCAGCTGTCAGTAATCAATTTTCAATATGAAGTCTAACAAGTTACAAGAATGTCAGATAACAACATTCAAACACTAACGAAAAGCTTAAAAATACAATTATAATTAAATATGTTAATAATAAACACAACCCACTAAATTAAAGCAATCAGACTTAAAATACAAAACATTTAATTTATATGACCTGCGTGGAAAGATAAATATTGTTGTTTCTCAACTCCTTGGCGAGGACTATATTTTTTAAAACATTGCTCTCTGCATCACAGCCTATTTCTTCTGCGTTTTGAAGTAAATTTAAATCATGACGACTTTACATTACGCATTATCATGGGCCGACCATTTAGAATCTATTTCCAAAGGCTTAAGTTCACTGCAACAGGTACAAAAGCAAATAAATATTTGTAATTTTCCTTATTACCATTACTATCTTCTTACTGTTTTAGAAAGAAGAGTTAGTGGATATGACCCTAGCTGCCGATGGACACTTCATAAAAGTACATAAAGTAATAATGGCAATAGCAAGTCAATTTTTCAAAGAAATTATATGTTCAACAAAATGTGACCATCCAGTTGTATATTTAAATGTAAGTGCAATAGTCTGTAATCACAGCTTATTTTTTACCGTACTATGTTTCATATGCCTTGCAGCAAATGTTGTTAGAGAAGGTATAAAAAAAAAGTTTAAGTAATTCACCTTGTGTTTTAAGAAGTAACCGTTGAAAGAAGTATCTGCATAATTTTGATAATATGTAAGTCCTGTTAAAAACTCATAAGCTAAATATGTAGGTATTATTATTATTATATATTCTAACACTTAAAAAAAAAACTATTTGTAGTACTTAGTTGATAAAACTTTTTTTTAGAAGGTAAGCTATCAATCCCTAATATATATTCTGGAATATATCTACACTGGGGAAGTGCATGTAGAAAAAGAAAATATGGAGGAATTTGTATCAACAGCTCAGGATCTCCAGATAAAAGGATTGAAGGATATAGTAAGTTTAATATGCAAATAAGATTCTAAGTAATTTGAGAATAATATGATTATTTCTTCACAACCTTTAGCTAATCTTGTTAGAATTTTTAGTATGACCATTATAAAAAAGTGGATACCAAACACTTAATGGAAGAATTCCCTATTACTGTTGAGGATACTGATGATATTTACTACCCTGAAGTTCAAAGCAGTGAACGGGAAAACACATCTTTTGATCTGTGAGTTAAGAGTGAGTTAGCACAAATATTTATAGGACCATATTTTAAAAAATGTGAAATCCCGTTTCCCCCTCCTGGGGCAAACTCCTTTCTATGTCCGTTTCATAGATCAGTTCTTTTTAACAGGAAGTTGTTGATCAGACTTCCGTGCCCTACCCAATCAGAACAATTTTTTTTTTGTTCCCTGGGATTCGAACCCAGGACATCTCGCGCATAACGCAATGCTAAGCAATACATTTAACCATTTGGCTACAGACGCGTTCAATGATTTTCATTTCATATTTATAGTTTAATAGTAGTTCAGACTCAAAATTCACTTATTTGCAGTTACATATGAAATTAAAAAGTATTAAAAATGTATTACTTTAAACAAAATCATTTTCTCAGGAATGAAGAATCTATATCAAGCAAGAAACCTAATCCTGGTGTGCAGGTTGTGGAGAAACTGAGTAAAGTAGCATTTGATGATGTTTCTGATTTTGGTGAGTATAGATGATACTTCAATACATAGCCACACAGCACACATATAAAATAATTTGAGACAAATAATTAACCAAATTGCTCTTTGGCTAACATGGTACTACTACTACTTCCCGTTTCGCCTCGTGGGGTATGAGGTGCACACATTTCTGTGTCCATTTCACTGATCGATTTTATTTACACGCAAGTATCAGACGTCTCTGCCCTGCCAGCCTGAAACAATATATTGTTTGCCCGGGATTCGAATCCAGGACCTCTCGCACTTTATGCACTGTCAGGCAACATATTTAACTATTAGCTACATGCTACATTTATACCAGGAGAGTGCTTGTGTTTAAGTGGTAGAGACTTCAATCTTCTGTTTTGAAGAATCTAAATAATTTTTAAAGTGCATAGAACACGAAAATTACAGATACAACAGTTCACTACACAATGTCAAATCGTGGATCCATACAGATGATATTAAATAAATTTATGTATTACTTGAAACACAAGAACAAAGATAATTCCAGACAATGGCGTTGCGTTGACTATTTGAATAGTAGAAAGTGTCCTGCACTAATATTTACTGAAGAGGATTTAATAGTTAAGAGGTAATTGTAATTTTTACCCTACAAATGCTAGACTTACTTAGGAAAATATAGAATGGGTGCAGCAAATATACTTGATTATAATAATTATGCATTATATTTCTGTTTATTTAATGTTACTTTTAGAGTGTCTATTCACAACCACAAACCACATGATAATAAAATAAAAAAGAGAATTATGTCAGGAAACATATTTAAAGGCATTCAGGAAGCAGAAGAAATTAGAGAAACTAATCATGTGATGAGAGGAAGTATGTAATTATGTATGTATTTATCATCATTAGCATTAAATAAAACATAACTTACAAAAATAAAATTTTATTACGCTTTGTACAACATTAAATAAAATAACAACAGTCAAAGGAATTGCAATTTATACTTAAATATAATATGAGCAAACAGTAACTATTACTTAAAACTAAAACAAATCTTGGAATGTATATGGAATGTCAATAACTTCATTTAGATCTTGATTATATTTGATAAAAACCCACGAGTAACAATAAGGAATGTAAAAATAGTTCTATACCTATAAAATAAATGCACATCTAAGTACAATATTTCAAATATCAAAGGTTTAACTCATTTTTAACAAATGTTGGAAGAGCAAATGCAGCTTTGTGGATATCAGTGCTATAGTACCTTAGATTCATAGATAACTCATCTTGCCGGGAGAAGGACAGTGTTGGATTGTCAAATATTACTTCACTGTCGAGGGATCCAATAACAAAACCAATTTGTCCTGATGGATATGTCGGCACAGATGTTGTTGCATATGCTGCCTTTGGGAATTGATTTTTACAGATTTTCAATGTATTAGACACTAATTCCATACTGTACCAAAAAGTGCCAGCTTGAGAACACACAATTCCGTTTGGCTTCAAAGCGCTCTTCATTAAGGCAAAATAATTTTCTTGAAATAAGCTCACAGCAGGGCCTACAGGATCACTACTATCTGTTATAATGACATCAAATTCTTGACTGTGATTCTTCATGAACTCAAATCCATCACCAACATGTAATTTTAGTTTTGGACTTTCAAAACCAACGGCCATAAAGGGTAGATACTTTTTAGATACTTCAATAACTCTATCATCAATCTCCACCTAAAAATAATTGAATATTATTTTAATCCAATACAGTTGTTGAGACAAAGAAAAGTAATACCCATAGATTTAAGTAAAGAAACAATATTTCTTTTAACTCATAGAAAATGATACTTATTGTTTCTTAACATTACATTTTAGTTTAACCCTTAAACCTAAGATAAGGTGAAAAAACTGACATAGCTGATAAATTTAACCTTCAACTAAGTATCAAATCATGTCTTGATAAGTAAAATGTAGTAATAATATTGTGTGGTAATAATGTGATAAAATTGTTGTAATATGTATATATTACAGAAAAACGTGTTTTATTAGAACAAAAGTATTTTAATATTGTATGCAATTGTTTAAATTTACCTGCACAATTTCCTTAACGAGCGGATGCTTAGCAACTTCTCTGGCGACTCCACCATCTCCACCCCCTACTATTAGAACTTTTTCAGGGTTTTTATGGCAGCATAAGGGCAGGAATGCAATCATTTCCTAAAAAAAAAAAATATTTCCTAAGACAATGAACAGATAATTTGTCAAGCCCAAAATACTAAACATCTTGTTTCTAATTCATCAGACAGACAGTTTCATTGTGATTCAAGAGGAGGATGTAATGCCTTTAAAGAAATACATATTATACATTTGGGAAAAGCAAATTGGATAATAAGAACTTCTCTTATATTAGTCATAAGTTCAAAATATTACCTGATAAGAGAATTCATCCTTTTGTGTACACTGTATAATTCCATCTAATACAAGTACTCTGCCAAAGCTTGTCGTATCCAAGACCAAAATATCTTGATACTTAGATTTTTCCCTATGTAAAACTTCTTTGACTTCAAAAGAAAAAGTACCACCAGGCCACATTTCGCACACTTCTGTGAACCAATTCTTTTTTAAGGTATCCATTTTGGGCTGCAATTAAGGAAAATAAGTTTGAAAATGCTGAAAACTTTTAAAATTTGTGGTTTAAAATTAAATAAATATTTAATAAATCAAACTAAAACTTTTTTGTGCTGAATACCTAATAATTAAGTGTAATTCACTTTTAATAACAGTGATGAAACTAGTCGACTTAATTTACAAGTCTCCACTAAACTTGTTATCAGGCCAAAATTTATATTATGTTTAAGTTTGTCTCACAGTAAATAAATCATTATCATTAGCGGAATAAAATGATAAGCGCGCGAGTACATAAATAATAACTTTTCGTTACACAATAATGGTGCGCTGTAGGTAATAGTAAAAAGCAATTAACAAATTTACTTTCACAATTAACAGAAAGAGTAATTGTTCATTAGTTTTAATACATACAAATATGTTAATCACTTGTTAACTAAATTTAAAATATTATCAGCATTTCGTTGCGGTTCACGTCGCACCAAATGCGATTGAATTTATTTACATTTGACAGCACTAAGACGATGCGCGAGCGCAGACCGTAGAGTTGTCACAGAGTTAATGCTTACTTATGGTCGGGTCTGTATTGTACCATAAACTCCAACTTATTATATATGCACTTTATAAAGAATTGAATTGTGTGTATTGACCGACTTCTGAAAAATGGATTTATGTGGAAACTTTGAATAAGTCACATGAGAAAATCTTAAAAGAAATAAATAAAATACCCATGATTCTCACATGACAAACATTTACAACGAATAATGAGAAATTAAACACTAAGATAATAATACATTTTTATTTCACAGACTTCGATGTCGAGGTTTTTAAGTACATATTGTGTAATTTAACTAATTATTATAATGGTCTTAGTAATATCTTATTCTTATAAAATACCTGTATTGTAAATTCAATATACGTTATAAGAAATATTGCTTTGATTTTTTTTACAAATTATGTTTTATTTTATATTTAGTAAAATATATCTTGATTATGGTATCAAAATATACACAGCCGTTCATAGTCAAGAATTTGCAACAATACAATCTTGTATACCACAAAGCACACTAGTTAAAACTAAATGGTCTTCCTTAATTACTATTTTATGACTAGATATTAAAATCGATTGTTATAAATACTAATCTGGTGTCTGTAATTGCTTAGTAACAATACATACATTCAATAAGTTAATTTTTAAAAGGGTATAGTTTTACCAATTTCATCGCACCCAGGGGTGTTACCATTTTTAACGGTAAAGCCAAAACCTACATCGTTATTGTTGAAAATAACGATATTTAACGTTATTAATAGGGAATTTTGGGCAATGCTAGGTAACAACACGTGCTCCGCACATGCTATGTTTCGATGTTCGGATCGTGGGCATATAGAAATTAGAATACAAAGGTATGAAGCAAACGCCTATCGCTCGAAAGGCATTGCTACCGGTATATGAAAGTTAACAGTGTGTTTTATTGTTTTTATTTAACGTTAACTTTCTTTTGAGTATCGTTATTTTGGATACTGTTATTAACGTTACCACAATGAAAAGGACATGACACAAAATACCGATAATTCTGACGGTTATAAACATCAAGTGCCTATATCAATAATAATAGAAGAAACGCACCGCAATTTATATTGTTTGCTTTTTACATACACCCTGTAGGTTTAAATTAAAAATAAACTATGTACAACTGTAACCTATTACTAATATACAGCTATTTAGGTACAAATATGTTACAATACAATAATACAGTGTACTTTTTACTCTATGCTATAGATAAGAATGTAAAATTGTCTATCACCGAGCAATCGAGGAATCAACAATTCCTGATGATGCCGTCCGTTCGTGTTTCCGAAACGTCACCCTCACAGCCCGATGCTGAACGATGGTCGTGAAAGCCATACACAATTTAGTAATATTGACTATTTAATTCTATTTGTCTAAGTTTACGCGAGTAGTTCACATTTAAATAAAACACTTATAGCCATAGTTAAAATAAATTAAAAATAATTTAACTTTTGTAATCGTTAAATTTTTTTTATTTAAATATATAAAAAGTAGTTCTTTGTCGGTATTTTTCTTAAAGCTCTTATCATTTTGTTGGTCATGTTTTATTTTTAGTACCTTTTTACACATATAAGTATACATAATAGATTGTCTAGTTTTTGAAATTCCTAATTTACAACATATTACCAAAATTGGGCTACTACGAAACCGACACGATCTTTTTAAAAATATCGTGTAATGCATACACAAATGTGGTTAAGGTATTATAAATACATAATTATTGTGTTTGTATTTTAGGATACAAGTTCGTTAGATCCCTAGTACGCCTATTTAATGAGGGTACTTCCGTACTCGGTACTGAAGTACCTTCGAAGAGTAGTCACTACTTAGTTATGGCGAGTATATTTCTTTTCAGCTCGCTTCAAAGTAGTCAAAGGTGGAAGGATCAGCTGTGATGGCAAGGCTGGTGGGGGCCTCATCATTTTATTGTGTCTGAATACTATTTTAAACCTTGGAGTGGGACCCACTGGTTCACCCCCTTTGAGTAAATTCTACTCATGTGTATATCCATAGTATGACTACCCTAATTCATAATGTAGTAGTGTAAATATGTGGCGTCTCTATATCTTTTCGTATATTCTTACGGCTGCTCATTTCAACGAGCATTCGCATAGCGTAATCCGGTCCTAGAGCTGCTGCAACCAGGAGCAGATTGAGCAGCCAGAATGGCAGAGACGCTAGTAGACGCGTGTATGTTCCTAACACGTCGCCGTCTACTTGTCTGTAAGATATACATATTTTTATGTGAATACAATATTTTATGACAGAGAGACTATTACTAGATTGTAAGAGACAGTAGTCGGGCTTGCTAAAAGAACAATAACATTTAATTAATACAAGCTGTATATTTATTTCTATACAGCTTTTATTTGTTTGGAAGTTCATGACTTTTGGAAGTTCAGGACAACAAATTACAATATTCCATGTAACCAATTCAATGTCCATATATCTAAACATGTTTAGAAATATCGGAAAATTAAATACATGCTTAGCCCAGTAAGAATAGTATCCCCCAATTAGTTATCTATATTATAAAGGATTGTTTGAACGCGCTTAGCTTTAAAAAAGTTATTTTTGTGTTGGATGGACCATTTACCGATAAATATTTCAAGCTTAAGTTTAAAAGAATGATTTCTCTTTAATCGATTTAAAAAATGTCAACGACCTTAGGTATATGTCTGTCTAAGATTACCCAGAAGAAGAGTTTTTTTGTGGTAATCAAATTAGGTCGAAATATTTCAGATGGCAAAAGAATTTTTGCCAGGTCACCTAGTTACTAATATATTTCCTTAGGACAAATTAGTATAACATATGATGCGATTAATATTTCAAAATTTCTTTATAACTCATCTAAGGATAATAATACTTACAAGTAAATAAGAGAGTAGATGGTGTTGAAGATGATATACGCCGCAAGGGATAGAATCGCTGTGAGCGCGAAGACGAGGGTGTGGTAGCGCGCATGAAGGCAAAGTTTCATCGTCACTATGACCATCATCAGGTGAAATAGCGTAGCACCGAAAGACCTGGTAACAAGAGCAGTTCTTGAGGTTATAATCTCGTTAAAACTGAAACCAGTGTCCACGGCGTTCCCTGCTGCTCTCAATTGATGTTTTCAAACTAAATAAGTAGAATTTTTTAATATAATATGAGAAAATTCTCTCTTATAATTAATTATTAATGCCGTATCAAATTAACGCAGTCTGCATTCGTTTTGTTAGAATTGAAAACATATGGTGAACTATATTATTATATACCTAAGTGTTAAGGTTGACATAACATAATGCCCGAGATACATGTATCAATAAATGTTTTGAAGAATTATATAAATTAAAATTAGATTGAAAATTGATAATAAATTGACGACATCAGCGGGACTGGAACAGGTATCCACTGTGTTCCGTGCTGTTGCTCTCATCAATTGAGCTACCATGTTCTACACGTCTCCGTCGATTTTATTTAACCTATTAATACATGCACCTCTCGCGCAATGTTATTTCAAGCTTAACACTTGCGTATTAAATATTTACGACGTGTAAGACACGGCAGTTCAATTGGCTAGTACGGCAGCATCCACGGCGATCGGCTATGGATTCCGATTCAAGCCCCGCCTGTGCCATCGAATCTTTTCAAATAGATTCTTAATTTGAAATATAAATATCATTTAACGACATTAGAAGTGGCCAATAAAAATTTCTTAGATTTTTAATTCACTTACCACAAATCTACAATTTTCCCATCAGGTGAGATAACACCGGATGTAAAGATGGTGGAGCTGAAGCCGTAGATTAATATCGAGTGGTACACCGCCGCGGATATCCAGAGCCCAAAATAGCGCCATGACAGTAACCTATTCTTTCTTATATCTCGATACAGCGTTGGATTTCTATGATAAGAAATATAAAATATTATCCAATGGTTAACACATTTAAATAACAGTGTTCTAACGGTTTAAATAAATACATCGCTTAAAATTAAATATTTATTGTAACAACGACCTTACAGCAGCGGTGGTCAAGATACGCTAGCCCCATCTGTTTCATTGTAAGGTAGGTGGGCGAATTAGGCCTTGCTAAGGACGAATTCTCATAAATCAAAAACTGTTAAAACAAATCAACAAATTTTAATGTAATTTAAACTTTTATATTAATAACTATCAAATAAAAACGGAAAACAGCAACCTATGCTATAATTATAGTTTTAATTACTGCTTTTAAAAAAACACTGTACTTAGGCTTTATTAAACTATGGTAGTATAATAAGGCCTAAGACTTTAAACTTCAAAAATAAACGAAATAAACTTCTTATATTTAGTATTTGAGATCAATAAAATATTGTAATGCGATAATCACACAGTAAAGGCTTAAAAATAACATTATTTTTCAAATTAGGAACAATCTGGACACTCAACATCTTCGACGACTCAAAATCATCCTCTGACAAACCCACGCACTCCTCGTGGTACCACTTGCTGCATTTGTGACACATCCTCATAGCAGTCTCTTGGTCCTGGTGGCATGCGCGACAACGTTGTTCTTATTAGACAGCTCTTTGCTAACTGGTATTCCTCTGTAATTGATGGCGTTTATTCTGACTGTTGATGTCTTTTCTGTATTTTTAGCTGGTGTAGGCAGGAGTTGCTTAAATTATGTTCTTTTTACTTGAGCGAAGGGTACATTATCCTCATCATCAGAGATGGATCTACATTAAACCATTCTGTAAAACATGTTGGAGGATCTTTTTGGTATGATCATTTGTTTGTTCTTGCCTCGGTGTCGATGACTGAGGCGTCTCGGGAGCCATTTGCCTTAATGGAGTGCGAGGTGGTAAATTTTCTACATCGACAACGTCTGGAAAAGGAGCTGGTGCTTCTAATTTCTGTAATAGTAGTTCTAAAGACCTAAATTATGTAATCACTTGATAATACTTTAAGGAGGGTAATAAGGCCTAGGGTCGATTTTCATAGGCCTTATTAACCACTGACCACGTTGTCAAGAAATTTTTAAAATAAAATGATTTCGTGTAATTTACAATTTTTTCTACAGCACAGGTCTTCAAAACATTAACTAAAATGATGTAAAACTGCAAAATAACGTACAAAATTTATTTTTTTTCATAAAATATTTACGATTTGTTCGACCGTCATATTATTATTCGAGATATGCGTCCGCCGGCCACGATTAGTGACCCCACACTTTAGGAACCATGCGGGCCTGCGAGTCGCGACATGTTTGGGGCACCATCTTAGGTTGTTAGCTACCTATGACTGTGAAGTCAGCTGGCGGGGTCTACTCAAAGTTATGTTTCTAGTACTTAGGCCTTATTACCCGACAGGCCTTATTGGCCGCACCTACCTTAGTTGGTATTTAAACTCTTTCCAGGTGTTATTCTCATATATAAATAGTTAAACTATTAAGTCCTTTGAAAGATTTAGAATATTATATTTAATTACAACCCACCTAAGAAGCACATCTGCAGGCCAGCGCTGCTCAGTGACTGAGAGAACGAGACAAGGCACTGAGGTGAACAGCAAATTGTAGAAGGTAAGGTACATACTATCAAACACAGACTGCGTCGAGAACGCAGAGTTTACTTGGAAAAATAACTGAAAAAAAAAATATATTTGTGAGTCAATCTATCTGTTATATTACATATACATAATAAATAAAAAATCGATCTATATTCTACAAATATGAATTACGATAAAACAGATGGCGCTAGTGTAAATATATATTAATGATGTTGTATTTAACTGGCATGGATGCCAAAGTAGGAATATTTATAATAACTTAAATCTATAAATGCCCACCAAACTACTGGCTAAGAGCTTAGCTCTATCACATTAGTAACTTAATAACTAAATATAATTTTAAACCGCGTTATATCAAACTTAGCAAATGAATAATATTAGTATAGAGATAATTACAATTACCATTATGTTTCCTAAAACTAAGTTTTTATAGAAGAAGTACAGCACAAGCGTCGCCAGTCGCTGGTAGTACCAATGACCAAGCACAAGTAACATCTTCTTCACCATTGAGAATTTGGTGAACGCGAAATCGGCGGACCTGGAAGTGACACATTGTACACATTAATATCAGATACCATTTATTATATGTATACCTGGATTTGAATTTAATATTGTTAAACTCCTGTAAGACAAATGATTACTTTATATTTTTTTAAACTTTTTTTATTACTTTGACAGTTATTCAAAGTAATACGAACGTAAGTAAATTTATTTTTATTTTATTTATTTAGCTAAGCTTAAAACCTATTTACAAATTGAGTATTTCGATGGCGCCTGAAGTAGCTGTAAAGCTGTGGCACAGGAGCCAGCGCCCACCTCCGTATGATAAGATAAGTTAAACTAATTACTATTGACATTCTTCTAAATAATTATAACACCTTAACAAGATGCGCTCTAGACCTAAGATTAAACTTCGCGGCTTCTTCATCTGTGCCTTGTGGTTTTAATATGAATAAATAATCCATAACATAACCTAGTAATACTATGGTATTGTGTGTAGTTTACGCGAATAGCATTTAAATAACGCTTTAACAGTTTAAAACGCGAAATGTATTATACAATAATAAATGTATACATGTAACCAATATCCTACAACATCACTTATTTAGTATAGTCGTTAAAACTTGCAAACAGCACTAAAGCAGCGTTGATCTTAGATCTTAAATGCTTACACTTACGACGCTATGTAAATGATTAACTCTTTACTCAATTACCTAGCAGCCTGATGACCTTCCTTCCCAAAGATCCCGAAGCCAACATGAGCCTCCTGTATCATAGATATGTCGTTAGCACCATCTCCAATAGCTGCTGTGATTGGTCGCTCTGGTGAATTTTTTATCAATTTTACGATCTGCAAATGTATGTATATTAAGGAAACTACTTAATGTTGCATTGATTGATAAGTTAACTACATTTGAGTCTAACGAATTTTACCAGTATACCTTTGCTAATTATTTATATATATTTTGTTTGTTTGAACGTGCTAGTTTTAGGAAGTACTGCTTGATTGAAAGATTATTTTTGTGTCGGCTTTAAAACAGGAAGCGTCCAATAGAAGCGAAGAAACAGATGAGGTACAGGCTTATTCTCTCACCTTAGCTTTTTGTATCGGCGAAAGACGGCAACACAAAACTGCGCTGCACTTCAACGATATATCAACGAAATCCCTCGCGTGAGGCGTGTCCAGTATCCTCGCCATGCTCACCCCATCTACGACAAGCGTCAAGTCATGGTAGTCCGGCTGGTCAATAGCTTGGCGGCACATCTCCAAGCTCTGCTGCAGAACCAGCTCGTCTTCCACGCTGACCAGAAACATGCGACGGTCGTTCTCAGAAATATGCCCGCAGGATTGCGAGACGTTGATCGCTGTCTCCACCTGTTGTGTTTATAAAAACAAATGAATTATCGTGGCCTCTTAATTTACACCCTTTAACCTTACTGTGTAAATAAATTTGCCAGATTTGACAGGCTCGTTGATGTAAGGGCAATGTTAATTATGAACGGGTCGTCCCCATCGGATTTTTTAAAAATCTTGTTACAATTTATCATGAAGTGTATATTAAATTAGTGATAGAAATATCTAAATTTCTTCCAGGCCACGCACCACTGTCCACAGATTAAAAGGCAATGAAATTTAACAGTTTTTCTGTTTCAGTCTGTGGATTTCTGAATATCCAAAGCAAAAATAGTTCTACAGCGCATCTTGTTTAAATGGAAGGTTTTTATCATAAAGAATATGTCAAACACCAGTAACCTTTGAACACTATAGTCCTATATGCTCCCCTCCTATCTCGTAACAATTTTACGTATAAATTAAAAAGTCAGCTGCGAGTATACATAAACCTTTCTTTATGCTATAAATACATGCTAAATAGTTGTCACCAACTAGGAGGCTTTTGGACAAGTACCTTGTCACCAGTTAGCACCCAGGTCTTAATGCCAGCCCTGCGGAGTGAAGCCAAGGTATCCGCCACGTCATCTTGCAAACAGTCCTCCACAGCAGTTGCGCCTATTATTGTCAACTGCTTGTTCTAGCACTCTGTACTGTTGAGTCACAAGCTGAAGGGCCTCTGCACTTTTGCCGTCTAGCAGCTTTATAGCTGCAAGGAACACCCAATTATAGAATTTTTATGTATGGGGGGCATTTCAATATTACAACAGGTACGACAATTTTTTCAAGCCCTATATAATGATATATACTATAAAAGGGGTGGATTTTTTTTGCTTCGGTTATTGTTAGATTTTAGCTTGCTTAGCTGTCGAAAGTGCGGTGGGAGGAAGCCTCCGTGGCTGTAGTTAATCGTATGAAATTTGGGTAATAATTTAGTTTTTATTTCAAACAGTTATAAGTGTCGCTTTATGATACCACAAACAAATAACTATTACGCACTTGTGCATATTTTTGCTTGCATTTTTAAAATTCATTTAATGGAAAAGCTAAAGAATATGTAGGATGTGGAGAATAATTTAAATATTTATTAGTATTTAAGAGTAGCTATTATTTGTATACTTTAAAAATCAAAAATAAATTGAAAAGATTTTCGACTCGGACATGACTTGAACCCGCATAGTCAGCGTTCCGTGCTGTTGCTCTACCAATTGAGCTACCGAGTCCTACACCTCATCGTCGTATGCAAACATGTAAAAAATAATAAAGTTTTCGAACATTTGTATACTTTATCAAACTATAGGTACTTTGCTACATTTTAAAACCAAAACCTGTTAAATCCATCGATTAGCCGTCTAAACGTTTTATCGAGACAAACCACAAACAAACCAAAACAAAACAAAACAAGAAATTGTTTTCTAATCGAAAATTTATAAGCTTGTTAATCTATCACATAAATATTTTATATCATAGAATAATTGTCTTTGTTATCTTTAATTACGCATGTTTCAAAACATAAAAAATATACTCTTATCGTATAGAGATTGTAAATATGTATGATAAAGAATCGAAGGTTGGTAAAAGCAACCGAATGTCGTTCTTACGATCGAAAGTTCAAACCTTGGTAGTGCAAAGTTTTTATCTTTATGTACAATCTGGTGATGTGCTATTCAAATAAGAAAAACCTCGCAAGAATATAACACATTGTTTTTATTATAAAGGAGGGTTTGTATATACAACATATAATATGTTGACAATAGCTCAACTTGTCGAAACTATTTTCGGCTTCGCATATTCGAACCGAATTCGAAACGCGATTAAACTTAACGGGTTAGATAACTTATTCTAAGAAATAAGAGTTGTCAAAAAATTCAAGATACTTTGGAGGAAGATAAATGTATGTACTAACATTCAGCCACTTTCTCGTACTCTTCAATGGGAATCTGTCGATACGCAATAACTAACGTTCTTAATCCCTTATTCGCAAATGTGTTAACGTCTCTTTCAGTTTCCTGTATCAGCACGGAGTCTTTGCATATTGGAAATACTGCACTCTCAGCGCCTTTGCAAAATAGCCATATCTAAAAAAATACATTTTTTTTTATTTTTTGCCAAATTCAAGTAACATGAAACACAATTTTAAAATCGAATCTAGATTGAAAATAATTTCTGTCACACACAGCGTTTGAGCTGAGCTACCAAGTCCTACACGTAATCGATTTTTTTTCAACTTATTGATACAAGCACATTTCGCTCAATGTAATTTCAAACTTAACATTTACAAGTTAAAATGCCTTATTCTTTGCAGCTTAAGAAAATCATTGTACATGAGAGTAACAGAGTAAAGTTTAATATTTAATATTTTTGTATCTAAAATCAATTTTTAATTTATATAGTGACATCATAAGCAATAAAGTGTGAAAAATATTGAAGTTTTCAAACGTTAAACCTGTTTATGAATTTCGCATGAAGTATTAAAAAAATCCTTGATGATTCATGTCGATAAAAGTATCATGCAAGTTTAATCTTCGGTGCCTGATCTCTATCAATCACATACAGGCACTTGAAACATTTTTTATCACCAAGGCTACAGGTTTTAAATACATTTTTCTGACAGCCAAAGAGGATTGAAGCCATAATTTAGTTTCCAGATATCCGAAGAATATAATAAATAGCTATTTACGTTAGTTTACGCAAGTATAACTTTACATGTATGTGTTATTGCACATGATGGTTTTATACTGTACATATAATGTAAAATCGAAAATAATTGTGTACATACTCGCGTAAACTACAGACAGTATATAAAACACTTGTAATGGATTAAAACGCGAAATATATTATGTATTTGACTTATTTTTAATTAAAATTAACTACGGCCTGATATAGGTTTTACAGTGGTCGTCATCACTGGCTATAATATTTCGCGTTTTAAACCGTTAAAAGTTTGTTTATATCCAAACTTTACAACTTTTTTTATATATATCCAAAGTAACTTCGCACGCTTATATTACAGGGGACCGAATAAAAAAAAAACACTTTTGGCAAACGTTAAAACTATGATGATGGCGTTATATAGTAAGTCAAGGCAAACTATTCCGGATTTGTGGTGTAGCTATACAAAAAAACTTCAACTTTGTTAAACTTCTGACATAAAAATACGCTGCCTTACCTGTCCATTTTTATCTCTGACAATTATTGACATACGTTTCCTTTCTGATGTGAATTCAATTATTTGGAGCCTCTCATACATTTCCGTGTCATTACCGATCTTCACCACTAAGTTGTTCCCTTCGTCACCCAAGAACGTCACTTGGAATCTATCAGCAGCTTCGACTAACGCCTTCTCATCAGGGCTGCTCCCCTGGTAATCCATCTTACTTCCGTTCTCGTTCAATATGGCATTCCACGTCACACTATCTATAACATTACTGCTACCGTTCGTCTTTGTTATCTTCTTTCGCCGAAAGAAGTTCATCAGCTGAAGGTTCCCAGTTCCCGATAGCTTAGCGCTCAACTTTTTTATATCCTCATTCGAAACTTGAACCGAATGGCACAAAGCAATTATCGTGAAGAAAAATTTAATATCTGTCTGAAATAGAAAAACTTACTTAATTCCATAATAAAAAAAAAGTTTTTCCAATAGAGTAGGATAGATAAACATGGAGTTTATGGAAGATGAAATATCTAAAAAAGAGTTTATACAAGACGTCCTATTGCTCTATTTTGGATATTCGGAAATCCACAGACTTAAACCAAAACGCCAATTACTTCACAGCTTTTTCATCTGTCGCTTATTAACTTTGCATTGCCACCATTAAGACCAAGGGCCCGTCAACAAAAACGTTGGACAAACAATGTCTTAAATAAGTTACTTTAATTTTTTATTTAATAATAATAATAATAATAATTTATTAGACCATAGGTCCCGCCAACGAATTTAACATTTACATTAACAATTCTTAATGTGCGTATTGCATATAGCGTCACGAGTACTACTCGGGTAGATAGAGGGGGATAGACTTTAAATAACTTAAGAGATAACAAAAAAAAAACTGAAGAAAAATAGATCCCTATTAATGGAATTTCAAAACCAATTTTAAATCGGAACAATCGGTTGTTAATAAAATATAAACCTACGCGACAGATAAGAAATTGCATTTAGGTACAATGATTTGAGATTTTTGTTTTTATTGCGAAGACAGCGATTGATAAAAACCGTTTATCGAACAAGTTTTACATGAAAAAGATAAAACTGTCTTATTGACATCTGAAAATTCCACATTGAGTTGACGAAGTTCTATTTTTAACATTAAAAATGAAAATATTGATAAGTACCATTGCTAAGGTTTAAATACCCAATCCATGAACTGCAAATACCCAGTTAGTACTTTTGAATGTATTTTGAATGAATTTTGCCAAATTACCTATTATTTTATAAAAAATACATTCACTGACCTGAAGGGTATCCACTGGTTCCTCAAATCTCCCTGTATCATATAGTCTTCCTTCTCTCTCTTCGTATATTAGACCTTTGATAGAGCAAGCTTTAAACGCCATCAAATTCTTTGTAAGCGTCCCAGTTTTGTCTGAAAACAGCACTTCCACTTGACCTAACTCCTCGTTCAGATCTGAAGTATTTGCGATAGCTGGTCTTCCTGTTTCATCGCAGCGAAGATCTTCATCCCAACCAATGAAGAGAGCTCCTAAAATGAAAATAGTTTAAAACAATAACTGAAAAACTGACCATCGTATTTCGTATTAGAAAATGGGTTATTATTTATATTATAATTTAAAACCATAACAACATACGTAATTAAAATAAATTGACTAATGAACTTCGCATTTTAAACCGTTAAACATATTTTAAACATAAAGGCATCCTATCATTTTTGATATAAAAACAGCTTTTTTTTATAAATACAAGTAAAGTTTAGAAAAATTTAAATTAAACAAAGCAAAACTCTACATAGAAAACTCAGCAAAAAAAGATAAAAAGGGGCCATTCTGATAGCCTTGTACAATCGCCAAAATCAAATCGTACTCACCGATAAATTTGTATAACTCAATTGTGACGTACAGTGATATCGGTATAATATAATAGTACAATAAAAGAAACGATAAGAGATCTTGAAACACGCTGCTGGCTGTTAGAGGGAATATGTCGTCGAAACCAAAGTATCGGAGTCGTTCGGGATGCCACATCTCGATCAATATTTTGGCAACGAATGACCCAACCATCTCGAAGAGGAGGACATATATGAGTAGCACAAGAAAGCCATTGACAGCTGATTCACTTGAAGAAAATTTGTTCCCAGAGTACTTTGAATTCAAAGCCAGCTTTGTTTCTTCACCTGTAGGAAGAATTTTAAATATTCATCTATATTTTATACTAATATTATAATTCTGAAGACTTTGTTAAATGAACTAGCTAATCGAATTTAGATATTATTTTTGTGTTGGTTAGACCATTATCGAGAAAGACTTTAGACTACTAGACCCGAAAAAACAGAGGAAAATGTGGGAAAAACTTCCTTGTGGGTTTTCGTTGCGTGCGGGTCAAGATACCCAAAAATATCTATAAAATAATGATTCCGCTTTAAATCTACAAAATGCACGCGACAATATATCTAAAAATAAAGTAATAGTCTTTTAAGATGCACTTGCAAAAACGATGGAAATCGAAGCCGCGACGCATTAAGTATAAGCTATGCATTAGGTACTAGCATTAGACCAATGAGCACGACAAAAAGGGGGTCAATGAGTTTTTGTTATATGATAAAACTAGTTATTGGAAGTAAGCTGTGTTCATAGTCTCGATACTAGGAGTGTTGAGATAAATAGCTTAAAATACTTAGATTAAGATGATGAAAAACAAATATTTAAGATGACTCAGTCTCAAATATATACAGTATTCTATGTGGGGATATATAATGCCTGGAATTAAAAAATATAGTAGGGGATATATAAAAACTTCCCATAGTTAAAAACTACGAAATTAAGTCCCGACCTAGCTGTATCAGCGACTTCGTCCGCGTATAATTGTTATTTCTCCATTTTTTTTCACAATTTCCGACGTTTCTTCGGTCTTTTTAGTCACAGTGCTATGTTTTATAGCCTTTAACCTTCTCGATAAATGCTCTAACACAAAAAATAATTTTTTAATTCGAAACAATAGTTTCTGAGATTACCGCGTTCGAACAAACAAACACACAAACAATCAGCTTTATATATTAGTATAGATTACTTACCAGTATATACAGCACAGCCTATTGCCCATTCTGTATTCTTGACGCGGGAACCTCTCAGCATGATATTATCTGTGTTCAGGGGTAAACTATCCAATCCAGGTATCTCCAGACGTCCATAGAAAGTGTACAGGTCAGCCACTGGGTGCGGTACTTCGATCCGAATACCGGAAGGTATTATATCTAGAAGTAATAATAGTGTAAGTAGTTAACCGCCTGTAGTGAATCAGTTAAACGTGTTGATTAGCATTGCGTTAAGCGTGTGAGGTCCTGGGTTCGAATCGTGGAAAACAATAGTTTGTTTTAGTCAGGCAAAGATGTCGGATCAATTACCTGCTAATAAATCCGATCAGTGAAACAGACACAGAAATGCGTTCGCCCCCCACAAACGGGGAGGGGGTGTTGGGGATAACACTATAGTAATTAATATCTTAAAGAAATTATCCCATAACGGCACTTAACTCTATCTTAACATTTAATGTTAGCGTGGGAAAATTACTTCTATGACATCGGCGTGAATCAAACTCACTATATTAACGTATACATATGATATCTCTCCTGTGGTTGGTATACTTTTTCTATAATACTTAGGTATATTTGACACGACTGTGTTTTAATTAATTGTATTTTAAACTTATTATTTACCAAGTAAAATTTAAAAGCTTCAAAGATAGTAAAATAAATTCTTGGACGAATGATGAATGATGATTTAACACGAACATATCTATGGAATGTAACTCGCCCTTATTTGATTGTATCAATGATTCAAACTGGGTGTGAACTACACCACATTGTCAATAATTAGAAGTGGACTAACTATAAGAATAATTGAACGCTTAAGTGGAACAATATTTCCAATACCACTTCCTATACATTACAACAGGAGTATTTAAATAAAACACCCTAAACTGTTTAAAACGCAGAATATAGTAAATAACTCATTTTGTATTTATTTTAAATACGGCCGGCACGGGGTGCCGTAGTTAAGACCAATAAAAAAATATTATTCGCGTTTTAAACCGTTAAAAATGTTTTCTTTAAATATAACTCGCGTAAACTAGGCAATAGCAGACAAGGGTACTTAATTTTGTAGCAAATTATAATTCAAATCGTCTTTTCGATCCATCTTGATTTAGTATCTATGTACCCTATGACGTCACTAGTGATTTCGGGTCCTGTAAATAAGGGCTTACAATGATGATACCTGGTGTATATCCTACTAGTGGCGGAGGCACTCGTAAGGTCTTCAAGTTGGTTTCCCCATCCAAGTTGGCAGTGGTGACGTAACATTTTCCCTTCTCACCAGCAGAACACAACAGAACGATATCAGCTGGTACTTCGCGACCCCGTTTCACTCTAACAAGAGTCCCGGGCGCTATTGAGGAGTTCCTTACTTCTTTTATAACTCCTCTGTGTACAATTTCCACTGGAAAATTTAATTACAACTAAATAAAGTTTTCATTTACATAATGCCATCATATATAATGAATATTACACGTGGAAAACATGAACTTTAAATGGCGAGTGGCGGATCTCGAACCCACTCAACACATTACAAGCACTTGTTTACACGACCCTTTCCATCGACTACAACATTGCAACTTCATCATTTTTTACGTTATTATTTTAAGTTTTCGGTATTGGTTTCAAATCCCACTCGAGTCATAACTCGAATGCCAATTGACAGGAGAGACAAACTACCCAACTTCAATAAAGGCATGTCATGTTTGAATCGCAATATGGTCTATGTAAAACCAGGTTCAACTAACGATAACATATAGATTAAAGTGGTATTACAAAGGTGCTACATCCATGTAACGTTATCGTAAGGGTATCTTCCGTGTTGATACGAATACACGACGTAGATACTTATAGTTCGATAATATAATTATACAACACTAACTAATACGGCCAACGTTGTTTTGTTGATTAATCTAACAAACAAATAATGCACATTTAAATAAAACACTTTAACGGTTTAAAACGCGATATATTAGTTAAACTTATTTGAAAATGATTTTTAACTTCGGCCCGACGTTTCGGATGCTTTGCAGCAGCCGTGGTCACGGGGAGACAACGCAAAGCAAAGTATCCGTAACGTCGGGCCGAAGTTAAAATTAATATATCGCGTTTTAAACCGTTAAAGTGTTTTATTCAAATAATGCATAATTTCAACCAAATTTGATGACTATAAAAACGGTTCTTACGAGTTAAAAGATATTACATATACTGTCGCGGACATTTATTTAGATTATTTAAAAAAGGATTATTCTTGTATACATTTCATTTTTGGATTTTTGCACTTTCGTAGAGCAAACAACAGAATTTTCCCGTTTTTCTATATTTTTCATTGTTTCTTCGCTCGCAACACAGAATATAAAGTAGTTCTTGAGATTAGCGCGTGCAAACAAAAAATCTTCTCAGCTTTATAAATGAAGTATAGATTCAGCTTAAAAAAAAGGACATTCTTTATTTTAATAGTCGTTAGTTTTCTATTGATCATATGGTATAAGATCCACCAGTTATAAAAACAATTTCATTTAAAACAATCAGAATTAACGCGTCGTGGAGTTTGTAAATTAATAAAAAGTACACATTCAAGGGCTTAGTGATAACGAGTGGATGACATATCGATCGATGTGAACTTTTAAATTATTAGAGTTGTAGCGCTTGTAGACGTTGGTTTTTCACACCGGGCTACCTAATCATATTAAACCATATACCACCTCGAATCAAGCAAAATAACAGTATGTAAATGTAATGTGATGAGAATAATGGACGTCTATAAGCGCCCTCTATCGATACAGTTGCAAAAACTTTAAATTACAGAAATTTCACAGAAGCATCTGCATTTCCATAATTACCTGTGCATTTTTATTACTTCCTACACGTGTATCTTTTGTAACTTAAGACCTATATAATAACACTAGCTGACCTGGCAAACGTTCTTTTGCTACTAGCTGCGTCAGAGACTTCGTCCGCGTAGTATACTTAGTTAGTTTTTGGGCATCCAAATTTGTTTTTGCGAATCTCCTCTTTATCTTTATACGCGCGTTCAAACAAAGACACTCTTCAGGTTTATATATTGGTAGAGATAGATAGATTTCCAAAAAAAAAAATTAGATTATTTAAAGCAGAATAATTATTTTACACATATTTTTTGTTATCTTGGAAAACCCTCAAAGTTGAATATTTTTTCCCGTTTATCTTTAGATGCCGTGCAGGACACGGTAGCTCAATTGATTAGAGTACACGGAACGCCGTCGCTGACGGTTCAATTTCTGTCCGTATCGTAAAGTTTCTTTTCAATCTAAAGTCTTTTTTTCAATAATGCTTCATGTAGCAAAAAACCTTTGCCAGAACAGCTTTCTATTGGTTCTGAACTGTATAATAGCAACATATAACATAGCAAGTCTTAAACTTAGGCTTACGATAAATAAGAAGATTAAATATATTTACCTATTTGATTATTCACCTTATCATCCGCTTTGTGTCTCAGCCAATCTTCGTAACCCTGTTTCACAGCGGTCACTAACACCATAAAACTTAGAGGAGCTATACTTGTGAAGGGCGATACGGGACTATCTAAAAAGGATTGTTTAAAATAAGTCCTAAGAAAATGTAAATTTAAAAGTAAGCACGATTTTTAAAACGACTTGAAACACAAGAAATGCGAAGAGGAGGATCAATATATTTAATTAAAACATCGTTTAAATTACACATTTAACGGTTTAAAACGCAAACGAAATATATCAGCTAACTTAACCTTTACTTAATTGTGCCCACGGCTGCCGCAAATTATCCAAAACGTCGGGTCGTAAATAATATAAATAGTAAATAAATAAATTACAACGACGTTTCAACCCGTTTAAAGTGTGTCATAACACTTACCAATTACAATAGCAATCACAGTGACAAACAGGAAATAGAAGTTAACGACTCGACGAAACTGCTCCGTAAGGTTTTTGGGGACGAACATGAGAAAAGTGTATTTTGATGTTTTGATCTTGTTGTGTTTCTTCTTAGACTGATCCACCACGCCAACCTCGATCAAACGGGTCTCCGAGACATCTGACACCTTGTTGCGCTAAATGAAAATTTACAAATAATAATAACGAGAAAAAAAAATCGCTTACGAAATAATTGCACCAACTTTACGAGCTGTTATTTCATTGGTTACATATAGCTTAAAAAACGCCATGTGTAAAATTGGAAAAAAAAAATATTAATTCTGCTGCTGTAAACAAAACTTTTAGTGCTGAATTTATTTAAAAAAAATACGTCGCAAGTATATTATATATAGTAACAGTAAAATTATACTTAATATTTATGTAAAAATCGTGTTTTAAATAGATAATAATTTATTGAGGAGCTAAGCTTTAAGTTATTTCATAAATAACATCGAAGTTGGTAGTGTAGTAGTGAAAACCCCTCGTGGGGCATTGGGGCGAACACATTTGTGTTCGTTTCACTGATCCGTTCTTTAACAGGCAAGTAGTTGATCAGAGTTCTGTACCCTGCCCGACCGAAACATTTCTTGTTTCCCTGGCATTCGAACCCAGGACCTCTCGCGCTGAACGCAATGCTGGGCAATACGCTTAACCATTTGGCTACAGAGGCGGTCCGACATTACCTTGTTTATCGTTATTTAAATTTGTAATTTTACAAATTTATAATTTAATGTTGATCGCCTCTGCAGCCAAATGGTTAAATTATTGCTTAGCATTGTGTTAAAAGAGGACCTGGTTTCGCCCCATGCCCCTCGAGGGGGCAACGGGATTTCACACACATAATTTAGAGTTATCTTCAGTTTCGAAATTTTTTAATGTCCTCATGTTTTAATTCTTCAAGCAATCGAGGAGTTAACATCTCCTGAAGATGCCGTCCGCTCGAGATGGCGCACCGTCGAGAACCTCCTCTCCATCGGCCGAACAGCGTGAAAAACAATGATATGCTGAACGATGGCCGTGAAAGTCTTACACAATTTATTTGTCAAGTTGTTGTTCAAGTCATGAACGGCATCATCAATCATGCTGTTAATATAAAGTGTTGCAGAATGAACGAAAATATTCCATAATATGAAACAATGATTTGCAAGAAGGCAATTTTTCAAAAATTCAGTTTTTCAGTAAAATTACCCTCATAGATGCAGGTTAAAATAAATCCATTGTCCTGACCCGTGAAAGCTCTAGGTTAGACTAATCATTCAAGGTGATGCGAATGCAGCCAGTGCCGTGGGACAGAACACATCTGCTCTTATAAATTATTATATATTTCGATTAATCTCTTTAAAATATTTATCTTTTATATACATATAATGTGCCGTGCTCTCGCGTTTATAAAACAGATAAAGTAATCAATTTATATGAAACTAAATGACCCGGCAAACGTTTTTTTGCCATTTTTGCGACGAAATTAGATTTCCATAAGAACGATTTTTGTTGGCTAAATTTAAAAAAATTATACTGTCGCGGACATTTTTTAGATTATTAAAAAAATAATATTTCTTTTATACATGTTTTTGGGTATCTTGACCCGTTTTCATAGCACACGCCACGGGAACCCTCAAAGATGAATAACTTTCCCCGTTTTTCCACATTTACCACTATTTCTTCGTCATAGCCTAAAGCTTTCCTCGATAAATGGTCCAACAGACACAAAACGAATTCTAACCAGTAGTTCTTAGGATTAGCGCGTTCAAACTACTACATACTACTAAATACACGTTAATATAAATTGAACATCCTGATAATGCCTTAGAAAATGTTATTTAAAAAATTTATTTTCTCTAATGAAAATTCGTAGTAGTTTTTCAGATACAGGCCTATCCCGCGTCACTAATTATTGATAATTGTAAAACGTCGATGATATAAAATGACATAGGTACCTATATAATCTATATGTTTTGATAACTATCACTGTCCGCAACTATGTTTATTTTTTGTATGAATTGATATTAATTAAATATTTTGCTTTCATTTACTAAAATTCCCGCTGGCCATGTAAAAGTTTGGACGTTTTTTAATCCAGATAAGTGCGAGGGAATTCACGTCACATAAGTTTAACCCTTTTATTTATTTGCTAACTAATATTTTTTTCTTTATATTAATTATAATTGTTTGCTTTTATGCTTAATCAAAACTATTCTCGATCTCTTGTAGGCAAATTAATATTGTAATACTTATTCTCTCAACGTCTCAGAGTCAATTCTTGAATTACCGACAATATTTTTAAAGTGATGTAAGAAAATATTATATTTTTAATTGTTTCAAGCATTAAGTCATGATATTATAGATCCTTGGAGGATGAAATTTTAACGTAATCTGTTCTAAATATCTACAGTCTATAGTTTACACGAGTAAAACACTAATATAACCCTTTTTAACGGTTTTTTAACTACGGCCTGACGTTTTGGATCAACAGCTAAGATCACGGGCTCACTGAAAATAAGTTCACTAATAAATTTCGCGTTGTAACAGTTAATAATTTAAAAATAATTTGTTTTTGCGTATTTATCAACACCGTACATTATGGGTTCAGTCTAAATAACTCCAAAGCATCCAAACGTCAGGATCCATAGATAAAATACATTGTAAATAAGTAGCAAATACACTTCCCGTTTTAAATCGTTAAAGTTGTTTTATTTGAATATAATTTGTTTTGCACATTTATCACCGTACTATAGCTCACGGGTTGGCCTTAAATAACTTCAATGTACATCAACGTAATAAAACATGATGTACTTGTATGTATATAAAAAATATTAAGTTCTTCGACATAAGTATAGAGCTGCAATGATTGGGAATGCACACGATGTAGTTCTCACGGCATATTAATCCATAACAATTCACGATAAGACGCGATAGGGGTTCCGTGGGAGATTGGGACATTTTCGACTTGAACCGTTGCCTGAGGTATCCTACTTCTAATTACAAACTTAACCACATTCAATGTCAAATTCATTCTTATTCACGTCTTAAAAAAATAAACATTAAAGGTAGTAAAATAAATAAATAGAACTGTTATTTTGGCATCGAAATTTGTTTCTGCAATCCTTCTCATCATAATTATAAATTTAAACTACCCTCGCGTCCCGTCCTTCTTGCAAGTTAATCTTAAAACATAGACATATAATATCGCGCACATTTTTTTGATCATTTAAAAAGGAATCATTCTTTTAGACAGGTTTTTTGGGCATCTGTTTTTTCACCGTATGCATTGTAAATCCACAAAGATAATTTTCCCCGTTTTTTCCACTTTTGCCACTGTTTTACAGCGATGTTTTGTAGCCTTCCTCGTAAATGCTCTAACCCACACAAAAAGGAACAAACAAACTCTGCTGCTTTATAAATTAGAATGGAAGTTTAGATTTAGCTAAAGTTAATTACATAGCTAAGCTAAGTATAATATGTAATTATGTATTAAACAAAAAGTTTATTTTGTTTTTATTTTGCACCTCTAAAACACATGTTTTGATAATAGCAAGTATTTTAAAACTGTTGCTGATGGTATTTCATTACTTATTACACGTATGTGTGACCTAATTTTTATATCGACTATAGATTTGTATAGATTAGGTATATATATACCTACTGTCTGTAGTTACGCGAGTAGTACACATTTAAATTAAACACCTTTACGGTTTAAAACGCGCTATATTTGAAATGTCAGACGGTAGTTAAAGGTAATTTTCAAACAAGATTAACTGAAATATATCGCGTTTTAAACCGTTAATGTATTTATTTAAATATACATATATACCATATATATTTATCAAATATTTCACATAATTGATCTCAATTCTCTACATGGAGCGCTGCTGAGCTTGTTGGAGCACTGAATGATTAGAATAACTTGATCAGACGTATGACCCTGCCCGTCTGGTAATATAAATTTGATAGAGAATCAAACACTGATCAATCAAGTTTTACCCTGGATCTCAAGTCAGGGTTAAAGCGGTGACACGCAGTCAGGTGCAACAAGTAACTTTATAATGGACCAGAAACATACAAAATTTTACCTTTACTGAGACCGTATAAATTAGTAAATTTAAAATAAAATGTAACTAATTAAAAAATTTTATAACTAAAAGACCGGACGTTTGGGCGCATGCTTTGATGTTTTTTTAAATTTAAGTATTGGCACAACGGAGACATACTAGATATAGTGTACTTTTTCTGACTTGGCAAAGACCACAACAAATATGGCCGATATTATCAAACCTTAGCGATTTAGTGATGCCCTTATATAGACTGTAGTCATTGCCACAGATGACATAGGGTTAAAGAAATATCCATTATATATGGACTAAACTACCACAATATTTAAAATCACTTTAATAACGACTTATTAAAAAAAAATGTGATTATTATTTAACTCGGCGTTTCTAACGCTTTTCAGCGATCGCGCATGAGTGGAACTTTTACCTTCTATTGTCTTTGACTTTGCTTACATCCCATCCTTATGTAAATGTCAAATATTATGTAGTCTTTTCAGTCAAAATTACGGATAGACCTTATCTGTAATACAATCTCGTTAGATTAGTTATGTGAATTGCTTTATAGACATCATACAACGCTGTTAGGTCTTTTTATTGTGTTTGTTTTGAATAATGGCTAATTTCTTTTTTTACCCCATATACTTCCTGTTCGAATAGTGTATAAATAAATAAGACGTGATAGTTAGAACCATCGATTAAGCGTGCGACTAAGTTTATTTACACGCATATTAGATTTTTTTTAAAGTGTAATCTATACTAATGTATAAAGCTTGTTTGTTTGACCGCGCTAATCTCAGGAACTACTCTTTCGAATTGAAAAAATATTTTTGTGTTGTTTAAAAAAATTATCGAGGAAAGCTATAAGGCTATAAACCAGCGCTGTGACTAATAGGAGCGAAGAAATAGTGGGAAATGTAAAAAAAAGGGAAAATATTATTCATCTCCGTGTGTTTCGATGCATGCGATACGAATATGGTTCAAGGCACCCAAAAAATATGTACGAAAGAATTCCTGTTTAAATTATGTAAAAATATCCGCGACACTATATGTCTATATTTTAAGATATTTTGCAAGAACGACGCAACGAGCAACGGAACGCCGTCCGACGTCCTTTGACGACGAACTTAAATTTATAAAGATGGAGATAAGTTCTGCAAAAACTAATTTGGACGCCCAATATATCTATTCTACGCGAACGAAGTCGCTAGTTCATTATACCACTTAAAAAATCTCCAGTACCATGTGCAAAATATTAAAGATTTGAAATTTGATTTATTATCTTTCTTAGTACTGTATTAATTTTTAATTCGCATTTTGTTATCTAGCGATAAAAATATGACAGAGAACTGGGAGGTAAATGTACTCCTCAAGACCACGTAAGTACCTAAATGTTATAGTGGTGGACAATTGTGAAAAAGTAAGCAACTAGGTGTATTACAGATCGTCCATATCTGTTTTATGCAACAATTAAAAGTTTATTATCTTTTGTATAACGCATTTTATTTATTGAAATAAAAAAACATGACTTTCAAATACTTAAATCGAAACTCACTGATATCGGTATTTACGATTGATAATAAACGATCACTTACGACGTCGAAAAAAAAAACATTTATGAAACAAGTATAAATGTACGTTACAAATGTACTGTGAACAATTTCGTGAAACTGACTCACTGGTGGGAATATCGTTTACAAAGGTTCAAGTTTAGACCCACCAAGCTATTTCGGTGCAGGTTGGTAGGGTATAAATAAATACTGTCTGTAGATTACGCGAGTAGTACACACTTCAATAAAAACACTTTAACCGTTTAAAACGCGATATATACGGGTCTCCTCGTGACCACGGCTGCAGCAAAGCGTCCGATACGTCGGTGTGCCGTAGTTAACAATAATTTTCCAATAAGGTTAACTAACATATATCGCGTTTTAAATCGTTAAAGTGTTTTATTCAAAAGGCTATATGTACTTAATTTATGTCAATGGTCGGGACACGAACTTTACAACATTGCGGACTACAGTCGCGTGCGTTAACCACTAGACAAACGTGACTAGTAAATTCATACTATAAGGAGATAATATAAACACAACTTACGCGCCAAAACAGAATAAGCAGGGAACACGAAAGGAGACATTCCCCAAGACGGTTAAAAAAGTTGCGCACTGATACATAATCCTTCATTATAAGTTCACAGCACTGCACATATTTAAAAAACAACAATACAGGTAATTCAACCTGTAAACGCCACAATGAAAGAGTGACTGGATATGTTGTATCTTATCAATACAGTATGATATCAATGAAAACGCCGTGCTTCATATATCAGATTAGCCTAGACCTTTATATATCAAAGTTTAACGAATAGATAAGCTTGCTTCAGAAAATCAACATGAAATAATATTCGACATTTTTTTCAAATATTTCAATAGGACATTACATTACATTTTCGGCTGTACTTCAGCTTGCCTGGAAGAGATCGCTGCTTAGCGATAAAGCCGTTTTTTATTTATAAGTTAGTACGTAAGATCTTTTTCCCTGTTTATATGTTTTTGTTTGTAATATGGGTTATAAATAATAAAGCTATAATAAAAATAATAAACATTTGTATTGACATCGTTTTCTTTATGATTGCAAAGGACAAACAAACATAAAGTTCACATGGTGTAAGGTACCACAGCCTATTTGGATATTCAGATATCTATAGAATTAAAGCCGAAATGATTCTTTATACTTCACGGCTTCGACATTCTCCAAATCATCCAGACGAAGACATGTTGGACCCGGTGGGAATTAAAACCACGAGCCATTGATTCCTTGCAATCATTTTTATTTCCTCCATGAGACTAACCCGTCAAATAATAAAATAAATCTTACCCATTTATAATTCATTAGTCATAAAAATCATAAACTAACAATATGTTACGAGTGTATCGGGATCCATTTTTTAGTACCACTTTTGTTTCACAGAAAAACACATAGAACAATATATAAAAGATTACGCGAGTTTTGACTGCAGTGGCAGTGGTTATTTCGAATGAATGCCCAATAGAAACGGAATTAGTAACATCAATAGATAATATTGAACAGGTTTTTTAGGGCAATTTAAAATTCAATCACAGCAGGTATATCATAGACACTTTAACTAGATATTAAGGTTAATTGCATTATCAATATGAGTTTTAATTATGCCTATGAAAATCTCATTAGTTCTCAGTGTTTGATTTAAAGAATATTTGATACACTAAAATAAAATTGTATAAGGCTCCTTTTGCAAAAATTAATCGGTCCTCGAGCCTGGTTGGAGTTTGAGGGATCACAAGTGGATGACATCATTAAAAGTGTTGAAATCCACTACGACTTTATTTTTTTAAGTATATCATGATTGAGAGTCAGGCAAGTAATTTACCTGGTTTTTAATCACAATTGTAGTATATGTAACACCAACTCTCAAGCCTCTTTTTAGGGTTCCTTATTATTTTGCTTGGGGATACCAATAGAAGGCAGGGTGATCAGTTCACATCATTGGTTTACCATTCCCCCATTTTAAAAAATTGGGTGGCTTAGTCATGTTAGTACTTAATCTAGGCTAGTAGCATAAGGAGGTAATTGACTTCTTTCAAAACTATAGTATGTACTCAAAGCCTTTTTTTCAAGTATATTCTCTAAATTTACATAAACATATGTAAGTTGTGTATGTGTGTGTACATTCATAGAGTACTTACCTTAGTTATTAAAAACCATTAAAAGGCAATAAGGTTGGCTTTCATAATAAGCCATACTCTAGTGGCAATTTTAAATTTATTAACGGTGTAATCAGACTTAAGAATGTTACAATAATATTCTTTGAATCAGGTAAACTGGCCAAAAGCTCTAGAGTTTGACAAGGATGCATAACAAAATATGGTCTTCCAAATACAGGATGCTCTTGCTGCGTTATGACAGAGTAGAAATCCTTTTCCTTTATCCTGTAATTTTATTTTGATTAGATTTAAATAATATCACAGAAGTTAGGACAAGTTAAAACAAATATTTCGGAAAGGGGCCTTATATTTACAAAATATCTTGATTATGTATAATTTTATTTTAAGTGTAAAATTTATTAAATATATATCAATGTGTGTGGCAGTAATGATAAAACCCTTACTCTATAAGAGACATTCGCCTTATATCTTCTAAACTTAAAAGGGATCCTGAAGATTCCCATATATTAAAACTGAATGATGGTACACCATAACTCAAATTATAGAAAATGTTAAACTCGGCTTTGAACAGTTCATCTGCATGTTTAATAAATGTATCCTTTTTAATATAATAACTTTGTTTATCATAATCTCTGTGGAATTTCCAATCATCATGAATACGGTCAGATATTTTAACAAAACTTTCGGCTGATGATATAAACGCTTCTAGGGAGATGAACTCGTGGTCTATCATATTTTCAGTTGTTATGGACTATGTTCTTATGTATAAAAGTCCTAATAAGTTTTCCTTAAACATAATAAACAACAAAATAAATAAATATAAATTAAAAAAGTCTCATTTACAGTATTATGTCAAACGTCAAATGTCGGGATGCTCGATAAACATCGATGTTCGATGATCATATAATATATTGAAAGCAAAAATATCGATGTTACCATACTAAACACATCGCAACATCGATATTAGCTTCGGCCTCATCTTACACGCGACACGCACGTCCAAAGTTTGAGTTTTTAAAAGCTGGCTCTACTCTTTTACAACAAAGAAACCGATAATTGGTAAAAATATTGGGATATGTAATAATTTGATCTGTTGCTTTATAAATTAATTATGTTTTATTTCTTTTTCAATTGTTAATGTAAATTTAATAAAGGGATCCGACATCGATGTTCGGTTTTTGATAAATATCGAACATCGATGTTGAGCTTTCAACTATGACTTCGATGTTTTTTAAATGACCTCATCCCTAATCAAATGTGGTCAATTGTCAAACTGACGTATGAAAATTATCCTTTTTGAGACTAGACTGGTTGTCAAAACTGGAGTTGAGGTTAGCATTTGTTGTGTTTTGAATTTAAAATATTAAACAAAACTTATTATACCAGCTATTAAGTTTTTGTGATTACACCAGTACTACACAAGCTTAGTTGTTGTGTGTAGTTATAGTTTAATGGAAGTAGTTTGCTTTTAAACTGTGAAAACAAAAATAAACATCAACAATATTAAAATAAATGCTCACTTAAATTAAGTCGCCCATCGAGATGAATCTTGAATTACTTGGTAATGTTTATTTATAAATACATTAAAAAATATACTATACATCGCACAAAACTTACCTAATTTACATGTAATTTTTTCAGAATCATTCGGTCAGAACTATCCAGAGGTATTTATTAACTTTACTCAAAGTTTTTATTTATAGTTTTGTGATATATTTATGGCTAATAACATAAAAATCTTGTGAATTATCTTACCCAAAAACATCCGGCATATCTTGTGGTTGAGAATTTTTACTTTCTTGACTGGCATAAAAATCTCATTAAATATGAATTTGTTCAGGAATTTGATGGAACATTAGATTCTATATCACTAGCTGCAACATGTGCCTTTAATCGTCGAGGTACATTATTAGCTGTTGGCTGTAATGATGGAAGAATATTTATCTGGGACTTTCTAACAAGAGGCATTGCAAAATCTATATCTGCTCATGTGTATCCTGTTTGCAGCTTAAGTTGGTCTAGAAATTGTAAAAAGGTAAAGGTCTGGGTAATTAAATTTAGGACATTGTTAAAGTTACTATGCATAATTTATACAAATTTTATGTAATATCTAGTCTATATTATAATATTTATATTAAGTTTAGTTGGTAATTTTAATAACTACATTTATTGTAGCTTCTGTCATCATCAACCGATCATAATGTATGCATATGGGATGTACTATCAGGAGAATGTGAGCAGAGGTATAGATTCCCAACACCAATACAGAGAGTTCAGTTTGATCCACGGAATGACAAGCGTTTTCTTGTTTGTCCGATGAGGCATGCTGCTTTACTTGTTGACACTGAAGGAGGTCATAAGATACTACCAATTGATGATGATGTAAGTGGGTCTAATAGTAAGATTAGAATATCATTATTTAAAACTTATATCAAAAGTAACTGCAAATATAAGCCAATATAAGTGTCTCATGCCAAGTCAAATTACTTATATATTTTTGATTCTAGGTTAAGGAAAATGTTATGAGAAAATTTTCTTAAAAGCAATGTTAATGATTATTTTCCCATCTTGAGAGGGTTCCAATCCTGTTTATTTACGGCCCTAATAATAAAAAAAATTTATGAAAAAAAGAAACTTAAGGACTTACATTAAAAGACTAAAAAACAATATTATATTCCATGTCTCACTGTGCACAATGCACCAGTTTGACTCTTATAATTATTCTAATGTATTTTTTAAGCTAAACCGGTACTGCAATGGTAGCATCACATATCAAACACTTTTCTAATATCGGCACTTCATAGGGCTGTCACTTAATATAATGCAGTGTAGGCCCGGCACATAACATGTTTGTCAAAAGAAAACATAGTCAAAATGTGGTGTTTTATTAATAAAATATAATATTTCAGGGTGACGTCAATGTAATAGCATCATTTGATCGGCGTGGCGATTACGTTTACACGGGGAATGCAAAAGGAAAAATATTAATACTGGACTCACAGAAATTAACAGTAAAAGCCAGTTTCAAGATAACTGTTGGTACATCTAGCACTACTGGTATCAAAAGTATTGAATTTGCTAGACGAGGCGAGTAAGTAGGCATCTTATAAATATATTTATTTATGATAGAGGAGGATGGTAATGTGTGGTGTACACATGACCATGGTGGGATATCACGCATTTTAAAACTTATACCTATTACTTTATTAGTCCCCCGCAGCTATATAGTATACTACTTGGATTTGTGAGTTATTTGGTCCTCGTTATTGAGAATCGAATGTCAATGTTGCAGATATAAGCATTCTTTGACTAAACAAAGACTCGTGATGAAACAAAGAGAACCCTTTTTTTAATCACGAGGATTATTATTATTATATTCTTTCGGGGACACCTGTGGTAGGACGGGTGATCAGTCCACGTTTTCAGCTGACCATTTCACCCATTTCCCCATTTCCTCCTTGTAGAGGTTTTGGGTCATCCAACTCTCCCCGTGTCCCCTTCAAACCTTCCGGTTTGCTTGCAGAATCTTATTATTTTTTCCATCTGTAGTTTGATCTCATCTTCTGTAACTTCGTCCGAACCCATATGTGTTTGTCGATCACGAGGATAGAACAGTTCGAAAGAAACAAGTAGCATTTTTTAAATTAAACATTTTGTGTAAATAATTTATGTAATGCGGTATGTGTATACAACTACAACATGTAAGTTATTTTTTGTAATAATACTTTTCATAATTACAGTTGCTTTCTGGTGAACACATCGGATCGAGTTATAAGAGTCTACGACACGAACCCTGTTTTGAAGAGTGGTGTAAATGGGGAACCGGAGCCTATACAAAAGTTACAGGACCTTGTAAATAAGTATGAATTTACTATACCCATATTATAAAGCTGAAGAGATTGTTTAAACGCGCTAATCTCAGGAACTGAGTTTGAATTGAAAAATTGTGTTAGATAAACCATTTACCGAGGAAGGCTTTAGGCCAGTTTAGGCTATAACATCACGCTGCAACCGATAGAAGCGAAAAAATAGCAAATAAGCGACAAAAATGACAGATTTTTGATAACGTCGGTTGCGTGCGATGTAAACGGTTCAAGAAACAAAAAAATACCTGTGAAAGAATTACTTCGTGTCTATTATTTAAGATTATATCGCAACACCCGTCTTTATGGTAATCACATTTGTTCGACATTAATGCATTATTACCAATTACAAATTTGTAAGAGTTGTCTCAAAGATATTAATCTTCCAAACAACAAAACAAAGTTTACTGGATCCGTTAACAAAGTGATGAAACTAGCCCACAATAATGGCTTCCTCTTACTACAACTCTATATTGTGTGTGTGTGTTTTAAAATGCTATTATAATTTAATTAAACACTTCAACGGTTTTAAACGCGTAATATATAAGTTAAACTACGACTACTATATTTGACGTTTAAACTATTTAAATGTTTTTATTTAAATGTACAACTGGCGTAAACTACAGTATTTATACTGTTAGAAAATAATTACAGGCGCTAGTCTATTTATTTTGATACTAGTGTATTACAAAGTAAATTATATTAGTAAGTTACAGAACTCCGGATCAAGGTTTTTTTACATTGGAAGTTCTATATCCTATATGGTACCATGACATTACGATATTACTTTTCACACATTATTTTTCCCTTTTTTTTATAGAACTACGTGGAAAAAGTGCTGTTTCTCAGGAGACGGTGAATATATCTGTGCGGGATCAGCGCGCCAACATGCACTCTATATTTGGGAGAAATCTATCGGGAACCTGGTGAAAATTTTACACGGCACTAAAGGAGAGATGTTGCTGGATGTTGTGTGGCATCCCATAAGACCAATTATTGCTAGCATCAGTGCGGGTAGGGATTCACTATCTCAGTATATTCCTAATCCACATCGCTTTGTTGGTCTAATATCCAAAGCCAAAATAGGTCGACAGCATCTTGTGTAGATGTTATGTGGCTGGGATATGAACAGGAGGTGTGAACCCTCTTCTCTATCATTAAACAATTATAGTACACTCGATTACAGTTCACGAGGGACATGATTCGAATCCCAAGTTTAGATCGGTTGAAGTATTAGTGTTTAGAATATTTTTCTTATAATTTCTATTACCAGCCCTGGTTTTTAATTTGGTGTCATCACCAACCACCACACCACCTTTAGAGATTTTAAGTCACTGGTCTCCGTTTTTATCTCTCTGTTACTGTCACACTGGCCAACCACTGCCTATGCTTCTCAACCTCCTCTCGTATGAGAATCACAAATACGAAATATTGACAATGGGTAAATACTGTTGCATACCCTCACTTTTCTGAATTACATACACTTTGTTGTAGTTTAGCTATCGTAATTCAAGGTTAGAAAGCCTAGCCTCATCTTTAAAGAGATAAGCATAAAAGAAAAAAAAAGAAAGATTTAATGTTTTTAAATGAACGGTTCTTGCTCCTGTTTAAAACTTTGAACTTTTATATAAGTTTAAGCTACTCCACGTGGGGATCAGGACCCAATTCCTTCTTTGTGTACCATACCTTGTTAACCATGTTTATTATATGTTACATGAATTCCTACTGACGATATTGTTTATTAAAATGTGTCTATTAACATATTATTGCAGGCGTTGTTTCAATCTGGGCTCAAAACCAAGTGGAAAATTGGTCAGCTTTCGCTCCCGATTTCAAGGAGTTGGACGAAAATGTGGAATATGAAGAGAGAGAAAGCGAATTTGACGTTGAAGACGAGGATCGGTCTGTGGATATGGCGGGGGAAAGTCGCGATGACGAACAAGTGGAGGTGAGTATTTAACTACATGTAATATAATGACATATAGATGGCGCTATATACAATCAAAGCAATATTTCAAAAGTTTTGGTTACAAATTGCCCAGACTTTTTACCCCTTCTTTTAGTGGTGCTAATTTTGTACTATGTAGTGTGGAATATTTACTTATGTATACTAATATATAAAGCTAAAGAGTGTTTGTTTGTTTGAACGCTCTAATCTCAGGAACTCGCGGTTCGAATTGAAAAATTGTGTTGGTTACAGCATTTATCGAAGAGGTAGACCATAAAACATAGCCCTGTGACTAATACAAGCGAAGTTACAGCGGGAAATGTGAAAAAAATTGGGAAAATTATTCATCCTTATGGGTTTCAATTGTGCGCGCTGCAAGAACGGTTTAAGATACCCAAAACATATGTAGGAAAGAGTGATTTCTCTTTAAATGACATAAACAGAGTCCGTGACAGTATAGGTGTATCTTTTAAGATTAACTTGCAAGAGTGACGGTACGCGGCCGATATCGTGGGTAAAATGTTAAATTTATAGAGTTGCACAGGAGGTTTGCAAAAACGAATTTGGATGCCCAAATTATTTCGTAGCGGACGAAGTCGCTAAAACAGCTAGTATATTATAAAATACTGTACTCAATTACGTGGTAAAAGAAAAATCCTAACTAGTACTACTTACTAGCCCTGATTTCAAAGTTTTACCCCTACTATTTGTAGGGATAAAATGGTACTACTAATGGTAATCTCTAAAAACTGTTTGTATGTAGTATGAAATATTTACTTATGTATGGAAAAATACTGTACTAACATACGCGATAAAAAAAAATCAGTAATTTACTTCCTAACCTTACTAACCTAACCTTAATTGAAAAATTCCTAAAGTTGAGAATATTCTATAATGTATTCGAATGTTCTAGGTGGATGTGACAACATGCGAACCAGTAGCAGCCTTTTGCAGTTCTGATGAAGAAGGCGAAGACGAGAACCTCCTCGCATTTCTGCCTATTGCACCAGAGATAGAAGAACCAGAGGTCAATAACGGCTCAATTTTTTTTTTATTTTTTTAACATTTATGAGTACACAATATTTTAAACTTCTTCTTAATCGCAACCTTCACTGCCTAGTTGCAGTACTGCCTTATCCACCAACTGTTTCCACGACCGTTTCAACAAGAGAATTAACCAGATTCAACAGAGATTCCCTTGTCCCATCCTTCGAAAGCTGTCCTCATGATGAGTTCGCCATGAATGTTGAAGAGGAGTAGTGATATGATGCTACTAAAGATACTAAAGGCTTTGAAATGCCCATCTATGAGAACTTTCCAAAGACAGTCCCATCTTACACAATCAAACCCCTTTTGAATCAGTCAGTGAAACACAGGATAGAGACGTCTCTGTTTGGAAGAACCATTGAAAAATATTTGTAACTATAATTTTCTAGTAAAAAATGGCATGTATTTTATAACAGGATGGCTGGGCTGCAACCCAAGAAACGGTCACACCAAGCGAGACACCTGAGAAGCTGCAACCGGCTGCTAAACGTCCGCGGACTGCTACATACGACATTGCGCTTAATATCGATCCCCCAGGTCAGTATTCCCTTATCCCTATTCCCCTAGCTATATTTAAATCAGCCAATGTATTTGTATTGTATATTATACATAATTATGTTTTCTTTTTATAGACCAAAATTTAATTTGATTAGTCCAATGGAAACAATATATGGCTAACCAATGGAACGTGGGTTCGATTCCCACCGAATCCAACATGTTTCTGAAATGTTATTTATAATTTTTATAATCCATATCTGGAATATGTTGAAACAAAAAAAAAATACTACCACTACCCACGAAACATATAAACACTTATTTAAAATCCGCAAGTTTAGATTTATATAAGGTTACGGAGGCAGTCTGAGTCTCAAATCAGTTATTTATTTTTGTTTTTTTTTTTCAGAGCAACCAATAGCGTATAGTGGCAAAAATAAACAAGCCGCTGGTAGCAAAAAAGTCGCCGGGAGACCAAGAAAATAAAGAAAGTATTTTAATATTTGTTTCATTCTATCCGCGATAAATAAGTTTAAGGCTTAAAGTGAAACGCTATAAATATTTACAAATTGTTATGCCATTTGCATTAGACAGCTTTATAGAATTAAATAAATTAATTTAAAGGCTTTAAACGCGAAATATATTAGTTAAATTTCTTCTGATTTATATTAAGTCTTGTCTTTTCTTTATTAAATGTGTACTACTCGCGTAAAGTACCGATAATACTTTATATAAATTCTAACTACATATCGTCGTGGCTTCTACGGGGGGCCCTCCGGTCGCATCATTTTTTCAATCTCAATAGGTTAAATAAATATAAAACTTCGTTATATAGGAGAAAAACATTTATTTCGAAAAAGGAAATACCTCTGTAATAAAATCGTATTTAGAGTATACAATAAGTACTTATCGTTCTGTATATAAATAAATCTCACTTAAGATTAAACAAAAATAATAATAATACATTCGAGACCGAGGACACCAACTGAAACCTAAGTTACAATCACAGCGAGCGTCTAAGCGTCTACGCCGTCGGTATAAATACAATTATCTATATATTTACATACATCCATCTACAACTACGCGTCTAAGTCGTCTTCGCGCTGACTCGAGAAATAACTAACCAAGCCCCCGAAAACGCTTCCTTCTTCTCGCGGAGCTCCAGTGTCCCCGCTGGGTACTGCGCCCTCATCCTGAGACAGATCATTTTCCTCCGCCTGGGGGTTACTACTGCCCTCGGGAACTTCACTCGGCTCCTCTACTTTAATATTGCTTAATTTCATTGGAACATTTTTATTTACATTTCCATCCAGTTCGGGAATTTCCGGTTTGGTTTCGGGGGGGGATTGCGGATGTTCCTCCCTGGGAGATTCACTCTCTCGCGGTTCTGGAGTGGAATCGTTGGGGTGCGGTGATTTTCTTATAAGTACAGAGTCTCGCATCATCATTGGCTGATTATCGATCCTGTTTCCGTACTGCGCGTACGCTGACATGCCGGGACTAGACTGGTCTGAAGTCGGATGTCGTATCGGCATGCCGTACGGAGGTCTTATTTGAGGCCTCAAGTATGGATAGTGCGGTGGCAGGTCGTGACCCATTAGCCTTTCTGGCCTTATCATATCTAGGGGCGGTCTTGACATATCGCGAATCAGATTCGGATCCTGAAAACGAGGTAACTCGGAAATTTTATCTGACCCCGGAGGTTGCAACATGTCGTGCATCGGGCGGTCCGGACGAGGCTGCCTAAGTAAGTCGTGTATTGTACGATTGGCACCAGACGGCCGCAACATTTCGTGCATGGGGTGATCTGGCCCTGGAGGTCGAATATCTTGCCGATCAGGAACTGGATGCCGTATGGTATCATGCATCGGACGTTCGGGGCCTCGTGCTCGTAACATATCTTGAATATGGCGATCCGGTGCTGCCGGTCGAATATCGTGTCGTTCCGGTCCCGGATGGCGTAAGACTTCGTGCATGATTCGCTCCGGTCCTGCTGGCCTTAGCATATCAGTCATGGAACGTTCATGACCCGGCGGTCGCGGCATATCATGATATCGTATATCATGTGGAACATTACGATCTGTAATAGGTCGAGGTACCTGTCTTTCAGGAGTGGGAAGTCTATTTTCTGGTATATTCGTTGGTGATCTATCGACAGGCGGTCGTAACATGTCTTGTGAGATAGGTCGAATCGGAGCACGAATCATATCGTGTAAGATGGAACCCTCAGACCCTGGCGGCCTGTTCATTTCGTGCATTATAGGTCTTTCGTGCTTTAGCATGAATTTATCAGGTCCACTGGGACGTAGCATGTCGTGAAGACCTCTGCTAGGCGGTCGCTGGACATCGTGCCTTAAGGGTTCGAACGGCATTCTCTCAGGACCGGACAGAGGACTTCTAGAGGGTGACGCCCTAGGGTCTCCGTGTAGGTAGGGTGGCATATTTGGCATGCGATGTAACGAGTTGTGATGTAAGCGTGCTTGTAATGCTTCAGCCTGTGACACCGGCGGAGCGTAGGGCCCGTACGGACCATACTGAGGGGCGTAAGGCCCAAGAGGTCGAGCTTTATTTTCCGTGTGTTTTATTCTATTACGAGGTTGTTCTGGAGAAAGAGGACGCTGTGAAGGCGATCCGGGTGGCGACTGGTACTCGGGCTCCGTTTTCACTTCAGCTTTAATTTTAACAGGAAAGTTGTCTGGCGTCGGAGAGATTTGTTGATGCGGTGAAACGTTCACGTCAGACGGTGGACGGATTAGCATCGGTGGGTTACCAGGCTGGGGGAGTCGTAAACCCGGCGATGGAGAAGACTGGACACCGGACGCATGCTGGTTAGGGGGAGTACTTTGTGCAAGACCAGCAGGTGCGTGTGGTCCGTGTGGTGATTGAGACATAAGTCCGTGGGGTGATTGGGACATGTGACCGTGCGGGGAGGAGGCCGGACCGTGCACACCAGGTGGATAAACACCTTGTGATTCTGGCCTAGTCGGTCGAAGCGGGAAGGAGGTGGGGTGAGGTCCAGGAGGGCGATACGCTGGTGGCCTGTGGTGAGGCTGAAGGGGACCATGGGGAGAAATGGGCGGACCATGTGGCGCGGGAACCGATCCTTGTGGTGTGGCTGTAGGACCCTGCGGCGAAGAAGGGGGACCATGCGGAGGCATAGGGCCGGGGGGACCGTGTGGGTTACCACGCGGATAGTAATACTGAGATGGATATGTAGGACGTCCTTGAGGGCCGAGTCCTGGGTGCAACTGATACATCATTCCTTGTCCCCGCGGGCCGTAACTAGAACCGGCGGGAGGGTACATCATTTGGCCCCTAGAAAAATTATTCAGTTTATTATATTTAACAATAAAAATTATTACTTAAAATTATAATAATATTACTAAAGTTTTCAAACTTTGTAGTTTCATCTTCAATGCTTTCTTAAGCTGCCAAAGCATAAGACGTTGAACCTTAATACGCAAGTGTTAAGGTTGGAATTACATTGCGCGATAGGTGCATGTAAAAGTTTTCAAACTAAATATTACTGTTTTACTACTACTAACCGGTATTGGTGATTTAACATGTGAGGCATTCGTGTGATAATACTGGGCTCTTCCGACACAGGTTTAAATGGTTGCGGTGAGCCTGCGACAGATAATGTTCCTGAAAAACCAAATCCATGCGATTACAAAATACCTAATAATTAAAAAATTCATCAATCAATCTATGTATATATACATTTTTACTATTATATAATGTGATACCGACTGGATCACCCCATCTCTCCCCTTTCACTTCTTGGCTGCCAGCAACCTTACCTATACTAAATATAAGCAACGAAAAACTACCTTCTCTCATAACGTGATGGTGGTCCGGTCTCATCATCATCCTATCCTCGCCTCCCGCCATGCCGCGTAATTCGGGTCGAACCTGTGAATATATACACAACTTTTACAAGAAGATGCACGTAAAGTGTAAACACTAAAATATATTAAGTATTACTCTTGTTCTTAGGACTTGGAGACTGAGTAAAAAATTAAGAAAGAAAAAAGTTTGTATTCAAAATAAATATAATCTTCTAAAGCTGATCGCTTAAAAACTATCGGTGTCTTGTTTTAGGCCGTTTGAAACATTCTAGTCTAGTTAGAAAAAAAAAACAAATTTGTAACCTGTAGTCGCGGCTGTTGGTTATGTGGATAGCGATCTGGAAAATCGGGCGGACGACCCCCAAATTCGGGGCGGACACCTTGATAACTTGGTTGAACACCCGGATACTCCGGTCTCGGCCCAGGGTAATCAGGCCGACCCATAAATGCTTCTCCAGGGGGCCGAGCGAGTCCGAACTCTGGTTTTTCCCTCTTTAATCGGCGGCTCTCTTGTAATGCTATCTTTGCCAATTTCTTTTCTTCTCTTTCCTTTGCCTTGAGCTCTTTTAGTTTTTCCTTTTCTTCTTTCTTTTGCAATCTTTCCATTCTTCGTGCCTCCTTTTCAGCTTGTTTCGCTTCTCGCTCTTGGCGTTTTTTCTCTCGCTCCACCTATAACACAATCGTCGTTTGTAGTCAGTTAAAAAAACAATACAGTCTTATAAAGCTATTTAAATATATTTTTGTTATGAACACACCGTTAATTGTTTCTTCACTTATAAGAAAATTAACAGATAATAGGATAGAATTATACTACTCACTTGATTCGGTGTAAGCACTGCATTTTCAGGCCTAAGATCTGAAAAGACACAAAAAATAAAAAAACGTCAAGATATTACATAGATGCTTTAATAAATAGATACATTCTAATTAATTCATACCTTTGATCTTGACCCCGACAAGTTTGGCAAGTGCATCGTCGGAGGGTGGAGTGGTAGCACTGCCTCTAGACCCACCTCGACCACGACCACGCCCCCCACTGGAAATATACAATTGTTAGGTTTTTATGGTAGAAGTGAATAAGCAAATATATAATACCCCAGCAAATTAAAAATAAGCCTGTGGGCCTATTTCGCATTGCTTAAATTTTGTATACGCGTGAACGATATGGAAATAAAAATATGCTTCTTGTAGTGATAACTTTTTAATAGTGAGTAAAACGCTTCGTTACGTAACGCGTGACTGTATTAGTCTGTCTGTTCACGCAACACATTGAAACGACTGAATATCTATACAGATTCAGAGAAATGAAGGATGTCTGAGTTTGGTTAATGATAATTGAAAGTAGAATCTTACCGGCTTCCTCGTCCACCTCGACTTCCGCGCCCTCTTGATGGTTTGGCCGATATTGCTTGTGCCTCTGTTAAATTATGTTACACCAATGATACATTACATAGTACAACAGTGCAATAATAGTCTAAGCAGACAAGCTGGATGGTAGGAGGAATGCTTTAACGGTGTGTCGCCATTTTTAATTCAAACATCCTTAGAATCATCAAGTGACAGATGAATTTTCACTTCATATCTTATACATCGCTCTGTGAAAGGAGCATGTGATGGACGGAATGTCGATACTGCCAGTCGAATAATGTTCAGATACTAGAGACAACAGAACACCAGAATGTTCCCAATTAACCGTTCAAAACGCGTCGTATACACCATATATTTTAATTACGGCCTGACGTTTGGATGGTCAGTCCGTACTTCCAAATTGTTACAAATTTAACTATTATATTTCGCGTTTTAAACGGTTAAATGCAGCATTTAAATAATTTCTGGTGTTCTTGGTCTGTAAAAAAAATATTTACATTACACGCGTATAATACGACCGACGTAACTTGGCAAGTCTGAACATAGGTTAGACGAACTTTGGCGCATGTATACTCGTAAAGAAAACTAATACTGCCATTTATTTTCGTTACAAAAATATAACAATAGAGAAATAATAATATTAAATTTAACAATAAGGAATCACTTTTCTAACGGAATGCGCTCAAGACAGAGATAACGAAATTAACGCAGAGGAGTGACCGAGACACACTACTGTTTAGCGAACATAACCGAAGCTGTACGAAATAACCAAATAGAGATGTCCGTACTCGTCCCTTGAGTGTCGTTTAATCGATTCCTATTGAAATAAAAAAAATTGGATCGTAGAAATATATAAAATGTATAAAGCTTTAAAGAAGGGCAAAATATGTAAAAATATTAATTATATAAATAATATCTCATATTTAACTAAACCACGTCGTTCAATAAAGAAAAACAAGTTATTAATGATTTTATTTTCATTTCATTATTATTTACTAATAACACCATTACTGTTCTCTTAATCCATTTACTACAATATCCCATACGATTAAAAATTCATAATCAAAATCGATAAAAATCGATTACGAAATTTATTAGAATAAACGGTCGATTGTATTAACAATGGGTCAATTCTCTAGCCTAGATCTCCGTCCCGCGCACCTCGCTCTTACCATCGTTAACATCCTAAGGAACATTTCAGTGCAGCGTTTCGCGCTAAGATCAGACTTGCAAAGTTAGTTCGGTCGTATTATAATTCATAGAAACCAGAAATTACGTTATGGCTATCCTAGAGCCGGTCAGAAAAACATTTATTAGTAAATAATATTAATAGACATCGACAAACCTAGATGAGCTTGCAGCGCCTCTGTTTTGGCACGAGTGACGTCATCAGGTAGCTTCTCCAATGGTACAACAGCGGTTTTGGTAATCAGTTCAGAGATGGCGCGTTTCTTCTCCTCGTCATCGGAGTCCCGCTTCTCCGCTTCGCGAGCCTTCGCGGAGTCATCCGAACTTAACTCGGAGTCGTCTAACTTGAACTCGTCTGAACTGTCCGGCATGTGCTTTCCACTGGATTTGTGCATTTCCTAAATGGACAGTTACATAATGAAATAATATTAGAATTAAATACTGCATGTAGTTTAAGCGCGTACGTACACATTTAAATAAAACAGTTTAACGAGTGTAGACGTGAAATATACTAGTTAAACTTAGTCGTAAATTATTTTAACTACCGTGACCATGTAGATAAATAATTTTCAAATAAGTTTAACATACTAAACAATATTTCGCGTTTTAAACCGTTAAAGTGTTTTATTTAAATGTGTAAACTACAGGCAGTATTTAGACGTTTAATTAAATAATAAAAAATAAGGTAGTTTAATTGCTTGAAACAGCAGCACGCATTTTTCGGTCAATGATTTTCACAATATGCCAAAATATGTCAAAAATAAAGTTTTCAAATGTTACTGTTATCATTAAACATATCTGATTGAACACCGGGAAATAACAACTTAATGAATTATGTCGTCCATTTATAGACTTCCCCACGAAGTTGACCTACCATTTAGACCAGTCAGTGTTAGCGAAAAAACTGTTATCATTGCTCATAATTCACTGTTGGTATTTAAGGCCTGGCTTGAAGGGCTCGTTACCAGGCCATAAAATATAAAAGAAGATAGGAAGAAAACTCACATCCTCCGATTCAGTGTTGGGCATCTCTGTGTAGTTTATCTTCTTTTGTCTAGTTCTGTGCTTCGGTGACCAGTCGTTGGGCTCATCGCTCAAGCCGCCGTACGTAACGCGGGGTCGTATCGCGTTACCGAACGAATCGTATTGCGTGAGACCACTTTTACGAGGCCTTTTCGTCAATTTATCGCGTCTTTTCGAAGAGTGGTGGTGCTTTTTCGACTTTTGCCTGTGAATTTGTAAATGTTATAATAAAATCTAGGTAAAAGCAATGAATGAATATAATAAGTTATTCCATACTTCTTAGAATGCTCTTTCTCGGCAGCCGACTCGCTGGAACTGTCTTCAAAAACACCTTTCTTCTTTTTCTTCAGATCAGGTGAAGACTCAACGATTCTTTTTACTTCTAGAAATAAAGGCAAAATATATTAGTTATATTTCTTTTATAATATTTAAACTAAGGCCCGGCGTCTTTTGGATGCAGCAGCCGTAATCATGGGTCAAATCTACTACGCTAGCGTCAATAGTAATAAGTTGAGCTCATATATTTTACTCTTTAAACAGTCAAATTTTTCATTTTAATGTATAATTATTACTTACATGTATTATTATTTGAATATTTGTTGACATAAATACAATATAGTAAGATTCGATAAAAACCTCTATGCTCGTCTGACGGTGATTCGCTAGAACTGCCACGTGAGGATATCTCAGAAGAAGACGATTCTAGTCTGGAAATGAGTGAAGGAATAATTTATTATTATTATACTATTTTGATAGGGAAGCAGTTATATTAAACATAAAGAAAAATGTAGTGGAATCTCGGGTTCAAACTAAGCTGTATGCTTTAACGATTAAAAACCGAATAATCGCTGTTTTTCTCAATTAGAGGATATATATATATATATATATATATATATATATATATATATATATATATATATATATATATATATATCATAGGTCTGTCTGTAAATGAAACTTGGCGATAAAAGGAGTGGCGGCGAGTTTTTTGCCAGTTCTTCTCGTTCGTTTACGCCCTTGATTTTGAGAAGCGGTAGTAAATGTACATTTTTATTTTGTAACTGATGTTACGTTCATAAGTGTACCTGACTGACTTTGAATATCCCATAGTTAGGATTCATAAGGATCATGTTATAAGTACCCGGTATCCTTGAAGTCTTCGTCAGTTTCGTCATCGTCCTCGGATGGAACGTCGAGCGAGTTGAGCTTGCGAGCTTTACGGCGTTGCTTGCGAGTTACTTTCCTGGGCTCTATCGGTTTACCCTGGACAAAGCGATATTATAAAATTATTATTTTTTTATGATTGAGAAGAACAGACCTGGTTCTCTTCATGGTTGGTGAAATAGTTCAGCCATAATTGATACTCATAATAGCAACGGGCGGTGTGGACATTATGTGTACTTTAAAAAATACCTGTTCAATTGCTTCTCGCTCAGCTTTCATCTTCTCCTCCTCAGCAGCTTCAATAATAGTGGAGATGTCTTTGCCTCGACCCTGGTTTCCAGCGCTCGTTGTCGGCTCCACATATTCCTCCTGTAATGTGTTTATAATAGATTTTAGAATAGACTGGTGAAAACCGCTTTTTAGATTTCTAGGCGACTTTAAAGGTATTATTAAAATAAACTGAGAATCCGCCGTTTGTTTTTGACACTTCGATAGTTATATAAAATAATATATTAATGTAAATAAATGAAAAAAAGTGCTCACTTATTTATTACATAGTTCTTCAATAGATTACTTACAAAATGCACATAATCATTAAACAAATATATAAATCAAAATGGGACAAATAAGTAGAATTTGTCCCATTTTGTTTTTTTTTATGATAGACGAGAATAGAGAAGCAAGGCGTTTACTTGAAGGAAGCCATCTAACAAGATGCGCTGTCGACCCATAATCGCTTTGGACATTGGGGAATCTATACTTTCATAGACTGAATCCGAGATGCGATACAACTTCACGGCTCTTTCATCTAATATGCTTACGTTAAAAATTGTTACCAATGCTATTTAAGGTATTATTTATACAACTGAGTTTAGGCTACAGTCATATAGTATTTACCTTGATGGCGGAAGAGATGAGGCGGTCGTATTCTCTAGCCCGGTACGATACTGGCAGTTGCTTGCGCGTGCGCAGTCTATATACACCACCAGAAGACGACGACGACGACCAACTTTCGCTACCTTCTAAAATAAATAATATTTTTATTTAAATAGAAATATTTATATTAGTACAATAGTAAAGAAATTAAAATATGTATAGATTTTATTTTCCGTTCAGTTATTTATGAGTTCAACCATTACAAACATTAACTAAATAAAGCAAAATTTGCATATTTAATTGCAGGTCAAGTGGGTTCTTACCAGATTCGTCTTCAGACTTATCCTCGCTTTCTTCCTTTTTTACTTCTTCTTGCTTTACTTCTTCTTCCTCAGGTTCCTCTAGAAGTTTCCTTTCCCTCTCCGCCTCTACTTGTGCAACTAGTTCATCATATTTAACTATTTCTTTTTCTAGAGCCGTAATAAGGAATCCCTAAAAAGAAAGATACATCAACATTTATAGAAAGAAGGTTTTTTAAGTAATCTTTAGCAAATCTAAAGTAATTGAAAGGACGTTATAATCTATCAATGCCCCACTGATGCGCAAAGGTTTAGACCCACCATGCAGCACCAGGATTGATTAGTTGTATTTATACAATAAGTAATAATAAACGATATCGACACGGCTTAACGTACTTTTCGAGGCAAGAATATAGAGGTATAACAACAAAAACTGTAGTTCTTACAATTCTAAATAGCTTGGTTAAAAAACCAGTCTGAAATTTTGTTAATTAATTACTTACATGTTCACAAGGTGGGCAAAACCATTGAGAATGTGGTACCAGGAATAACATCGGCTTGAGACAGCTGGCGTGGTATCCAGCGTCACACTTGTCGCATAGAAGGATCCACTCGGGCTGCTCACCGCTGCCACATCGACGACATGCACCATCAGAACCTTGTGCATCTGCTGCAAAATTTAAAAGTGCACCGTTTAACAGATGATTAACAACAGTACAACATTTTTGAGCTAACAGCACAACATTTTTAGCCTACATAACAAAACACATGTATCACAGAACTTCTAGTATGCTATTAAGTTAATTTACTATTTTCATTAAAACTCTAATAGACATTAAAAAGCAGTTGACTACAAAAATTCTCTTAGTTGCATGTATAGTTCAATATTAAAATTATTAAATTATAGCTATAATTATTGTACATTACAAGCAAGAGAATATAACATACAGCACATAATATGCAAACTTACCTTCTTGTAGTGTTCTTGCTCTTTTGACTGGTTCTTGTTCCTCACTCTCTAGATCTGATTCTGGCGAGAATTCATGATCTGACTTATTGAAAACGACTGAAAATATAAGAGGTAAATTAAATCTTGCTAAACGTCGTACAAGTTAAATAAAACTTTAATAAGAAAAAACATTGAAAAAGGACCATTTTAAGGACCACTTTTGTATAAATATATTGTGTTTTTTTTATAATGATTATTTTTTCAACCACAGTTTTATAATTATATTGATATGTAAATATTTTTTTATGACGAAGAAGACAAGCTTGAGGTTCTTAAAGAATAAATACATGATAATAATGGTCTATTTAACTGGTTTTTAACATAACTGACTGTTTTACTATTTCTAAACTTATATTTAATACAGTATCATAATATCAGTAATGGACGCTATATTTTTAGCCATGTCAAATAGCCCGTTGACGAATGAAGAATAAAATGACAACATCATAATCGATCAGGTAAAGTAATACTTACGATCGGGTTCATATTGAGGGTCAAATAGTGGTTCATCTGAATCAGAATCCTGATCAGGGCCCGTCGAATCGGAAGCTTTCCACTTGTTCTGCTTTTTACGCGAGGACAACCTATGATCTGAGTCCGAACTACTGCCACTCGCTTTCCAATCCTCTTCATCATCTTTGTTCTGTTTAAAAAAATATAATTTGTTACAAGGCAGCCTCTCCAGTAACGATACTCGCTTAAAAGTAGAAGGTGCAAAACTGGACTAATTATTATTATAGCACTAGCTTAATGACCAAGATAGACCAAAATAGCGACACAAAAAAAAATAACTAATACAACATTAATACATATGCAATGGCATTTATAAAATAATTGCTTTGTGATAACTAACTAATACTAGCTTAAGATACATTGTCACCGAATAAACCTTTCTGTTTTTTTATTTAACCATATTGTTTGTTAACACCAGATTTTAAATAATTTAAATACATGGGACAATTTGCAAGTAATCTAGATTACATTACAATATATACGACACAACAACTCACCTTTTTTTTATGTATCATCTTCAGTTCCCTTAAAGTCACCTCTTCTAGTTGTCTCCTATCGGCTTCTTCCTTTATCTTCATCTGAGCTATCCGGCGAGACTGTCTAACAGGCGTATCTAGATCCTCGGACTTGTCTCCTTTTGGCTTTTGTTTGTCATTCTTCTGTTTCTTTTTTAATTTCTTTGCAGACTTTTTCCCAGCTGCAAAATTTTAAGTATTTATTTAATTTCTTTGACAGATACATCTTTATATAGTTTATTGAAACCCTAACCACAGACTAATCGGTTGGGCGGTGTGTTACATACTCTGGTCAAAGTCTGATCAACTACTTGTCCATAATTTCTTACAATAAACTTAAAAAAAAATCTAAGTTTTACCTAAACTGTACAGGGTCTCTTCCTCTGATTCGCTTGAACTCTTCGCCAGAAATTTTGCCTCAACTTTTTTTCTGAAACAGACAATAATATTATGGTTTTTTATAAAAGTTATGGACATACCTAGAAAACAACGAGTGTGAGGAAACAAGCTTCTATCTACTCACTGAATGCTTCATGTATTCAGAATTAAAGCAAACACACATAAGAACTGATTATATAATAGGGGATGATTAAAGAATTAATGTAAAGATTCTGCAAAGCAGAAAGATGACCAAATGTCCTCCACAAAGGGGGAAACGGCGAAAAGCCTTCATTGCTGTCCCCAATAGAAAATAATAATAATGTGCTGAATTCACAAATATTTACACCCTGTATTTGGTAACAATGAAATTCCCTACCTTGACAAATTTACATATTCAATGCCATAATAAATAAGAATAATACAATTTTTATTTTATATACATTTACCTTGAACTTGTAACTATTTTCTTAGGTTTGATCTTTAATCTTTTTCCACTACTAAGGGGTTCATCCTCCTCACTCTCACTCTGAGATTCTGACTTACTTTTATCACTATGAGTTGAATTTAATAAGGATCTTTTTACTGCCTTACTTTTCCTTTTTGAATTGTTTATCCTTTCATTGTTTTTTGAGTCTTTATTGTAAAGAAACTTTCTGCATTTAACTTTTCCTTTCTTGGCTTTAATTTTTTTTCTATTAGATATTGAATCACAATTTTCATCTACATTGCAATTTTTGTTTTCAATATTGTCATTACCCACATCGCTTTTATTATCTAAATTGCCTTTAGAGAGTGATACATCGTCATCTGTGGGCGCAGAATCTAAACGCAACTTTTTTGAAGGAAGGGGGTCCTCTTTTAAATCTGTCGCCGGTAATTTATTCTTGTCATGTTCATAATCATCGTCATCTTGCTCAGAAGATAGACTACTCTTTCTCTTTTCAATAATACTGTTTTTACCATTGTGAAATTTCTTTGTTTCTGGTACTGAATTTATCTTTTCTTTATCTTTAATATTTTTTCTAAGCAGATGTTTCTTTTTTACTTTGCCTTTAACTTTCTTTTTAGATTTATCATTGTCTTTACTCGGAGTACTACTATCATCTACAGAACTATCTTTTTTATCATTTTCATTACTAACAGTGTTAGAAATAGAATTACTGTCGTTGTCAGTTGGCCTCTTACACTGCTTCTTAGAATCTGAATTAAGAATTTCGGCAAAATCATTTGATTGTTTTTTCAAAGATCTCTTGTTCATAGATTTTAATTTCACTAATCCTAATTTATTTGTACTATTAAGAACTTCATTGTGTTCACCATTGCATTCTTCAGGTGGGTTGTCTTCACCAGAATTTTCTCCACTGTGTGTTTCACTGTTGACTTCAGGATTACCCGTACAATTATCATAACCCCAACCGTCACCATAAATGAACATAACAGGTTCACTTATTTCATCCCCAATAAAATAAGAACTTTGGCAGTCAGCACCATTCCCTTCCCCAGTTATAATCATAACTGGTTCTTCTATCGCCTCACCAACACTTTCATTGCAAACTGAATTTTCTTCTTCTTGTGTGGTTTCTGTGTTTGATACTGTTTTTTTCTCATCTTTTATTAATTCTTCTGTTTTATGTAATATTGTATTAGATTTTTTATCAATACCCTCAGTGTTATCTCTAATTGGGCTCTTTAATGGATCTTCAGACTTCTTTTCACTTTCCTCTAGATCTATTTCTTTATCCTCTTTCATTTGTTTAGGTTGGGTAGTCTGTTTTTCTTGCTTGGATTCATTCTTTGATTGTTCTTCATTATTTTCAATCTCTTTAAGTATTATTTTACTTGCAGAGCATTTCTCAACATTCTGATTATCACTTTCGTGTCCGGACTCTGATTCTGGGCTTAAAAATTCATCTTCATTTTCATCTTCGTGGTCATCAGATTGAGTCTTCTGAAAAAATAAAGATAATTTATATAAAAGGTTGTTCCCGTGGCATTAAGAAAAAAAAAGAGATTTTGTTACATACCTCCTTCTTTTGAACTACTTCATTACCACTGGAGTCTTCACTATTTAGATTGCTTGCACACACTGTACTTGAAACTGAGATTTCTTCTCCATTTTTCAATTGGGCAATTACTTTTTGTAATTCTTCCCTTGACCTTAAAAATAGATTGAATTTATGAAAACTTAATATTTTCACACCATCTAAGCTGAATGTTAATTATGCAAATATAGCCAGAATAGCTTACATAATAGCTCTATAAGTAGAAATAGAATATTAAAAAAACAATACATGTTCATAAGCATCTTTTGAACATCAGTGTTAATTTTAATGGTTGGATTGATTTTAAATAATAAGTTGAGAACAATTAGCATTTTACTAATAGCAAAGTTACCTTGCAATTAATTGCCACGTTTCTTCATCCTGATCTTCCTTATACAAACACATATTCGCTTCGTGGTCCACTTGCATCCAGTAAACACATCCATTTTTATCTCGCCCTATAGGATCTAACCTCAACTCCTTGTAAGATAAACTATTAACAGTGTTCTTAAATTTCGGATGGCAAGTGAATTGATATTCAAGGAGTAACTGTTAAATAAATAAGAAAATTAAAAATGGTATCATATAAAATACTAAATTACTTCGATTTTGTTATCAAAATCCGACTTTTTTATAAAACTTAACTATTCCATTTTAAACCGTTTATTTTTATAAATGTGTATTACTCACATATTATAATACAGTCAATTAACAGTCAGTAATTGATTAAAAAGATTTAAAAAGAAATCAGGTAATTAATAATTAAGGATAATTAACAACCTAGTGAAAAAAATAAGTAAACACTTACTTTCAAGATTTTTAACTTTACTTGAGTGCTAGCTTTCTTGTAGGAAAACCTTTCTATCTCCCAAGCTTCCTGATGGTGGGCTTGCTGATGACAGAACTTGATAAGAGACTTCTCCCATCTAGTACTCTGAACAGATTTCTGTGCACGACGTAACAATCTCAAGTGCAAATCTTTCAATGGCTCCAATACTAAAAAGCAAAACACGATAACATATTTTGATAGTTTATTCACACTGTTTACAATTTGACATAACAATCCTACCTTCTTCTGTGTTTTCTATTAGCTCCTGCAATTTAGATAAAGAAGGGATATCTAAACCGTACAACTTCCCAAATACTTTCAAGAATGAAAAGATAACAGCAAAATTAGGATCATTCGTACAAGAAATTTCTCCGTCAGACGCCATCGTCGTCACTTATTGTGCCTTTTTACATATCATTGCTGGACCCTAATTGGTATTTACTCTGGGCATTTGATAATTTCTCTTATAACTAATGGAATAATATAAAACATGTACATGATTCACGAAAATATTAATAATTTTCCATCACTGTAAGCTTCTATTCTTTTCCAAAATAATAAAATAAGACCCAATGACAGCAATTGCTATTCGCTACATAGAGTAGTAGACCACAGATGTAATCATACATTTCCAATAAAATTTCCTAGTCTTATTACTGAAGACTTTAACGCTACAGATAAAAGCAGCGATAAAGCCCAACACATAAATATTGAAGTCCACAGACTATTCAAGAAACTTCAAACAGACCATTTCACCGTACTGAAGTGACGTTTGTATTTTGGACAGCACCTCGAGCCCCCTTGAATTAATAAGAGAAAGAGCGTTGTGTGTGTGTCCATGACTGTGTTGCTGTTGACTTGATTTAGTTTAGTTTGTGAAATTGAGTGGCTGCTTCATTTCATCATTTTAATCCTATTTACATCTATTATAGCATCATGTCATCAGTATGTTGTGGAACTAAAAAGCAAAAACTTAACAACTCGTACAGCAATAATGTCGACCGACCATTGAATGGTTACAAAGAAACAGTAGCAATTCCAGATATGTGCTACTTTTGTTTCGATGTTTTATATTGTCAGTTGCATAGCATGGATCCCCCGCAGACACCTAATTTCACAAATGAAGCGTAGTAAGTTTCCAATACGATTAAGTATCGTCGAATGATATACCCCAGAAATGCTTTGTCTTAATGCAGTCTTTTGTCTTCGAGGTGGTTGACCTATCCAATAAATAGAAGTGCCCTTTGCGCTTTCGCGATGTAATGTCTTTAAAAATTTACTATTTGAAATACAAGAGGAATACATATTTTGTTGTAATCAACATATGGTAATATGTAACAATATAGAATTTTTTAAATTAATAATACATTCTGTGAATTATGCTTAGTTAGGTTTTACATCCAAAAATCTCTGTACCTAGAATTAATAAAAGAAATTTGAGTACTTACAGTTTTATACTATATTTGTATATTACATGGTTAATTTAAAATGAAACTTATTTAAATTTCTTTATTCCAGTCCCTTATTTGTTACTTGGAAGATTGGTAAAGACCACAGACTTAGAGGTTGCATAGGTACATTCAATGCTATGCACTTGCATTCAGGTATAATGATAATAAATTTAATCTTAAATGCACTACGGTAATAATAACCAAAAAAAGTCCATGTTATAATTAAATTAGTGAAGAAGACACTCTGAACTCTTGAGTTTGTGCTTTACTATTTAAAATAAAAGCTAAACAAATTGAATATAAATTTGTTAAAGCTATCACAATTATTGCTTTGATATGTCTGTTACTATGCACATATTATATTTATGTAGGTAGTAAGATCCTGTAACAGGCAATAAATATTTATTTATTTTTAGGACTTCGTGAATATGCTATAACAAGTGCCTTAAAAGACTCGCGCTTTGCTCCCATCACTCGTGAGGAAGTACCACGGCTGACTGTGTCCGTGTCAATCTTGCAGCACTTTGAAGAGGCTGAGCATTACCTTGACTGGAAGCTGGGGAAACATGGCATTCGTATAGAGTTCATTAGTGAACGTGGCTCAAAGCGCACTGCAACCTACTTACCTCAAGTTGCCACTGAACAAGGTGATATTTTTTATTCAAACAAACTATTGTTATTATTTTATAAAAGAATTCTAGAGCAGGACTTTAGGAATTAAAACACCTGAAACTTGAGACACTTATCAAAGATGGGATAGTTTGAAGCTTTATCTAGACAGATTTTTTTCTCTCTTTTTAAGGTGAATTACCCTGGCCACATCTCAACAAAATTACCCTCTTGGGATATTAGGGACTGCTTTCCAATTTTAATTGATGCAGACATGATTTCACAGTAATAAATACAACAATGATAAATTTTTCAGGTTGGGACCAAGTCCAAACAATTGATTCTCTCCTGAGAAAGGGAGGGTACAAGGCAAACATCACTGCTGACATGCGAAGGAGTATCAAGCTAACCAGATATCAGTCTGAGGAGGTCTCGGCTACTTATAATGATTACATCACTCAGCGTTGCTAGCAAATGGCCTCTCAGCCCTGGAATGGGTTCCCTGACACTATATTCGCGTATCCCCCTCCATTTATATATCGGACGGACGCGAGTGAAAGTGTTAACATAGCCTCTAAGGATACATACAGTTTATCAAATGAAACATGGGATAGTACAAGGGGAGGTCAGAATTATGCTCAAAGTGATTCCAGCTCGCGAATAAGATCGAATGATATCATTTAACATTTATCACTGCCAGTGACATTCCTCCCAGGAATAAGGGTGCCATCTACGGACTCCGGTATTTCGTCTCCCGTTTATAGTTATTCTAGCTTAGCTGTAAGACAAGGTAGATGATAAAATCGTATATTTCGTTATAGCTTTGTTAGTCTCTGCCGTGATGCTGTCCAAATTAATTGTTATGATATTAAGATAATCATTTCGTATACAATATTTACATACATTAAACATTATCATTGACTACTCTAGTCTTTAGCGCACAGAAGCATAGTAAAACGCGTTGCTTTGTGGACGAAATATCGCAGTTTTGCCTAATATAAAATTGCTTTAAAGTATCAGATCAGGTTTAGAATATAAGTATATTGTTGTAAATTCTTTAAGATTATTATGCATCAGGAGTCATTTAACAATCTGTTTATATTTAATTAAGATAAAGGGGTATCATCTAAGAAAATGTAAATAATGACTGACATACTATTAGAGGCTTGGCCACAACTGTGCAATAAAATTTGAATTGGTCAAGTGAGATTAGGTGAATATACATCTTCAATGTTTGACTATCTACACAAAGACCAACAAATTTATGAGGCACTAACTTGTTAACAAAAAACATAGTTTCTGACTTGAAGCTTCATTGGTAACAAACATTTACATTTTCACCCTAACAAAATATTTAATAGTATGTCCTGGTGTGTACTAATCAACTAGCTCCTACTGTTTTAACATAGGGTTTAAATATTTTTCAATCATTATTTCCGATATAGGACATGACATTTTTAAGTCTTTCACAAAAGTTGAAGTAGCAGTTTCTATGGATTCACTTAGATCATAATTTTGGCTTTTGGACAATACACCTAGTATTCCCTCTCTCCCTTTTTGTTAAGAAAGTGGCGTGCTTAATGTTTATAAATGATAGAGTAAATTAAAGTTAATGAATGTATGATAGTTGTAGTTACTTTAACTAATTGGGTTTGCTAAATTTTTAAGGCATTTCTTGTTAAATATAAAAAAAAATCATCTCATAATAAAGGTTGTAAGAAATTGTGTGAACTGAGGGTTAATTCTACTGTTACGTGCCAAGTATCCCCAGATTATTTAAAATTATTAGTTCAGAAAGTGAAGCAGCTACTCTGGCGCATTTAGTGTCTTATATGTAGGCCCTATTAAATTATTCGTAAGTCTAATTGTGATACAAACTAAATCATTATAAATTTTACAAGCATAAAAATTCGTCTTTATTCTTTGCCTGCCCTGAGTTTTAAAATGTATATTTGGTTCTTCAAAGGAGTGTAGATGGTTCCTCAGTTCATACAAATGATTATTATTAAGTTAGTCAATTATATAAAAGGTTAATTTTAATATCTATGGACTGTATGTTTACAGATATGGTTGTTTGTATTAAGAAAAGACGCATTCATGTTACGTGTACGTAAAGTTAATAATAGTTGCTTTCTAATACTTTTACTGTGGTTTTTGTTGCTGACTCTTTGTAATCAAACAATTATTTTACCTCTTAGAACTAGAAGTACTGGGTGAATAGTTTAAAAATAAGCACTGGTACTTCATTTTAAATTTAGTAACTAAAGTGAAAATTCTAAAAAAAGTATATAAGTTTAAAAAATACAAAAAATGTATAATATAACTTATAAGGTAAACTTTGTTGTAGGGTAGGCTAAGTAGTCGTCTTATTCTATCAATATTTTTAATACAAATTGTTGTTATTTTAATAGACGTTGAATCATCAAGAATCGTTTACTGATTAAATAAACTCTGCCACAAATCACATTGGATTTATTTGATCACAAAAATCTGTCTCTCAATAAAATAGAATTTCTTTTAAAATAATTTTATTAAACTACCTACATACCTATATTTTTTCATAAGCCAAGCTTTCTTTACAAATTTGATTTACTTTGAAGAATCTTTTGTTCAATGTCTATTAGTTTATTTCTAAATACAATATTATTTTTTAATTCAAAATAAGTTACAACAGATGACGCAGCAACTTGTATGAGGCTAAGAGTTGTCAAGGCTCCTGAAAAAGGTTTTGTAAGTTTGCGAACAAATTCAAACAGAACTTTAGGTCCCTTTTTTAATTCAGGAACTCTATGTGTGTTGTATCTGCTAGCAAGCTGCAAGAAAATAGAAAACCATTATAATAAATATAACTTCTTATAAGAATTGTTTAAGTAATTCTAATAACATACCATAAGAGCTCCTGTAGGGGCTAATAACAGTGGGTATGCAGTTCCTAATGTCAATTGTATTGCACTTGATCTAAGTTCATAACACAGTGGACAGGTTTCTTTTATAAGCAATATATTTGTTGTTATTGACTAAAACAAATAAGATTCTATTTGAATCATCATAGTAAGCAGAAATGCTGCGACACTCAGAGATCATATTTGCAGCCAGAGATTTTAAGTTTAAAGAATAGGAACATACATATCTATGAAACAAAATAGTAAGCATTGCGGGCATCAATGACACAGGAATCACACTCGATAGATATCCATAGTTGCCAAGTTTTAATTTCGTACGATAGTGGTAGTTCATCAGGATACCAGACATAGCATTTATACCGCCGAGAATTGTTGAACCATGGCGCAACGCCCATCTAAATAAATTATTTGTAAATTATCTCTCGTGAAGAATGAGGTTATAATTGATACAAAAATAACACTACATGTGTTCACATACACGTCTGATAGATCCTTCCAATTGTAGACAATATCCCACATATACTCTGAAGCTTCTAATTCGTCTACTACTATTGCATCTTTAGGAATTTCTGAGGATCGCATTAGAGCCATTTTTGTAAAATTTAAGTTTCACACTAAGGCTTAGTGGAAAAAAAAAATTCTATCTAGAATAGAAAATGAATGCACATTTCAGTCTGTTTTTATTTACAATAAAAAGGACTCATTGTTATTAAATAACTATTGGTTATTAAATACACAACGGTTATTATGAAACATGTTCACGATGTACATCGTACATTAATCAGAGCTGACAATGCACACAAAAGCATAGACATCAAATTTATAATACTGGCTAGCTGTGCCCGCGACTTCGTCCGCGTGGAATAGTGACTTGGGGTAGAATTTTTAATTATTTAGGGTGTTTATTAATTTATGTATGAGCGCATTTAGGACAGCCAATCTATGTTGTATGTGCTACTTTGCCGCAACACTCACCTCACATCACTCCTACTCTGACTCCCACTCTTATTCCCAAAAACCAAAGGAGAACGTTTCATTGTTCTAGCTTCAATAACCACGAACTTTCATACAAACTTTCATCCCCCTTTTCAACCCCTATTTGGCATTAAATATGCCTATGTCCTTTCTCAGGCTCTAAAATATCTATATGCCAAATTTCGTTTAAATCAGTTCAGTAGTTTCGGAGTAAAACCGGACAGACAGATAGAGACACAGATACTTTCGCATTTATAATATTATTAAAATCTATAATTTATTTGAATAAAAGTTTATAAATGAAAAAAAAAATCGGTCCAGTACTTTTTAGGTTATCCGTTACATACAAAAATACAAATTTTTCATCTTTATAATATTAGTGTACATATTAGCTGTTACCTACAATATTCGTATCCCGTCATACGCGTTCCGTCGTTCGGATCGTTCTTGCAAGTTAATCTCAAAAGATAGACATATAGTCTCGTCGAATCTTTTTTGAACATTTAAAGGGAAATCATTCTTTCTTACACAATTTTTAGGTATCTTGAACTGTTTTCGCAGCGTACGCATCTGAACCCTACAGAGATGAAGAATTTCTCCCGTTTTGTTCTCATTTCTCGCTGTATCTTCGCTCCTATTAGTCACATCGCAATGTGTTATAGCCTATAACCTTTCTCGATAGATGCTCTAACCAACACAAGAAGAATTTTTTAGTAGTTTCTGAGATTAGCGCGTTTAAACAAACAAACTCTTCAGCTTTATATATTAGTATAGATTACAGTTCTCTCGAAACTTTTTTACCGGGCTGAAGTTAGCGCGACCGCTATCTTGCGCATGATACTGTCAATTTTGAGCACAAAACCGAGTCGCCCTTCACCCGCGCACCCCTCTCGTCGCAACTGATACCCGCTTTTTGCGTTCTGCGCAACTATCCACGCTAACTTTAGCCTGGCCAAAAAGTTTGGAGAGAACTGTACTATGCATATCTTTTTCATTTTCTATTATTCTTATCGTTATATTCATATCATGTTTAATAATCATAATACACGGAAAGTAAAAAATAATTACAGGAATGTGGCGTAATACAATTCTATGCAACCAGCTTTATGAGTGGTTAAATGAAAATCTACCCGCAACAATTATTAATTTAACTCATCGTTAATTCCTGCGAAGTATAAATACAGTCTTGTTGTTGTAACCACTACAACAACAAGACAAAAACTTTCGTTAATAAATTCAAATACATATTTTTTAATTTAAGATTTTGTTATATTAAACTTTCGATCTTATCTTTTGTTGTATTAAACTTTCGATCAAAAAAGAAAACGCTTATGTACATACGCAAATAAATCACACTTAGGGGTCAATGAAAGAGTGAATATCGAAAGTAAAGCGAGATTTTGAATTATATCATACCAATTATTCAGCGACGTACGTTTAATGGCTTTAAACGTATATAATCAGTAAAATAATTGGTAATGTTAACATAACTCTCATTCATTACTTTTAAAATCTTTTGCCATAATTTAATGTCATATAGATATTTGAAAAGGGTATATTTCCCAAATATGACTTGCCTAAAGCTTAAAAGTCTTGTAACCAATCCATCAGATTTAAAAAAAAGTGTCTTTGGTTTGGACTCTTTGTTAAAAATAGCCCAACCGTAATCTAGTTGTAATCTGTGATTCTTATTTCATAATATTTGATAAGTCCTTTATTTATTAATGTGGTGCAACATACAATTTAAAAGATGTTGATATGTTATATATAATCGTTTATTAAGGTCTACGCCTATTCCTCATAAAATTGGGTGTGGCAAAGGACACTTCCTGTTATTGTTGTTACCAAAGCTTATTATTACATGTTTTGTAAGTTTTCCTCATCTAAGTTTGTTATTAAAAAAGGTATGTAACGCAAGGAAAACATCTTTTCTTACAAATTTTGTGTGTTATTTAACTACTAATTTTTTCACTTCTATAGGAATTTACTTCGACTTATCCCTCAAAATGTGTACGAAAGACATGTCCATTGATCACACCTGGAGGGGAGTTCCTTTATCTCAAATATATGGTTCTGATTCGCCATGGGGTTCTCCAGAATTCCCTTTGGTTCAGCCAACGTTTAACCATGCTGTTTTATATCATATTTCGCATAATCGCGATATGGAGAAGCCACCAAAACCTCAAATTGGGACTGATAAGTGGGATCAGGATCATGTAAGAATGCCATGTTCTAGGCATAGCTTATATCCTGTTTCCGATGTAAGTATTTGATAAGTTATAGACATTGTAATTGAAATAGTGAAAACATTTTTTTAGATCATATTATTGTCTTTTGGGCTGTTCGGTGTTGCTAACTCCTTGATTAGTCAAAAAATTAATTCTTCAAGCAATGGATAAGTTAACATCTCCTGATGATGCCGTCCACACTTGGTGACAAAACGTCGGGAACCTCTTTTCATGGCCGAACAGCCTGAAAGACGATGATATGTTCAACAATAGCCGTGAAAGCCTTACACAATTTATTTTTGTAGATGTTTAAAATAGCTTGTGGATAAGGTTAATTCTTTAAATTATTTGATTAAATAAAGCCTTTAAGTATAATAAATCATATTAACAAATGATGTTGCTATATTCGAATGCAGCCTAAAGCTGAAGCAGTTTGACAATAAATATCTTCTTAGTTGGAATACTGGGGGAAACGGGTGAAATGGTCAGCTGATAACGTGGACTGATCACCCGTCCTACCACAGGTGTCCCCGAAAGAAAATAATAATAGTTGGAATACTGAATTTTTAATCCTTTTTAAGAGTGCTGGTCGCAAACAATTAAAGGAAAGGTGGCATATTATTGAGGAAGTCCTAAGCAAACCGATAAAAAACAGTAAACAATTGGCAGAAGCAATTATCACATATAATTCAAAATTTAAAGATATTTGGACATTCTCATCTTTACACTATCTTTTCGATGAAGTAAGTTGATGTTTTTTTACAATACCTGTATAAGATTGGCATGATATATTATTATTTAAACCTTTAAACATTTTTAGTATTTAGAAGAGGAAGAAACACAATATTTCTTTGATGTTACCTTACCACAGATAGCTAACTTGGCATTGATGCTACCTAAATTAGTACAAACTTCAATACCTCTACTTAAGTAAGTGAAATTATTTACCATCTATGACATAATCAACATTAACAAGTAACTTAACATTATCGTTATAGGCAAGGCAAGATTCAATCTGTCTCCCTTAGTCAACAACAAATATCAAGCTTACTAGCAAATGCATTTTTCTGTACTTACCCGAGAAGAAATTCTAGGAAAACGACAGCAGAATATGGAAACTATCCATTCATCAATTTTTCTAAGTAAGTTATTTCTAATTATTATGACAATATGTCTTTGGATTGCTGGGTCAAGTCTCAGTTATGCATGAGAACCAAAAATTGGAAATTTCAGAAAATATTAAAATCTGGAATTGTTGATTAAAACCTTGTGACCTTGTGAGTTTCCCCCTTGTGGGGCATTGGGCGAATACATTTCTGTGTCTGTTTCACTGATCAGGTCTTTTAACGGGTAAGTAGTTAATCAGACTTCTGTGCGCTGCCCGACCGAAACATTTTTTTTGTTTCTCTGGGATTCGAACCCAGGACCTCTCGCGTTCAACGTAATGCGACGAAATACGTTTAACCATTTGGCTACAGAGGCGGTCATATGTTTTATACATACATAATAGTCATCTATTTTTGCTAGACATATTATATGTTAATTTACAATAGATTCTTATATATTCAAAGTTAAATTGCTCGATTTCCAGCTTATTCAACCTATTACCGAAGGAACATGTGTTAGAGAAGCTGAAAAGTATTTGTCATTATTTCAGAAGAGTTTGTAGTAAAGGTAAATTATTGTTTCTTATACCAGTCCTAAGTAAGACCTAATTTTATTAGACATAGAAACATTGACTAACAAATCTAATGGCTACCAATATCTAATTAGTACAATGTATTAAACAACTTGTCTTTACAAGCTTTTTTTGTTGTCTTAATCGAGAATTTCGATGGGCTTGTTGGTTGGCTGTTGTAGCAATGTACATCTAAATAAAACACTTTAACGGTTTAAAACGCGATATATTAGTTAAACTCATTTGATAAATGATTTTTAACTTAGGCCCATTTTGTTAAATCATTTTCGAAAACTCAAAAAGCTTAGCAATATGGCCGCAAGAGCCTTATACAATTTACAATATATAAAATCTCTGGTGTTAAAACTAATAATTTTTTTTATGAAAGCCATTTATATAACAATTACCCTTGTATTTGTAAAATTTGGGTTAAATTAGCCATAAAGTCACGAATACCTGTTCTAGCGCAGTCCCTACTGGAGTTGTCACATTCAGCCGCCGATCAGTGCCGTTCCATCAATGCCCTGACTGGGATAAGTCAACCGTCAGTCTGGCAACACTGCCTGTACATGTTGATTCAGAAATGATCATTGAAGATTTACCTGGATTGATACAAGTTGATTTTGCTAATAAGTAAGTTAAACTAACTTTAGAAATATTTGCTATAGTAGACTGTAGTTTACGTTAGTAGTACATATTTCAATAAAATACAATTAACGGTTAAAAACACAAATATATTAGTGCACATAATTTTCATTTATTAAAATTACACCTTAACGATTGGGATGGTTTGCAAAAAATATATATTGTGCTTCATACTGTGAAAAGTGTATAATATTAGCTATTGTATAAATGCTATTGCTAAGACCAAGCGAGAGGACGTGGGTCCAATTACTACTTCTACCAGGTCCAACATTCCACCCTACTCAAAACCTGTAAAGTTTAAAATAGTCCGGCTTTAGTGTATGGATTTTCAAATGTCAAAAAAAAAAATAAGTCAGGGAGGGCACTTTAATTGGGTAACAGCTGAGGAACTTTGCCCCCTATGGACGAAACTCCAACGTTTGTGTGTATAAGTAGCGGTTCGGATCTTTAGTGCCGAACAAATCTTGCGCAGAAGTCAAAAATAAGGTATCGAAGAGACGGAAGCGGGCGCGGTGCGAGTGAACGTCATGTGCGCTAGTGTTTATTGGTTCCCCAGTCGTGTTGTCTTTCTCGGACCAATACGACGCTCCGCTTGCTTCTCGAGTACAGTCACGTTTTCCAATCATCCGTGCTGCAACCATATATTTTAAAAAGATATCAATAATGACAGTAGATGTCATTGAATGTTCTAGATTCCTTGGCGGAGGAGTCCTACGTGGTGGGTGCGTGCAGGAGGAAATACGATTTGTAATCTGCCCAGAGCTCATGCTGTCTATGCTTTTCACTGAAGCACTAGACCCTACTGAGACAGTGATAATTATAGGTAACTTACTAGCTGTGCCCGGGACTATGTCGGCGTGGAATACTTATTTTTTGGTATCAATTTTTTTTCTTTGCAAACAACCTCTTCAGCTTTCTAAATTGTCAAAGCTGTTGCTTACGGCATTTACCGCGGTCGTCGTTCTTGCGACTTAATCTTCATATGTAAACAAATATTGTAGTGGACAACTCTTTTGGTCATTGAAAGAGGGAGCTATATAAATACAAATTATTTTTTATTACGGCCCGACGAAGACTGTAAAAAATCATTTGTATTGTACAACTAAATATAACAGTAGTAAAATACGGCCGACATCCGAGAGGATGCTTCGCAGTAGCCGTGGTCATAAAACGACGGGCCGTAGTTAAAAATAATTTGTAAATAAGTATAATCAAGAAAATGTTTCGATTTTTAAACTAACATAAATTAATTTCGTTAATATTTTATTTAAATGGACATTCCCTTGCAGGTAGTGAGCGGTACAGTGACTACACAGGGTATGGCTCCACCTTCCATTGGGCAGCAGACCATATAGATCAGACACCGCTGGACTCGTCTTGTCGAAGGCGGTGCGCGGTTCTGGCTATGGATGCTGTTCCATTCCGCAATGGGAGCCTTCAGTGGAAGAAGCAAGCCATACTGAGAGATTTAAATAAAGTTAGTCTAGAACTTAAGGAAGATTAAATACAGTAGAAACAATTTAAGATGATAGACGATAATAAGTCACTTTACGCATCGGCGGAAACAAGGGCAGGGGGGGAATTGTGGGGTCATGGCCTCCCTCTGTGCTGGTGACTTTACGCTAGGCCCTGGAGACATTTTATGATACATTTCTTAACGATTACAAAGACGCGTATACGTTTTTCCTGTCTTAACGCCTAACTTTCAACGACTAGCAATACTACACGTCGAATAATGTAGGGTACTTGAACAATTCAAAACGTCTTTAAAAAATAAACAATTCAATTACGGCTTAAAACGCGAAATACATTCAGCATCTTGTAGAGGGACAGTTGGTGCGTTTACAGACTGAATTGTGATTGTGGCCTATCCTATGTTGGTCAAACAAAGTTTAGTGTCTCGAGCAGAATTAAGGAACACATCTCGGATATAAAACATAAACGTCTCTCCAAATCTGCGGTATACGGACGGCCTCAAATTATCAAACACCTGGGATCCCATAATAAAAACTCTGAATCCCAATAAACAGCATACCGGCAAAAGCGAAGACACCGTGAGTCAATTCTGCAAGGACGCGGCCAGTTTCGCCAAATACCAACTTCGACTGAACAGATGGCGCAAGCGTAGTAACTTTTAATTTGACGTCAGAGACATCCTCCATCTTTACTCTCCCCGTGAACATCCGAACCGTCGGGCCGTAGTTAAAAATTATTTTCAAACAAGTTTAACTAAAATATATTTTAAACCGTTTAAGTGTCTATACAAATATTATAAAGAGGAGAGGTAAAAATTTTTACCTCTCCTCTTTATAATATTTGTATAGATAATGTGCATGTAGTATATATTTGGTGGTGAATCTTGATCTCTCGAAAGTTACTACTTAAAAAATTATTTCTTATTGTATCTTCCAGGCATGGGTTGGATTCTCTAGTTACACGGTTCCGGAACCTCACCTTCAATATCCAGGTGTGGCGACTGGGAACTGGGGATGTGGTGCCTTTGGGGGCACTGCAACCCTCAAGTCGCTTGTGCAATTGATGAGCTGCGCACAGGCCCGACGGCCTATGGCCTACTGCACATTCCATGATACGGAGCTCAGGGACTACATAGAACGCGTTTGGACCATTTTCACCAAGCACAACGTTACTGTTGGTAAGTTAAATTAAACTTAATATGTATTGCTAACACTAGCTGTGTCACTGACTTCGTCCGCGAAGAATAGTCTAAGAGTCTTCCTCACCTCACTTATACCCACCAGAATCCATATTTCAACAGGGTCACTCCGTCCACGGATGGATAAGCCGTAAAGTAAAAGTGCTTTTGGTTTCAGTCTCGATTTCTGTATGCCTTATAAAAAATTGCTTCGTCATATAAAAAATATTATACTTTATGGAATTTTTATTTTACCAATTTTCAGGTCAATTGTTCAAAATGCTCGTGAAGTACTGTGACACGTGCAACATAAAAGAGGTGTCACTTCAATCGTTTTTAGAGGACGAATTGGGAGAAGAACCAGTCACTAAAAATAACACATCAGTTGTAAGTTACATTAACTATTTTATTGACATAAGTAAAGGTGGATTTGTTTTTTCAATTATGTTAAGATTTAATAAGATTATTTGTTTCTTAAAAAACTTCAATCCTGAACTGTTTTATTTAAAATTTTATTAGCACAATTTTACTTGCTACATTTTTAGGGGGGCGCCATCTGCCCTGCCCTCTCCCTCTTGCGCCCATAATAGGGTCTATTTTGTAACACTTTCATTTAATAAAAGTTATTGTAATTTGTAGAAATATAGTTTCAAAATATGAGCTAAACTACATTAAATTAATAATTTCAGCAAGAGAGCTCGCAGGATTCCATTAAATTAGATCCAGTATTATTACAAACTTCGCCCGATATATTTGAAGACGATACGGAAACAGCTGCTGATATAGAGAACAAGCGGATAAGCCAAAGCATGAGGCTCTTTGCGGAAATGGAGAAGTTCGATCAGGAAAGCGGCAATTTGAACTTAACCAGCTCCGAGCGATTGACCGAGAAAATGGACGTCGCAGTCTCACCAGGGGTTAAAATGAAAACAATGAGAAAAATCACTGATTATTTTGCAAAAAAGACCTAATTGCCTAATACCGTTTAGGTATTCCGATAACTAGTTCGTTAAGTAGAGCATATTTTTTTTACTTGAGACACGCCACAACAAATTAAGGAAAAAAAAAGTTTAAAACCCAGTGATGAACTTATGGCACAAAATGGGGCCTTTATATACTATACCTAGTTTCTCTGTTTTAATAAAACAGAAAGATGTTTCAAACGCTTCGCATTTTGCCCCAATCATGCATGAGTGGGACTCTTTGTTTCTATTGTTGTAGACTTTGCCTTCATCCCTATATAAATGTCATACTTAATAAATTCTATCAATTTACGACTTACGTAATTTAATTTATTTTTTTACATAAACAAATGTCTCGAAGTGTTTTAGTTAAAAACAGTTTAAAGGCGTTTTTTTTAAAAAAACTAAGTTCAAAGTGATGTTACAAAAATCCCATGTAATACTTATACACAAAGGTCCAGTAAATAAAAGCCATAAGTAATATAATTAAAATTATTTATTATCCTTCCTCATATTTCTAGCATACTAAACGTAATAAGTGTATAATAATAAATAATTGAATAGTTATTTAGTTTGAAATATGTCTTGATACATAATAGATAACTCGGTAATAGGATTATCAACTAAACATGCAAAGTAGGCAAAACATTATTGTATTTGTTTCATATAAAGTGACGAATACAGTCAATTGCCTAGATACAGTATGAATTTCACTAATAATTAATAATTTCCTAGCGACGACGCCTTAAAAAGTGATCATATTAATATTCTCTTATTTTACAATCTTTGGCAAAATATAACAATTTTTATGCTACATCAATAGCCTAGCTATTAAACGCTCGAGTGGAACTTATTTTCGGATTTAGTTCGTGTTACCTGTGGTCGCAATGGAACATTTGTGCTGTTGGGTGATTAAAAAAATATAGCAGCGGATACATCTGGTGACGAAATTAACTATTATATTGATACATCTTGTATACCTTAACATTAAAAAGTATGATATAATTAGATGGGCGAACAAGCGAAATAAAAACATTAGCAGTGGCAGAAACAAAAGTATTAGACGCGTAGTCCGCATTATAAAACATACATATTACTTTTGTGCATTAAAACAGCCAGTTAATTACTAATTAACATTTAATTGTATAACTTACGAGGTTCTCCTTAAAACTATTAGAGTGGACTCTAATAGATTTTATTTATATCATGACCAAGGTATTTCTGCAAAGATTTTTCCCGTTTCCATTTCTTAGTCCTTCTATTTAAATAAACTAGCTAAAATTCACTTTAGCTACACGAGGTACATGTAAACAAACGATGACTTTGTACTTTTAAACATGACAAGACGTGTAGGCTGTAAGCAATCGTAGATTCTAGATGACTTAATTGACATATAAAAAAAAACAAATGACTGTCTGTGGCAATTCCTGCTGTGCAATTCGCTTTTGCATATCTGTCATGTTTAATAATCTATTTGTATAAATATTGTGGGACCAATGTACATTTTAGCCTAGCTATACGATTGTGGCGGAGTAATCTTCAATTTGAAAGATTGCCAGGCTATGGACGATGGTTACAAGCGTATATCACAAATACCGTATTAGGTATCTCCATTTACGAACTAGCTATAACAGCTATACAATTTGCTCTCTATACAAATGTATGTATGTATTGTCTTGTAGCTTACGCGAGCGGTATACATTATATAAAATACTTAAAAGTTTAAATCGCGAAAAATTCTAGGTACGTTCGAAAACTTTAATATTTTTCACATGCTTCACACACGATGGCATTATATAAATTAAAAATCTATTAATCCCCCCTATGTTGCCATCATGTAAAAATATTAAAGTTTTTCAAATATGGTACTGTAGTTGCGAGTCCCTCCGATCACGGCTGTTGAAAACATGCGAATCGTCGGGTCATAGTATATAAATTATTTTGCTATTATGTAGCTATTTCGTGTTTTAAACCGTTACAAGTATTTTATTTATGTATATAGTTGAGCACTGGCTCGTTGGTCGACCATAAGTATAGCGCAACAAATTGTATAACTACCTACATTAGCTATCACCGTATATAAGTTATCCAGAACAATGTGGGGGGGGTGGGGGGGTTTACATGAATGCGTTACATTTTTATAGCCTCGTCACAGGATATTTGAAAGACGACGTATTTAGTAAAATTGTTTTGGCGCAAAACTTAATCGACGTTATCGGTTGTCATGGCAATACTTAGAAATTTTCCTAGATATACACAGCGACACCCTGTCACCCGTCCGAGAACACTCGGGAGAAAAGGCTAGTAAGCTCCTAAATTAGATATGATGTCACATTATATTATGTTTATTTACAGTTCAGAGTAAGCACTTAACGCACAATCTGTTGTTAAGCAAAGTTAAAAATCTTAGGGCATATACGCACTAAGCGTTTCACAGTCCGGTTATAGTTGCAACGGTGGCGGCGGTAAGCCGCTTAGTGCGTATTGACCCTTAAAAGAAAGGACAGCCATATCCAAAGTGTAGTCAATAGGAATAGGACTTATGACAGTATGACCATCTCGCAATAAATATTGAGATCGAAAAGGACGGCGTTATTTTTATTTTTTCCAACTGTTCAATGTAATTATATCTTTGTGTTTAGTTAAGTTTTCGTTAGTACTTGATTTCGTTATCCTTAATGTACTTAACGGTATAATTTATGTCAATTACCTATTCTAAACTAGAATTAAATAAGCACACGAAACAATATTCTGGATAACTTATTGAAAATAATTCCTATTTTCCGACTGTTGGGAATTGTAATCTTATTTAAGAGGCTGTGTCAGTAATCTAATAAATAAGTTATGATTATACTGTACTTAGAACGAAACGTTCGCAATAGATCAAGGTGCTTGAAGCTAAACTATGCTAAGCGTTTGGCAAAATAAATAAAAGAAGGAGATATGACTAGATCGTTTCGTATCTTTACTAGATTCTACATTCATATAAGCACTATGCGCCTCTCTCCGTAAAATGTTAAATATATTAATATAAATAGATATAATAGATTAATTATTTCAAATCCTAAGTTTGTTTTAAAGTATTGGCATTCATCTTAAAATCTAATCGAACGGCGGATAAAGTACAGTTATTGACCGATTCGACCGGCCGACAGCACATCGGCTGTTACTTAACCAACCAACTTTATTCACTTTAATATAGAAGCGAACCTTCAACAAGCCTACAGACGTTTTTCAGGATTGCCTCTTCTATGAGCGTCTCGTTTGGTTCAACTTGTATAATCACGATAAACAAAACGTGTTCGACATCAAACATTCTACAATTTTGTTCGAAATGATGTGTTCCATCAAATATCTATCATCAAAACGATGATGATAAATGTGCGTATCAAATACGGATTCATAATTTCGTAAGATGTTTATTTGTTCAATTGGTGGTCAAACGCCGCAGACCGCGAACAGCGTAACGCATTACGTTGCCCTATTCAGTATTATTGGTCGGTGGTACATGTCATGCGCGAAGGCGAATTACCTAGTGACGCGATACAAAGCGTTGGACTCCTAACGCATGCCGCTGTACGCGGACCGCAGCCTAGTTAAAAATATTGAATAGTGTCGGTTTGAAAATGTTACATATGACCGCGTGTATAAGAAGCATTCGTTATGGATAAGATATTTTTGTAAACTACATTATTAACGACAGAGTATAAAAATTCCACAGACTACAGTGGACCCGATAGAGAAGCGGGAAGGCCGATGCGTAACAATACGTCACCGTAATGGTTATTACTGATACTAAAAGACTGTCTAAAAGGTCGAAATCTATATTGTGGCCGCAGGACAACCTGACTAGGACCCTAGTCACTTCATCTGCTTACAAAACATTTAGATACATTTAATTAGCAAAGCATACCCTGTATCCTAGAATCACTTTATGGGCGATTGTTTCATATATTCAGACAGGACAAGATTTATCTATCATACATTATGCATTACGGCATATAATTATCATCGTTTGATGGATTAAACGTTGTTCATATAAATATATAGTACTGTAACAAACGCATCGCTCCGTACCGATTCGTCGAGCCCGTTACTTCTACCTTATCCACAAGATGATATTGATATAATGGATTATATTAAAGTAAGTATACGTTCCGATTTGGCATCATTTTGTTGTCAACGCGACGACGTCGAACGCCGGGCACAATGGCGCTTATACCATTTAGATCCCAACATGACGTTGTCCGCTGTCGCCTTTGTATTAAACCAGCGAAAACGTCGCGAGGTCGACCACAATTTTTTAAATATTCAGAAGCACAATTCCTTCTATCCTTCCGACTAAATTGGTCGTGTCGAGTAAAGTCAATCAGCTCTGCCGTTATACAAAACGAGACCGTCAGATTTTAAACAACATAACAATAAAATTATAAGAGAAATAGTCAGAACGCTTTAAACAATTCGAAGCTTAACAACGTATTGCACTAAATGAGTCATAAGTATAAAAGAACTAGGATCTACATCTAACTACGTAATTTTATCGGTTAATAATAATTTCTTTTTCGCGTCTTGATATGGGAAGGACATCGTATTATCGGGTTCTTGGTAAAATACTAATACCTCTAAATTCTGTTAGAGATTTACATGGTGAAACACAAATAATTATCATTCGAAACAACTCGCTTTTAACACTGACTTTTACTACTGGCGATTAGACGAAAACCCCAGAGTCTTGATTGACTCTCGCTAGCGTGATATTTACCAAATTTGGGTACCAATATTGTGAAAGTTTAAACATGGCTCATCTATAATTTTAAAATACCAGCGGCCAGGTAATACGATTTGCTTCCGAATTAACATAGCTTACAGTTAAATCATAAACGTCTTAAACTAGATTACTATATCCATATTATAATAATATAATAATTATTTTGTGTAAATATAAAAATCTATGTCTGTGGTGAATGAATATTTTGACTAGTGGCGGGCGGCGGCATTATATTTTCGCAGCCGCGCGCGTTTATGACACAAACACACGGGCATAATGCACAGATTGCAGATAAAAACAGTAACGCCATCGGACGAAGTAGTTATTAGGCTTCACGAGTTTATGGCGTGTGTTTATATCACGTTGAGCCCTTAGCGCATGCGCGGTATTATGCAGAAATAATATATTTTTATTATCTTTGGTGAAAAGCGACTTTCTAATAATGCGTTATACATAAGCGGACGGAAATTTACGGTTTTAGACAAGTAAGCATTTTTTTTTTTAATTTAGCATTATCTCTGTTATAGCTTAACTTGAATGACTGGAGTTTAGACAATCAGTTTCATTAAACTAGTTGGCTCTATAGTTATAGGATTATTTATTCAGTTCATAAACTTATAATTTGTATGCTCCTTGCCATTTTACATAACCGATAGCGTTGAAGTAACTAAGTTGCAGTGATTTCTGCATGATACACGCCGTATAGGGCCCATGTACCCTTCGATACATTGTGTTAATATTAGGTTTCATTTAAAAATATTTGGTTTTTAGCATTAGTATTCAAAACTTAGTGATACAGACACTATTCGTAACTAATATTATCTGTACGTCTATTTACATTTTATACACAGGCGTCAAAAATTACTATGTGTGTGCGTACACAACTATAGCACTTTTGAGCTGTTTTATTTTAATTGCGCCGGAGTATAGTATTCCGCCCGCGCTGTTACATCTAAAGTATCTCCATATTTCAATGTATATTGGTACATTTTGATTATGATACTATTTTAAGTAGAAATTACGCTAGCTTTGTTTCGCGTTACCCACTGTTGTCTTTCTAGTAGTGTTTCACAGAATTAACATCTTAACATCGATTCTTTATATTTGTTTTATTATAATAGGTACACATTACACACATCCATGAAATAATTTAAGAAGCGCGCCCTTCGAATTGACGTCGCATTTGCGAAATAATCGCTCACACACGGAAAGTGTTTAAGTGCTGTAGAATATTATAACACTACGGACATTCGATGTTGCCACATGCAAAGAAATTCCCGAGAATTGAGGTATTTTTACTAATACATTGAATACTATCTACGATGTTTCTAATGGGGGATTTCTTTTGTGGCACAATCGATCTTGGTGTGTTGTACAACTAAAGAAGCATTCCAATAGTTCACCCTATTAAGTAGTAATAGTTTTGCTTGTTGGCAAGTGTATGAGCGATGACAGAGCGAAACGTAACATTTGCACAAACGGCTTTAAAGTCAATTATGTTGATATATTAGTTTTAGATCACAGCCCATTTGGAATTTACAACACATAAATCTTTGGAACGAAGGCCTTATTGTGTTTTTTATGTTGAAGTGCACTTTGATTTGTACACAGCGTTATTACAACAACTTTTATGTTAACAACAATGCCATAATACTTGGTAATTATTAACATTCACTAATATTATGTAGGTTATGACCGCTAGGCTCACCACGACTGACGATGGTTTTCAAATGTTTGTTCTAAACATCTATTCGTATTTACAATTTTGTTTATGTTGAAAGACACGATTTGAACACTTTCGGTTGGTTTAATTGAGTCTGTTTATTCAGTCCAATAATTTCGCTGTACATTTTGAATTTCATGGGCATTTGTTTGCAGGGATTTTTGGAAAATTGCGTTTGATAGATTTGTTGTTAGGACTTTTAATCTGTTGTTAGTGATTGATGGTGATTACACTATTTAAAGACTGAAACATGACGTCTTGGCTCTGTGTGTTAGCTCAGTGTTATGGTATAGCCTAGCGCAACAGCTTATATCAGACACTCACAGTTTCACACATAATAAGTATCTATAACAAAATATAGGATATTATATTATGCCAATAGTGGTACATACCGGTACTTAATTAATGTAACCATTAATCAGAAGAAAGACAACAGTGCATGCGATGGGTCGACGACGTATCTTTGTGGCCTACCACTAACAAATTAATGTATAAAGAAACGCGCATTGATCGCAGCGCCATCTACACTACGAACAAAATAACAGAACAAAGATACGCGCGCGACCGGCCATCCAATATACAATAATTAAAATACACTTTTTTCTTACATTTTCAACTTACTTAATAAATTCAGTTTGGCTTAGTTCAAGCAAATAACTAGTATAATAATTTTTATGTTAAAAGTTTCAGTTAAACGTTAAAGTACTTAGAAGTAGAAGTATGATTACGAATGACAAAATTTTTATAACGTGTCATTTTAATAATAATAATAATTTAATCAAAGTTAATAAATTGTATAATAATATAATAGAGTAATTTAATGATTAATCGATAATGATAAGAATGAAGCTTTCTACGCATTGATCAATAGATAAATTACATTTAACTAATATAGTATACTCGCCACGGTGGCTTTAGTTTAGTTTAGTAAGGTGTTACTGATATTTGCTATACACTTGTCTGTTAAATTCATTGAAATTGTTCAAGTTGCGTGAGTTCATGCGCCGGGGCCGATAATTGCCCAATGTTGCTCTCTGAAAAAAAATATCCTTTTTAAGTGATTTCTACATAAATATTGCGTCTATTAACTATAGATTTTATGCAAGTGTTGTTAATTGTAACCCCCTCGACATTTATTGACAGGCAACTCGATCTTTGCCACCACGACTGTACTTCGTTGTGTTCGATTCCAGAATATCTCCCGCTATACGTAATTTTGAAGTTATTTTTTTGCTATAAGTAACAAATGTAACTTTTTAGGAAATGTGTTGGACTTCGCCTGGACATCTGTATATTAATTAGGTGGTGCGTAAGTCCGTCCTGGTTACGACCACCGTTTACAGGTGAAAGGACCGTGAAGTTTAATCACGGATTTCCGATATTAAAGCGTATATAGGTCAACAGCACATCTTGTTTAGATGTTATTGCCGGGGCATTTCACCTACCATCAAGTTAATCCTATGCTTCTCTATCCCCTTATATTATACAAAACGAAATTACCGGCGGTGGAGGGCAAACGCGCAACAGTGACATTTCGTGTTAGTAGGGCCTATTAGCGTCCTTCGGCCTCTTGAGTTGAACCTTTAGTCGCTTCATGCCAATCTGGAATCCATTCATCGCCTGGATTGCAGCCTGGGCTGATGCGGGGTTGTCGAATGAGACGAAGCCTGAAAAAGTTGTCGTAATTACAATCGCGATATACATAATTGCGTGCAAACTAGCTGGCCTGACAAACGTTCTTTTGCCATAATATGAGGTACTAGCTGAGCCCGCAACTTCGTCCTCATGCCATAGTTATTTTAGGTATCGGTATCTTTTAATCATTTTTGTGCAAACACCCAACCCAGTTTCATTAATTATAGCTGTTAACCACGACCACGTCTGCGTTTTATCTTAAAAGATTGACATATACCATCGCGAACATTTTTTTAAGATTATTTAAAGAAGGACAATTATTTCCTACGTATTTCTTGGGTATCCGTTACTGTTTTTCCAGCGCACGCAAGGAAAACCCTAAAAAATCAGCAATTTTCACAATTTTTTCTCTCTTTCTATCTGTTTGTGCGCTCTTATTGATAACAGAATTTCAATTTGAAGTAGTAGTTCCTGAGATTAGGTTGTTTAAACAAACAAACTCTTCAGCTTTATAATTTTAGTATAATTATGTCTAAGGGATTAAACCGTTGTCGAACCATTTCCAAAATTAAGAAACAGTTGGAGCTCGATAACAACTGGACGGTTTTCATGACGTTTGTTTTATAAAAGTGTCTTCCGGGCTCATATAGTTCAAAATAAATGGTCATAATTCAGCTACACATAAAGCTAAAGGTATGTAGCTTAATTATTTCGTTTCGACCAAAAGTGAGACTCACCAAAACATTTGCTTTGGTTAGTTGCGCGATCGATAAAAACCTTGCTGCTGATCACGTTACCGAACGGCAAAAACATCTGCATCAGCTCCGCGTCTCCAAACTCCTGAGGTAGGTGGTAGATGAACAGGTTGCACCCCTCGGGGCCCGAGATCGAGCATCCTGGAAACATAAGAAAATCTTTAAAGAACTCACAAATCTGCCTCAGAACACCAACATTGAGTGACTTTTAAAACTAATGACAAATGACAGTAGGAAAACATGGCGGCCTTTATCAAGATCTTAGCAAACTAAAAACACAAATTAAATGAAAAAGTAGAGAAACGATAACAAAAAAAAATGTGTTTATAAGTCTGTACATTGTTGCTAATACAAAACTGAGATTGTTTCTAAAAATGATGATTCAAAAGAACCCAGTGAAAGAAGATTACAAAAGTAACTACTGTACAAAGAAATATCTATACTAATACTTATTTTTATAAATGCGAAATTAACTCTGTCTGTCTGTCCGGCTTTAATGCCGAAAGTACTGAATTGATTTTAATGAAATTTGTTACACAGATATTTTAGAGGACATAGGCTACTTTATAATGCCTAAAAAGGGTCGTTAAGCTTTGAAAAAGGGGATGAAAGTTTGTATGAAAATTCGTGGTTTTTGAAGCTAGAACAATGAAGCTTTCTTCTTTGGCTTTTTGGGAATAGGAGCAGGAGTGCGAGTGGAAGTGGGAGTGAGAGTGTGAGTTGGAGTAGGAGTGATGTGAGGTGAGAGTCGGAGTGTTACGGCAAAGGAGCACTTACAACATAGATTGGCTGCCTTACATAAATTAATAAACAGCCTAAATAATTAAAAATAGCCCAAGTCACTATTCCACGCGGACGAAGTCGCGGGCACAGCTAGTAATAAATATTAATTTGGATTTAACCTATATAAAATTAACAGTTACTGCTAGTTCTGATTATTTAAAAGCCGTCATGTTTGTGATATTAGAAGAATTAAGACTTATGGACACTGATAAACATTACATTGATACACATAACACATGAACAGAGATGCAACAGCAAAGTCAAAGCGACTAAAGTGAATACTCTTATGTTGAGTGGATACGAACGATTACAAATAAGATTTAATTGTATTATGTAACTAAATACATATTGTGTATTAAATGATATTTTAAGTACTTAAGATATTTAAAGCTTATGACGGACTCGGTGGTGTAATGGTAGCAATGGTGGTATGGCTTATAATCAATAGGTCGTGGATTCGATCTCCACTGGGTCCTAGATGTTGGACTGAGTCTGGAAATCTGTATATAAAATGGGTGGTAGGAATAGCGAAATTCGGTCCTGGTCACGATACGCCGTTCACAGGTGAAAAGGCCATCAAGTTTAAGAGTGTTTTTGTGTCAGTCTGGATTTCCAAAGCCAAAATATAGGGGGTAATTCATCAAGCCATCAAGTAAGCCCACAGCTTGTCTGACCCTCTTCTATTATAAAAAATAATAATTTTTGTTTGTATAACGCCGTTTATTAGTTATAAGATTTGCGTTTTCTTTAAAACTTTTTGATTACAAGTAATTATGAAAATAGGTTAAGTTGTAAAGTGTAATTTGTAAGAGATGAATTTTATGCTATTTTCTGGAATTCTAATGTGTTGTATAAACATTGCATTAATAATAAACATCGCTGGTATCTTGCGAAGCCATGTGTTGGTAATTTTTGGTATTCAGCATAGATTACCTCCGTGAGTCATCATATGAAAGAATGGTACATTTCAGGGCTCCACTTACCTTCTCTCTGGGCTGGCGCTATAGTTGACATCGGAGGTGGAATTGGCTGCGGAAACTGTCCATAAACCGCTGGGTAAGCTGTCAAACATTAAGTTGCACATTTTCACAATGAACACCTATTTTATTGCGTGTACATGCGTCTAAACATTGGCAAATAAAAATGTAAAGCTTGGTTTCTTATTAAGGTAGAGGAGAGAAGAAAACAAATTTTATTTTAGAATATTAACCGTATGTTTTTAAATGCCGTATAAATAAATACATTGACTACAAAGATGCACTCACTACAAGCAAAGAAAGTACAGTATTGAGAATTTATCAATGCGAAACCTTGTTAAAGTTTGACAGCCTAAATTTATCTTAACACCGGAATTCCTGTGAAATATTCGCGTTGATAAACTGCCGTTCTCTTTCTTTCCGTTCCAATTGTGGGGAATTAAAATTCAATTCAAATGAACTGTCAAAGAAGTTTACGATAACAAGAGAAAGACAATAAAGTCAGTTGGGGGAGCGGCGCCGAACATTGAACTGTATTCAGATAACCAATACAATGTTTAATTTGTCCGCTGTCAAATTAAGATCTACGTTCGGCGCGTTTGTTGTGAGGGAACGATTTTTTACAACTTTCGCCGAAATAAGCGGTTATGTACACATTTGTTGTAACATTGAAAATATAGACGAGAAGTTCTCGACCAGCTATATCCAAAATTCTGTACAGAGTATACTTCGGTTTTCAACTGTAGCAAATACAAAAATTGGTTACGATATAGGTGGTCAAATAGAAACATTTACGTTCTAGAAGCAGAGGCATCTACGATAAATAGAGTTAGAAGAACTTGCACGATGCTAATATATTAAGTTGCTCCATCTTAGAAGACATGTGAACGTTACTCACCGACTCCAGGGAAAGGCTGCATACCGGGATAGGCCGCGTGCTGCAATGCAGCAGCCTCTCCGTTCGGCAGACCTTGAGCTGTAACTGGAACCGCTGAAACACATTTCCGTCATTTTATTATTATATGACTACTATACTTTAAAGACGATAGGATAGAGATCCCGTTGTTAAAGAGTATTAGTAAATAATGGAATAAAAATATATTTTCCATTCCTGCTTCTGGCATCTTGCCATATCCAAGGATAAGATAAAAGAAACTAAGTAATATTAAGCTCCATATTTGGTCGCCGACTGTGCAGGAAGTTATAACATACGAATCTACGATTTGTCGGGCTCGTTGGTTTAATGGTATTGCTGATAATCAGCGGGTCGTGGGTTTGTTTGATTTCCAAGTCTCCAACATGTTTTCTCAAACACGTTGGACTTCGTCTGGGAAAATCTTGAAATTGAATGGATGGAATAACGAACTTCAATGAAAAACCGTGAAGTTTATTCGTTTTTTCAGTTTCAGTCTCTGAGTTTCTGAATATCCAAAGCCAAAGATGTTATACGACTGGTGTATTTTACCTCCCAAGAAACTCCTCTGCTGTCAGGAAAAAATCATTTCTTCTTGCATGCATATTAATGCAACTAGATTATAGGATTATTAGTTATTTAAATATGTAAATACACGGACACTATCTAGTGTTTATTTTACTTTAGCAGCATAATATCAAAGTACTAACGTCCAGTAAATGTTTGATGTATGCCGTTGGTATAGACGGCTTCCTGTGGTGGTGGTTGGCCGTTCGCGGTTTGCGCAGCCATGTTGAAACCAGGCATGGTCGGCGATGGTAGAGAGGGCAGAGCACCGTTTAGTGGCTGTCCACCACCCGTACCTATAGCCAGGCCGGTGAAATTATCTGCGGAAAACGTATATATTATTCACATGATGGCAATATATAAAATAAAAAACGATTTTAATTAAAAAATTACGACACCATTTAGTCATTTTACAACTTATACGGACGGAATCGTCGGTGTACCGGCAGCAACGTCTAATAATTTCCAGGTCCCACCATTTTTCTAATCAATTTAGAATTTATCTGAAACACGTTGGACTTCGTCTGGAAATCTGGATATAAATGGTTAGTAGGTATATCGAAATTCCGTCCGGGTCCCGAATTACCCTCTACAGATGACAAACCAGTCTATGGATTTTCGCATATCCAAGTTAAAATAGATCGAAAGCAAATCTTGTTTAGATTTTATATGGCTGGGGTATTTATTTTACCTACAATCAATTAAATATTTTTTTAGACTGCTTCGGATAAAACAGACAAAGACTTATGACTATAATAGATAAGTTAATATATTAAATGCTCTTGGCGATTGAGTCAACTAACCGTAAGTTGAATGCTCACCCGAAGTAGGAACGGAATTCGCCATTCCGTTCAGCGCATGCGACGCCAGCGCAGTCATGGGACTTATGTATCCTTGCGCAGTGGCAGCAACCATCAACGCCGCTTGTTGCTGTTAACGAAAATTAATATAGATGTAAGATTTATTATGACAGATAAATAATCATCTAAACAGGTTTGGTGACGTGCCGCTAGAGACAGTGGTAGGGGTAGACGACTCCGTACCAAATTTTTAATAGGATTGGGCACGGGGCCTCAATTACTAACCGGAGGTTGTATTCGAGGCACAAATTCATTGTCACTTAAGTTAATAGTGCATTTTTATTTTTCTCCTTCTTGAAAATCATGTTTTTTGTTATTAGGCAACTTTGCTTCTATATAACATACAAATATAGTTTTACGATTGGCGACTTAAAAAATAATTGTCAGCAGATTATTTTTGAGAAATTATTTATAAATAATTAAATATTATTACGTTAAACTTGTTCTTTTATATATATATATTTACCTGTTCAGTAATGACTTGGGCATAGGTGCCATAAGTCCCGAACTGGTTGAACACGAATGGATTCAACAGACTCATATTGCCGGCCATCTGTTGCATACGCCTCAGTTGTCTTTCCTTCTCAGTGTCAGCAAACTTGACCACTAAGCTGGAAGATGCTCCCTGAAACAAAAAACAACTCTATAAAGATTACAAAAATACATATCTCAGCTTTAAATGCTGTCTACAGTTTGTGCGGGTACACATTTAAATAAAAAAACTTTAACGGTTTAAAAGTAAAAAAAACTATGGCCCGACGTTTCGAATGTTTTACAAATCATCTTAACTACGGCCAAAAGTTTTTGAATGCAATCGTGGTTACGGAGAGAAGGGGAGCTGCTTCTGAAATGTGGGGCCGTAGTTAAAATAATTTATATTTACGTTTAACTAATATATTTCGCGTTTTAAACAAGTATTTTTTTTTTAAATCTCTCAGCCTTGTCGTAAAATACCAAAACGTTAGTGTTCAGCTTGATTTGCTGAACGCTGAAGTTCAGTCTGACCCTGAAGATGGTAGATTTGATAAGTTTTTTTTTAATTATTTTAAATGGTAGGTATATTTTTGTAATAAGAGCATTACTGTATAATACTCGCATATATTTGTAGTGTCATAGTTGCTTAGGTTAGAAATCTAATATATAAAGCTGAAGAGCTTGTTTCTTCGTTTGTCTGGAAGCAAAATCAAAAAAAATGTCCGCGCGATGTCTATCTTTTAAGAATAACTTGCAAGAACGCCGGGACGCGACCGTGAGTACCAGCATACATTTATAAAGCTTAGGCCGAGGTTTGCATAAACAAATTTAAATGTCCAAAATAACTATTCTACGCGGACGAAGTCGCTGACACAGCTAGTTATAAATATAACGAATAATAAAAGTATGTAAAAACATTATGTCAGTGTTCTCAAGCGTTGAAGATATAACCGCTATTCTTCATTAGTTCGGCACGCAATCTCGGTTCGGTGTGAAATTCTCAACAATTTTCGCGTCCATTTTGAGGCATTTTGCGGATAAAATGCGCGGATAGCGATCGTGTCGAGATGCCGCAAGTTAATTTTCAGCTCGTTTTGAACAAGGGAATCTGCTTGGCGGAATATGCTACGGGTGTAAATGAAACAACATAATTCTGCTCAAATGATCTCGTAAATACGAGAATGTGTCAAAACTTAAACAATTAAATATCATTATTATATCCGTTCATAATTTTACATATATACATGTGTTTGTAAATGAGACACGCTGGCTCAGTTTGTAGAACCAGAACACAGTGAGCTGTCGTTAGGAATTTGATTCAAGGATTATTTTTTTATGGCTCGTGGAGTAAGTACCTATTATATAAACTCTCGTAAATAGTACGTTTAAATAAAACACTTTTAAAGGTTTTAAAAGCGAAATATAATATTTAACGGGATGGGAGGAGAGACCAAAATTATTTGGAAATAAGTTAACTAATATATTTCACGTTTTAAACCGTAAATAGTGTTTAATTTAAACGTGTACTGCTAGCGTAAACGACAGACAATACTTAATGTGTTATAAGTGCATTAAATTTAAAGTCTCTATGTCATATTGATTATTGATGAGCATTTGAAAAATAAATGTGTTTACAAAAAACCGTTACAGATCCAGTATGGGACCGCTTACGTTGCTTAGTTGTTAAATGCATCTAGCTAAGAGATCTTGGGTTGGGAACCCGGGAATCATTATTTGATTAGACACTGAATCTAGAGGCTATATTATATACTTGCTTGTAAATAAAATTAAAACAATGAGACAGGCACAAGAGGCATGTCCACGTTTGGGTAGTGAAATTTCGCTATTTTTTACACGAAGAGCTATAAAAACGTTCAGCGAGAGATCATCCACTAAAACGCTGTAATAAAGCGCTTATTATCAGCACTGAGCGGTGTTCAATCGTTAAAAATGCAAAGGCCCGTAGGCAGTTCTCACTACAACTAGGGTTGCCAGATGGGCGGGAATCGTCTGATTATCCCACATTTTCAGTGATCCTGATAATTATCAACATCACCAGAAAAATAGTTATTTCTAAAATTCCATATGATACGTAATTCGAATTTTAAATTATTTTTAAAATTTCCACGCCCTTTAAAATTCAAAGTTAATAAAGGAACTAAATATGATTTTGAGTTAAACATCGATTTTAGAATGAAAAAAAATTACGACACGGGGAGAACTTGAACCAGCGATCCACAGCGTCCTGTGCCGTTGCTCTTAGAGTAAACTTTTATAATGCCTTTATAATTTTTCTGATACATGTCGGACTTTCGTCTGGAAATCTGGATATTAAATGAGTGGTAGGAATATGGATCGAATGTGGATTTCCGAATATCCAAAGTTAAAATAGGTCGACAACGTATCTTGTATAGATGCTATAGGCATGTGATAAATATTGTAGTTTTCAAAAATGCGATTTTTTATTAATACATTTTTTCTCCCGGCGATAACTCTAGTCTCGATTCGTTTTTGCAGATATTTTGAGCTGGCAACCCTAGCTACAACAGAGAGCGGCTGCATTCATTATGTATAACAAAAATACCCGTATAGGCGTAGCAACAGGTTGGAGGCCGATGCAACAAGTCTGGGCTTCATTCCAAAAATGCAATGAACTTCGAGAGGTTCGCCGTTCTCTAATTGACTATAGCTTTTGTAAATGCAGTGTTTTGTGTTCATTAGGGAAGAATTGACGCTTATTTCGGGTCGGGTCGGCTGTTACAGTTTTGTTTGGGACTAGAGGACGCGGTATTTAGTGAATAATTGTTACAAATGACAAGCAAGTTAACAACTACCACTTTTAACGGGTTAAAAGGTGTAACATATTAGTTACATTAATTTATTTTACGGCATGATTTATTTTGATGCTTTGCGGCAGCATTGTTAGTGATGTGTTTCGTGTTTTAAACAGTTATTTGTTTTATTTAAATGTGTACTACTCGAGTAAACTATAGATAGTATTATACACATTATACATAGTAAATGTTTAGGTTTAGAAAAAAAGTTAATGACTTCAATGTGCAATGGTTAAACGGAAAAATAGTTAACTTATTTACAAATGATTTTAAACTAAAAAAAAATGTTTCTACCTAAATAGTAATATTATACTTTTATTTTTATATAGTTGTTTAATACCACTGTATTTAGTACGCGTTGATTTATTCAAAAGCTAAAGCACTAAAGCAATTCACATAAATGTAGTTTGTGAGTATAAATTTCACGCTTCAAGTTTAGTTTGCATCCAATTTGTAACCGCTCCAGCTATTTATTTTCCCAAGTTACAATATTTCAATTAATCAACGCGAAACCGCAGATTTGGTCTCTCTAATTGATAGACAAACAGTGATTGAGAATTGCGAGATTAAGCCTATTTACACGGCTCCTGGAGAGGAATGGAGGTTTCGTCAAATATATTACACTAAGTTTGAATAATAGTTTCGAATTCATCAAGATATTCGTAACATCTGCGTAGCTAGTCCATAATACATGATAATAATAAATCTCTGTATTTGGCATTCACTTAGTACAATTAAAAAAAAAATGTTTAAATAAACAACTTTAACGGCTTAACACGCTATATTTTATTGGTAAATTTGTTTGAAAATTATTTTTAACTACGGCCCGATTTGTCGGTTGCTTTGCAGCAATCGTGGTCACGGGGAGTCCACAGCAAGTTTAACTAAAATATATTACGTTCTAAACCGTTAAAGTGTTTTATTTACACGTGTACTACTCGCGTAAACTACAGACAGTATTTAAGAAATAAATGTATACTAAAATAATTAATACAAAATTATTAAATTTAATTTGAAGAAAAGTGATGTCAAAAGGGTCTTGCGTCAGCATAGTTTCCAAATAAGTTTAAATAACATATCGCGTTTTAAACCGTTAACGCGTAAAGTGTTTTATTTAAATGAACTATACTGCACTGTAATTAAAAATATACAAAATCAATATAATAAATCAAATGTGTAATTAGTCAAGTATTTAAAAAGATGTAACACTTGCAAATCACTTAAGGTAATTCCTATCGATCCATTTTATTACGGGTTAGTTCTTTTACTACCCTCATATAAATGGGCGTTTGTGTCGACGACGCTTATACGCCATTGTTCCTTGAAAGCCTCTCGCCCTGAGTTAACGTCGCTTCAATGGGGCGTTTTAAATGGCTACAGTGTTACTTAGGCCTTCGTTAAGATTTCGCAAAGAAATTATGACTGCAATAACTCTAAAAGTAATGTCTAGTACTGGGCTACCGTTACAAACATTCAACAGTCCATTTCAGCAAATAGATGTTTTTTATTAAAAGAAAGTTAAAATGTGAAATGAAATCCCCTGTGAGAGATGGGGCAAAAAATATCTGTGTTCTTTTCACTGATCGATCTTCTTGATAGCAAGTAATGGATTAGACTTGTGTGTCCTGTCCAAACGAAACAATTTATTGTGTCACCGGGGTTCGAACTCAGGACCACTCTTGCTTAACGCAATGCAGCATCACATTTACCCATGTAGACTATAAAATGGTCTTAATAAATTATTTTAAATGTATAAAATAAAAACGTAATTTGGTCATGATAAAAAAATTGTAACTCCTTCCATGGTTCATTTCTTAAATGTAAAAAACAGAAATATTAGGCCGCTAGGAGCAGAGTAGCCTAACTGCAATTTTATGACTTGGCTTATTTATATTTTTAAAGTCTAAAAATGTTAATCTACAAGAGCACAGTGACCGAAAATTGTTTACATAATTCTTACACAATTAATACTGCCAATTAATTTTCGCCTGAATCAATTGCGTATTTTTATTTAAGTTATTAGGCCACTCTGTCTCTAGCTTTATATGTCCCCGAGCCCCACGAGAAAGGAAATATCATATTTAAATTGTTGATACCGTTCTGAAACCAAGGCATATTGTATATTACTTCTTAAGTTTAATTCCACGACTCCCAGTTTCCAAGATTATGAAGAACTCGGGCCGTAGTTAAATAGCTCGTATAAGGCTATTTAAGGCTTACCGGCCTTGAGGTAGAAGTTAATTGAAATCTTTTAAAGTTTATTTCGGCTATAAAGGCCCGCCCGTGACCGGAGCGCTGCGGATTTGTCCCGGCTCCGTCGTGGAATGAGATTTTATTGCTGCATTAACTTGATTGTTTTATATACTAGGCTTAATGTAAGGTGCCTTTTAATTTGGGGACGCTTTACGGATAGTTGGGGTTTTAGAATTTGTGTTGTTAGTGCTATATTTCGGATTTGTGGTCTGTACACGGACAGGGTGATGGGTCTATACTAATATTATAAAGAGTTTGTTTAAATGCGCTAAAAATCAAAAAGGCTTTCATCAGGATGCGACCAATAGGAGCAAGTATATCATATATATAAAGGATACACTGTCTACAGTTTACGCGAGTAGTACACATTTAAATAAAAACACTTTAACGGTTCAAAACGCGAAATATTTACGAGCAACAATGCGAAAAATAGAGTTTTCAAACAATTACTTTGTAAACATAATATGAACGATCAATAAGGTTGAAAAGGTTACGTAAGACTAAAAAGAAACACAGAATGGGATCGTATAGAACACTCAGCTAAAGGCCAATTCGAGAGGCATTTATTTATTCCAATTTCGGCCTGCAATAACTGGCTTTTGTATTATTCATCACCCAATTATTGTAAAAGGACGGTTCCTTGCACGAGGTGGAGGCTGTAGCTTCTTCCGTTTAATACGAGATCAAAAGTAGGGAGTTTCGAGTGGCATTCTAATAAGTTTAAAGCAGGGGATTACCAGTCACTTAAAATGAATTAATTTAAATTAAATAAAGCACATTACAATACAATTATTTTACTATTTAAAACTTATTACGGTCACCGGGAAACGTCGATCCCTAGTCATAATAATTTTCAAATAAGGTTTTACTAATATATATCTCGTTTTAAACCGGTAAATTGTTATATCTAAATGTGTACTATTCGTGTAAACT